GATGACAGAATTTAAAGAAAGACACTTCCGCTTGAAGGATGCAGGTCAAATTCAACGTTCGTGATATTATTCGAACTAAACAAATGATAAACTTGAACATTTTTCACGAGTCAATAATCTGAAGTACATTAGGCGAACGAATTAAGTATGTAACAACGTGTACTCCCAGTATTGCTGAATAGATACTTGCAAAAGACAGATATAAACATAATACGCCACTCTAAATTTTTATAGCCCACGAGCCTCGAGACGACCACGGAAGATCTTCTGGAATTGTGGGACGTGGTCAAAGTCCATCAGCGTGTAGTGTTGCCCGGGAACGTCAGTATATGACGGCTCGCCGCGGCTGAACCCAGACCATGGCTTGAGCTGGTTGTTCAGCCAGTCTGACTTGCTGCCACGCAGAGGAATGGCGTAGAAAACGTCGACTGCAGCTGAACAGACCCAGAATATGAGCAAGCAATAATGAAGTCAAAAAAGAAATCACATACAAACTGAGCCTGACGGGTTGTAGTCTTTTCCGCACTCGATCAACGACCCGGCGATGTCCACCCAGTGGTCGAGCTTCTCAGCCGTCAGCTGGAGCTCGACGAGACGATCAGGGGGAGACAGCTTCCACACCACCTCGAGCTGCTCCTTCCTCGTCATCGATCTCAGAGCAGGCGCGAGGTCATTGGCATCATGCTTCGACACGAGACCGAGGAAGTACGACAAGTTGAGCATCCCGCCTGTCCAGTCGATCTCGTGCATGCGGTCGGCGATATGGGGAGGGATGTTGATGAGACCGACGAACTTGACTTCATCGCCCATGGCCTCGATCCGCTTGGCAACTTCAAATGCGACAACGCCGCCGTAACTGTACCCCGCGATGGCGTATGGTCCCTTTGCCTGGGTCCTCTTGACTGCTGCAGCATAGCACGACACCATCTCGTCCATGGAAGTGAAGAAGGGGTGGCCGGGCTCGAAGCCACGAGCGCGGAGAGCGTAGAAGGGACGCTCGTTCTGGAAGTATTTGGCGAGGTTGACGAAAATGAGAACCTCTCCGACACCAGGGTGCACGAAGAAGATGGGCGTCTTGTTTCCGGTCAGCTGAAGAGGGACGATGGGGTCGTACTCCTCAGTCTGGTTGTCCTTGGAGAGCAGGGCGTCGACATAGTTGGCGAGGCTCGAGATGACGGGGTGCTTGAGGATTTGGATGGTTGGGATTTCAGGCAGGCCGAAATGTGCTTCTCCCTCGCGCTTGAGCCTGGAGATGATATATATTAGTAACAGTGATTTTAGGCCGGGACATATATACTACTGACCTGATGACATCAATGGAAGTACCGCCGAGTTCGAAGAAGTTGTCGCTCGCAGACATCTCGCTTTCCGCGAGGTTGAATATGCCAGCATATATCTTCGCAAGCGCCTTCTCCGTCTCGGTGGACGGAGCGACGAACGTGGCGCCGCGTGCCTCGCTGAGAAGCTCCTCAGAGCGCGCGATGTGCTGACCAAGCTGACCTTGCTTGAACAGACTGATCAGACGCGCGCGAGACAGTTTACCCAGTGTCGTCTTCTCCATCTGGTTCACAGGGATAGGAACCACGAACTGGGGCGGCAGGGTGATCATTTTCACACAGATATCCCGAAGGGCCCTGTGCGTGGCAAAGAGCTTTGTGGAAGCGTCTGCTCCATCGAGGTCGAATGTCGGCGAGTAGAAAATGATGAACCCTTCGGTCTCCTGCCCAGGAGCACGGTACGGAGCTGCGGCGAGGAACGAGTGCGTCACCCCTTCCACGGTCTGGAGATGGGTCTCGAGCTCAGGGATACCATACGAGACACCATGGACAATGACGGTGTCCTTGATACGACCGCTAAGGCGCATCACACCATTCTCGATGATGCCAACGTCGCCGGTGCGGTACCAGCCTCCCTCAACGAAGCTGGAGGACGTAGCCTCCGCGTTGTTGTAGTATCGTACGAAGACCATCGGTCCGCGGACCTGAAGCTCGCCGCTCTCTCCGTCGGGGCGCAGCGTGGCGCCATCTTTGGGGTCAACGATGCGCATCTCGCAACCATTGATGGGTCGCCCGAGATCAAGGAACTCGTGGGCAGGCTCTGTCGCGAGGACATCAACAGGATCGTAAATGCATCCGGCGCTGCAGAAACCCCATCAGTTTATATACCCATATGGTTTGATGAGCCTTACCAAGTTTCCGTCATTCCAAATCCAGCAGAGATGACGAATGATACAGCGGAAGGGTTCTTGCTAAGATGTTTCATCGTAGCAGCGAACGCTTGCGCAGTCTTGGAAACAACAGCTTCACCACCGCTGTTGATCCGCTTGATGGAGGACAAGTCAAAGTCTCCGAAGAGGTCGGTGCGCTTCTCCAGATCACGCGTGAGCTTCGAGAGCAAGAAGTTCGGGGCGAATGCCAGTTCAATCGACTAACAATTGAATGATGAGAGAAGCGCGAGGCCATTATTTCATATTGACATACCTTTTCGTCGATCAGACGGAGCAGCCGAAGAGGATCAGCAAGGATAGCAGATGCGTGCACGTGGAGTTGCGAAGCCCCATATAGCAGAGGTGTGATGTGCATCTCCAATGATCCTGCGACGTGATCAAATCCGACCCCTGAATATCATGATTAATTTCAATCGTTTTATTAAACCAAGTGCGCCTTACAGTTCAAGACTCGAGATTCGGAAGTCAGGCCGTAGCTTTGCCCCTTTGCACGGCATGCAGCCAGGATCGTGCGGTGCGTGTGCACGACCGCCTTCGAGAATCCAGTAGACCCTGACGTCAAGAACAGGATCGCCTCGTCGTCTGGCTTGGCCTCGTACCCAACCCAGTCAGCCGAGACGGTGAATATCTCCGCCGATGCCTTTAATTCCGAGAGCATGTGAACCTCCAGACCAGAAATGGTGCTGATCTGCTCAGCCCCAATCTCGTTGGTCAGCCAAGTAGCAGACCCAAACAAGTTCTTGATGTGGGCCACATGGCCCTCCTTGTGCGCCTGCTGCGCGCTAAGCGCGGGTTGCAAGCAAGGCACATAGCCAGCTAGCAGACACGCCCATACAGCAGCCATGTTGTCTTCGTGCTCCGTCAGGTACACGACGACGACTGAGCCTGCGGGCTTTCCCCACTGTAGCATAGCACGCGCAAGGTTGCGAACAGATTGGTTGAAGGCGCTGAAGGTCTTCGTCTGGATGGAGGAGTCATGTGCCGAGGAGGTTATGAAACCAAGTTCGTGAGACGGATAACGCTCGACAGCTTGAGCGATGACGTCGTGGAGGGTATTAGGTTGTGGAGAGACTACGGATGTCTTGAGGTTTGTAAGGAATTCAGTGGTTGTTGTAGTGGTGACTGCGACGGGTGCCATTGCGAGATGTCTAAATTCTAAAACGATAAGATGCTAGGAAAGGGTGTCTAGGATATTGAATACGGATCTCCTTGGAGGTCCGAGCTTATATACTATGAAGTCGGGACTCACAACGGAGCAACACTGCAGCGAGCTTACGCAATAATGTACTAGCAATGTGGCTGGGCTAATAAGTTAGATATGTCGTCGCAGGATACACCGCTCGGAGCACTGGGCGGGGCTATTCTCAATGAAGTGATCGCTCATGATGCGAAATACTAAGTCCTGCAACATGCTAGACTATGTTAGCGCGGGGGTAGCCTGTAGCAATATGAAAAGTCACCACACTATTGCCCACAGCCTCTGAGAAACACCGGAGAGCGCGGGAGTCGGATATCAGTGTGCTCCATTTGCATATGTGTCATTTCAATCATTGGAAAGTATTATTGAGCCACCTCAGATCCCTTGAAACGGACCGATCGCAAGTACGGGCCTCGTATTACCGCAGTATACATCATCGAATGACTTTGGCTATTGATGTGATGGATCTGCACAGCTTGGTGCATATATGCAACGGTGTCTCCATTAGCCCGTTAAAGTTTAATTAGGTGCGTTGTGAAGTCACTGCACCTTCCAAGCGATAGAGCTAGAGCCAATATGATCCCCAACGACGCTCCATGCGGCTGAAATGAAAGCCGGCGAGGGTGGCGAAGGTGATAATCGCTACTCCGGCGATCATACTTACAGCATAATCCAGTTGAGACCATATGCTGCTTATGCATGGATCTCTGTCTCGAGAATTGTGTGGACAGATACCGCACTACCAATGATATGTTGTGCACTCTGCTTACGCTCTGCCTCGGCCAGTTCTTAATAGATTTTTCCAGGGTACAACTGTCCGATATTCTGGGAAGGAAGACCAGGAAACAAGTTCTGATCGGATCGGTCGTGAATTCTCCGTGAATCATTAATCAGAGCGATGATCCGTTCGAGTTGGAGGCTAGTCTAGTGACCGTCTGCAACTATTGCCAACCAACCAACCCAACTATATCAGGGCTCCTGTCAGGATGCCGATCTGTGCGAGACCACGTGTGGTGTCCGCTTGTTAGTAGTTGTTAGTCTAACCTGTCCTGTCAAACTTACTAGAACTTACTGGTACATATGGCTCGATTGTGTACTCAGAGTCTTATCTATGGCCAAGTTATGATTGTGAGTCGGAAGTCATCAAAGTTTTCAGTTCAGTGCCTGTGATGATAATAAGAACCAGAGGCCATCTTTTTGGTCACGCATTGTCACACCTCGGCACAGTACCGGCACGATTGACTTTCACTCTCCGCAACATGACGACGTTGCCACATGAAAATTCATGACATCCCCTGTCCGGTGTCACGCATTCGTCGTCGATCCTACCACCTCAACGCAAAAGAGTAACCTTTATCAAATTGGTGTTCTGACATCCCTATAAGGTGTCTATTATACTCCAAGTAAAATTTTATGAATACCTGCGCAGGATCCTTGGGATTTGGGTGAGGTTGCAAATTACTTGGTGCAACTTAGACACTTGTACGTGTCGCTGACTTATAAATTGGGACCCCGACGAATCGAAAAAAAAGGAGACTCCCACACTTCGAGCCAGGCAGGCCGGTCTGAATTGGACCCGAACCAATTTCCGGTTCATGAGAGCAACAGCATCAAATCTTGGCACTGCAATAGTGTTGAAACGCAACGTTAGTTTAAACTGCAACCTGTTCCCATGTAGAGCTGTGAGCTCTAGCTTGCCATCAACCTTATATCATCGGATGCGATGACATCATAGTTGCGATGATTTCTCAGCTCCAGCGGTTCACGAGCCGCACGATCTCCTGCCTTATCAATCCCTCCGTATCTTCCGAGTCAAGACGTATTGGTTATTGCCTTCCAGTGAGTTTGTTGCAGCTTGCCTGTACTGGTTCTTGTTCAACATCCACATCTTTCCGAGTCTAGTCGTCAAATCACCATGCAAGCCCTTAAGTTTGAGAAGACTGGGTCCCTCGATGAGTTGTCTCTGGTTAACATTGACAAACCCATATTACGTCCCGGCGAGGCTCTTGTACGCGTCAGAGCTGCCGGTATCAACGGGGTAAGCCTACAACCTAGGTCATATCATACTGTAATAGCATTCTGACCCGTCATCAGTCCGATGCTGCAGGCGTCTTAGGTACGCTTCCATTTGTGACCACCCCGCGCATTCCTGGCAGAGATTTCTCCGGGGAAGTCGTTGAAGTCCTGGACTCGCCTGGGGCCTCGAGTCAAGAGTGGATTGGAGCAGAAGTGTGGGGAACAGGAAGCGAGAGGGGTTTCACTTTGGATGGAACATTTTCTCAGTACGTATTTTACACGCATTTGTCTCCTGTTTTTCAGACGGGCTGCTCTTCAGATATGTTGCTGTCCCAATCGCTGTATTGAGCCGGAAGCCAGCATCTCTTGACCACTCCAGAGCTGGTAGCATGACCCTGCCATGGTTATGTGCCTGGATTACAGTTGACACCCTTGCGAATGTTAAGGAGGGAGACAATGTTATTATCATTGGTACATACATTACTCGACGTACTCCATTTATCATCACTGACCGCAATCCTCTAGGTGCTCGAGGCGGTATTGGCTCCGCAGCAGCCCAGCTCTGCAAGGAGCGCGGGGCACGCATATTCGGCACCTACAGCTCGCTCGCCAAAGTGACACCCCCATCATATGTCACGCCCATCGAACTAGGCTCCAAAAACGCCATCCGCGAGGCCATCGCCAAGGCAGGACTGCAGAACAAAATTGACGTTTTGCTGGACTGCGCTGGCTACGACCAGCCGTTCAACGATGCGATTTTCACTATGACATCAGACGGCACCGGTCGTGTCGTGGTCATGGCTGTCCATGCAAAGGACGGGCTATTCCCCATCAACCTGCGGGCATTTTATACAAAGGCCCTTACGTTAAAGGGCATGTTGTCGAGTATTCTGGGCCCGTTGGAGGTCAAGGAGGTACTGGATGACCTTGCGAAGAAAATTGATGGTGGGCTGCTAGAGGGGCCGAAGGAGGTCAACGAAGTTGATATGAGGAACATGGACAATGTGAAGGGTGCTCTGCAGGAGATTTTAACTCGAGCTTCTCCTGTTCGTTCAGTGATCATTCCCTGAACATTTCCGTCATACGTATCACCAGCATCTGTGAACCTTATCGCATTTGTGATGTCACTAGGATAGTTATTATGTAATAGATCAAGTATATTCACGATTCGAACCCCATCACTGAACCGATAGATGTAAACATAGGGATGATCCAGGCGACAATCTGAGCACGCCGCGTCTAAACGGAGGTCTACAGAGAGGTAGCTACCCATCCACAGATTTCTATGCTTCCAATGGGAAGGATGCGAGCTCGATGAAGTCATGACGCATGACGATTAACATAAATACATTCATAGAACCTTTTTGGAATTTAAAGTTGCCCATCCTGTTGGCCATATGTGGCACATGCGACTATAAAAGCTGGAGAACGGCGCTGTTAGAAGTGTCTAGATACGACATGGCGGGAGACGACAAAGAGAGGATAATCTACGACGTAGGTATATATACGTAGTCGGGACTATCCGAACACCGAACGATGAGGAAGGGTGGAATGCCAAACTCTAACAGCGACACCTAAATCTGTGCCAGAAGTTTTAGAGCATTCGCCGACGCGGTCAGACCAGTCAGGACGCCAATCGCCATCAAGCTGTTAATCATGCGTCGAAATTCCAAAGAAGTTACATAAATCATAGGCGTGAATAGGGTGTAGACTGTAGTACAGTGAATGATATGCAATACATATTTCCAATTAAATTAATGCGATACACACAACATATAACATAACATGGTAGATTAAAATGAATGTGAACGGTGAGTAGTATACTAGAGTCTGCATCTTCAAGTACAAGTACTGTATACATGCAACCTGGAACGGAAGAAGGGGGGCTTGGCGTCGACAGAAAGTTTGGGTATAATTCCTAGAAGAAAAATTCCTCTAGTGTGCGGCCAAATATCGTAAGGCCATCACGAATCGTTACATCTGTACCAACAAATGTTGCCCTAAAGAAGTTCACTCGCTACATGTTTTCATGAGTGTGCGTTCAACGCGCATTGACGCAAGAACTTACATCATTAATATGGCTTCCCGTTGTCCCCGTGCGGTCAACAATGGCAAATGTCGATGCTGGCATCATGACCAAGCCGCTATTTAGCAGCTTCCGGAACAGCTCGTCCATAAGGTCCGCGGTGTTCGTCGTCGGACCGCCTGGCACCGTCGGGGTCTGAGATGTTGAGAATCGTGCGTGATGCTCAAGGTTGATTTTGATCCAGACAAACATCCCAGATTGTGGTACCCTCCGCAGTAGCGAAGCCAGAAATGGCAACCTTCTGCCGGAAGACATCCATGAAGAGATCCCTCCGACGTTGGTACTCATTGCACAACGATAAAATCCACTTCATGAAACCATCGACGCCCCAGCCACTACTGCCAAGCAACTCGGAAATGAAAGCTTGACCCATGCCGTGTGGATGCTGCGAAGACGAGTCCGTCAGCATGTCAAGCTTCTCTGCGAAGAAGCTGTTGCTCGTGACCCAGCCGAGTCGCATTCCAGGGGCAACGATTTTGCTGAAACTGTTATGATATTAGAGCCGTAGCTCATGGGAAAAGGAAATATTCTTACCTATCTAGGCGCATTACGCGTCCGTCATAATCCATAGATAGGAATGACCGAGGGAGAACTTCTGCTATGGCACGGGTTGTACCCATACTGTTGCATCGTACTCTGGTTCACGTCAAGATCGTACTGGAGGAAAAAGTACGGATCATCCTCAAGGATGATGATATCCCAATCGTGTGCGATTTGATAAATCTGCTGCCTTCTTTCCAATGAAAGAGTGCTCCCTGTTGGGTTCTGCGAGCACCTGGATAAGAATTGTGAGCTATATGGGACTGATTGAGAGACGGCGGTAACGTACGGGATTGTATAAAGCACATGGGGTCGTTTACCTTGCGTTGCTTCGTCCCAGTTGGATAAAATTCGTTCTAAATCTGAAGGAACAAGACCATTGTTATCCATCCGGATTGGGACCCATTTAATGCCTAGAGGCAGAGCAGCGTTGGTCATAGCAGAAAAGGTAAATTCTTCGCAAAGGAAAGAGTCGCCCGGATCACCGAGAAGACGGAAACACTTTGTCAGGGCATCTGCATTGCCGAGGCTGAGCGAGACGGTGTGATTGGGGGGAGAGTGGATCCTGTCGTTGAGGTCTGCAAGGGCATCGCGGACCTCCTTGAGACCAGCACCAGCACCATACGCAAAGGCAGTGCGGAGGCTCAGAGTGCAGGGGTCGTCCTTATATGAAGCAATAATATTTTGCTCGCCAGTGCCAGACCTCCATGATTGCACGGGATCATGCTCTTCTATGGAAGGAACGACAAAATTCATCTCGCATATGGGATACAGCGTATGGTGAGGATCACCTGCATTGAATTAGTCAGTGTGTTCGTCCTCAATGATATCCACAAACCATTTCCCATATTGATGGTACCAGTTTTGACTTGAGCAGCTTTCCAGATGGACTTGATTGGATTAGGGAGCCTGGAACGGGCTTCCGACGATAGGTGGCGATAATAGTCGACATGGCTACGTTTGAGACCGACGTCAACTGCTGAAGTGGTAGAGGTAGTTGGAGGTAAGAAGACCATTATGTGCACAAGGCGAGAGATTGAAATTCGAGGGCGGATATACTAAATTACGGACTTTTTCACCTGTCTCTCGTCTGCTTTTGAAGGATACATGCTTGATGCGCTGGCACTACTGGGTGTGTTACTTCTCGATCAGGACGAATACAAGATTGCAATGACGGTCGTCAAGTCAAGACAATTGCAGCGCCCCTGACTTTGGTTAGTCCTCAGCCTTGAGTCAATTCACATACTAAATGAACGCAGAGCAGGTGGAGATCCGCGGCCTTTCGAGGTAGAAACCATGCGACCGTTGGAAATATCCAATAATTAATCTCATCGGTCTGCAATTGGTGGCTCACTAGCGCTCACTAGCACTGTCAATAGTGTCAGATAACGCAGTGCGCACTACGCACTATATAGTAGCTATGCAATGCGAACCGGGGTGAACTTGTGCTTACATGCATATGAACCAGTCCATATTTCAATTTAAACTCCGCAAACATGGCGACGAGTCTAAGTGGAGTCTGGTACGTACTGCCATCATGCCATCGGTTGCTAGAACACCCCTAATTTCCTCTAATAACTTAGCTATAGTCGACTAAGTACATCCCGGGCGATCTACTCACGGAATCGATGATTGATGGGCCACCACACTAACGCTATGCTCCATCGATGCCATCGCGTGCTCTCAATTCCTCCAAATGTACTAACGGCCCGGGGCTGTTCCTACAACTCCAGTAGTCCTCCTGAGAGCAAATTGTCTATGTAGGAAAGGAACTGCGCTCGTCCGGATGCGAAGTTCCGGCGGTCCTACTAATCAATGCGTCGAGACTAACAACACCGCGGATCTGTGACTAGCTTCGGGGCTTGTAACGACAGTCGGGAAGGCTAGGAAACATATCTGAAAGATATGAAGGAGCGGGAGGTACTCATATGTACAGACAATAGCTCAGGAATGGATAAGATACTGTCAGTAGTATAACGGGCGTCTATATGGTCAGGAGGAGGCAGGAGGATCGATGATTCAAAGGAATGTGTCAGAATAATCAGAGTGCGTAACTGTAACATGTTCCATTTTAAATAACTTGTGTCCAATTTTTTTTTCCCCTGGAAAGATTTACATGCCAAAAGTATCGCAACAAAGACTGCAGATCAGGTCGTTTGGTGTCCGACGTCGTACTCTGGTCCACCATCCAAACTAACTGGACGTCAAAGTACAAGCACAGTAACAGGCCCCTAGGGTGGACTTGATCTGACAGTTAGAAGATCTACCGGTAGTACCGTCGGTACTTGAGACTATTAATTGGTTTGTCCACCTCGAAGACAATTTCCAAAAGTCAAATTCGCCATTCATTCTGGCCTTAGTCCCCGGTTTAGACTCGGCCGTTTCACATGTGCTTATTTCGCGACATCCATTAATTTGACCATCTCCGCTACCACATGCATGCATATGTACCATTGCCAATATTTTATCAAATGGAACATTGGAAATCGATAACGCCTCACCGTTTAGTACTAGCTTCTGGCCAGCGCACAAAGTCTCGCCTCCGCGGCACAAGTTATTTGTTTATAACGCCCAAGGCCGCTCGCGGGAGCGCTACGGTCGCTTTTTCGAGTCATAATGTGAATTGAAAATTCGATTGGTGTTACAGATACGATTATCAACCCAGACGAGTCGCGAGATGGAGGCGAGTGCTACAACTACAAGTGGACGATTAGTGTTTCTTCAACCAAACTAATGCAGCACACACTTTTTCTCTTCGCGCTATCAAAGGTTTGGCTTTTTCCTGAAGCCATCTTGAACATCTGCACCAAACGCCGTTTTTGACCCAGGATCAAAATCAACTCCATTTGCTTTCAGTAGCCGTTCCAAAGGACCTTGTTTCGTATTAGTCAATATACCTGTCAAGAACGTGATTCTCCCATAAAGCACCCCTCCCTCGTCTTGTTTAGTTGTTGATGCGGTGAATCGCACCCTTCGAATGCTTGTGATAAGGAAGAACAACAGAGTCCCATAGGATGATAGATAATCTCCTGAAGATCTTCAATGGACGAATTTTCATCTACTGGAAGTCCATGGGCGATCGCCAGTGCACTTAGAGCTGGTCTTCGTAATTTTTCATGGCCGTCAGGAAAGTTGTCCACAACATGATCATTGTGCTAGGCAGTGAATACGAACATGACGAAGATAATGAAGATAAACCCGCTTGGGTAACTAAACATGATCCCGCTTGAGTAACACACGAAGAAGAGGACAGTTTGTCTACAAACGATCATTTAGCCATATGAAAATGATTTGGACAAACGTACGCACCTCCAGGCTGAACATTCCAAGTATGACCGACAGAAAGCTGCGCTAGATCCGTCTCCGAAGGCCGAAGAAAGCGAGAGCCATCAAACCTCGCATCCACGAACGTGAGCCAATCACGACCAAGCTCGACGTCGCACCCATTCAGATAAATGGAGCGAAAGGTCTGCTGAGAATTATACCAACCGTCGACGGTAGGAACGCGCGCCGGACTAGAACTCGACTCCACAGCCACCCCATTATGATTGAGAACAAAACGCGGCACATTGCAATTGTGTAACTGTCGGTGCATGTCTTGAGAGCATGCTTCATGTACAGCAACAGTGTGTAAATACCATATGGCCTGCTGGAGCCTTGAAATGAATGTCACATGAATGGTTGTCCCGTGCAGTTTATATCCAAGTACTGCTATCGCGTCAAGCTCAATTGAGCAGTACGAGCCTGTAGTATGAGCTCGGACACGCCGTGAGAATATCCGGGTAATGTTGAAACGCGTCGCCTCCGCAAGAGCCGCATTACCCCGTCCTAACGGTAACGAAATGGCCTCGAGATCCTCATGAAGTAATGCTCCCCAGTTTCACGAGACTGTACAACAAACGAATAAAGCGACATCCAAACCCAGGTGATATTCTCTAGGGTGGCACCGAAGCCTGGGTGCCTTTACTGCAGCCAGCAGTGCCGGAGAACGCCTACAAGAACTTTTGAGACTCGAACAACGGATGCTAGAAACATGGCACCATTAAGAATGGACTCGAGCATTTCCCTTCTCCAAAATGCATTGCAACAACTGATGATTGGCATTCTCGTTATACGCAATTTAAAAGGTGTTGTGATGCTGTAAGGTACGGGATAGAGATCTTCGCTCATACGGATAGCAGGTACGTGATCCAACCGTAATCCAGCTTCTGAAATCAAGATGACCAGTGGAGTAGAGGGTAAGTCACATTTGTCCACTAGGGACGGTGCCACGATGGTTAGGCACTGGCAAGACCGCCTCGCGGTGGTATTTCATTTTCCTCAGAGCCTCGGCCCACAGGGAGGCCACCAGTAAATGAAGTGTTTAGCATGTGCACGTAGTGATATAGTAACGAGGGACGCAGCTGCCACCAAGCCGCAGCGTGCAGTCTTAGATCTGAGAGAAACAACACAAAGTACAAGTTCAAAAGAACAAACAACATGACAGCAAGACTCATCGACAGTAATAGTTTCCTTCCATATTATCAGGAAATCGCACAATCCCCTACACGTGTTCCTTCGGCCGAGGCTTGGTGCGGCTGCCCGAATACTCTGATTCCCTGCCATCACGATTCATCGATACTTACGTTGGTGTTTCGATGACAGTAGGATTAACAAGGCACATACCTGTGAAAACCCACGTTATCATTTTTTGGCTCAGAGCTTGGCTGATCGTGACTGTCTGCGGGATCTGGACCAACCATGTCACTACGATATAGCACCTAAATTATTTTCTTTCTGATCAGCAACATGTAACAGCACGCACTCAATCCAAGGAGCGCTGAATACATATATAGCGAGCACAGCGAGAAGAGCCAGTGTTAGATAGGTTATTGCAGTCAGGATTTTCACGAAGAGCTTGTCGGACGTGAAACCAGCTATAAAGACGGCTAAAAATGATTTTTGAGATCGCTGACTTCAAATCGGGATGTGTGCACAAACCTGTCAGTAACGCCAGTGTTGAAACTGCCAAGGCCATAGACGGATATGCCATCAGTATAAGGGAGCATACGAGGCGCAAGCGAGATCGCTTCAACGACTGGTAGTTGTTATTACTCAAGCCTGAAGAGTATATGAAAGAAAGAAAAATGACACACTTTCAATATCCGTTTCATCTCTGCATTTGCATAGCAAGTATCATAGATGATGAGGACAGAGGTTCCAGTCATCAAACTGATCAACGCAGCTACAAAAGATGAAACTTGAAGGATATACGACCCTGGGCATACGTCAACCTGATGAAGTTTGAAGAAGAGGATTCGGAAGTCTACCATGCTGGAAGAATTTGTTAGCTTCCAAATACCAGTGAAATAAAACAGGTGCGTACGCTTGCATAGGGCATAAGAGGTTGAAATGCTAAGAACAACCAGTAGATCAGGATTTTGTATGCTTCCTACAAGACAAAGATGACTTACGAGGTTGAGTAGATATAAAAACAGCACTTGTAGTCAAAACCTATTTAATGAAGTCAGCCACGTTCCTTGAGCAGCTATTCATAATGTTAGTACCAGACCCGCCTACAAATAAGTTTCAATGAGTACTGAAGGAACACACCACCGATACTAACCGTGACATTCATGTTTGCCAATCGATCTGTCACCATTTTCTTATGCTCTACCCATTCCTCCCTGTTCCGATCATGTATGAGGTCATCCCAGTGTTCGACCGACGGCTTCGATATAGCGATCAAACACAACGCCTTAAAGCACAGACACAAAAGAGGGTGTCGTGGTGGATCATGCCATGCTCTTAATGGTTGAGTCCCATCCGACGCAGGAGTTCGAGATGGAATGCGTGGCGCACTTGGTGATACAGTGGCGTCCGTCGTAGACATGAGTGGAATGGTTGAGAATAGTATATTTGCACGTATATGTGCTTCAACAGCATAAGGGGTGGCTCTACCAGGTGCTGAAACACGTGGAAGGAAGCGAGCAGTGAGCAGAACAGGGAGCGCCAGAATTGTGGGTAACCTTCTTCAGCGGCTTCGATTACGAGATGTTCACATTTCCTGTCTGTAATATCTTGAGTAGTCATAGCTAACCGTTTGACACCAGAACAGATAAGAAATCTGCTCTCTTGTGGTGCGGATTCGAAACTTGTCGACATGGACAGTTCTTCGGAGGTTCGCCTAAACTTGGCCAGCAAGTCTAAGCGTCCTGACCCAAACTTGGCCAAAGTGGTTACTATCACAGAATCGAAATCTGTCTCTTGGACTGTACCAGTGCAGGTTCAAAGCCTGCCGACGAGTTTTTTCTCTCTCAGAACACGCCTTAAAGATTCACTGGTGGACATTTCCTCGGAGGTTCATTTCAACTTTGCCTGGCCAAAGTGGTTACTACAACAGAATCGAAATATGTTTGTGTCGGACTTGCGCAAGCTCGAAACCTGCCGACGACAAGGTTTTTTTCTATCGAAACACACTTTGACATTCACTCATGGATGGATTCCGAGCCACGAAAGCATAGATAACAGTCCAGTATCGTCTCTGCACGGAGACACCAAATTCCCGGTCAGCCTAAGGACTCGGTACGGAAACGGCCCATTAGGTCCCTCAGCGAGCGGGTTTTAGGGTCTGGATATGCTAATGGCCACCAGATCTGGGATCCGAAGCTTCCTCCCCAACCGCAAACTACTCTCCTGGAGGGTCATAGTTACCGTGAGCAGCTGACCGGTCATCGAACGCGGTTGTAGTTGTGCCTCGGAACTTTTGCTCCTACTGGATATATAGTGTTATTCAAGTTCCTAAACAGAACGAGATGGTCGGCGCGGTTGGGGTAGCGGTAGCCCCCTGACAAGAACTCTCGCACGTTCGAAACCGCTGCCATCCCCACCACTTAGCATCCCTCTTGCCCTAGCTAACAAACCCTTATCCTAGGAGACGAGTGACTGCAGCGGGTGCTAAGGACGTGGTCTGCCTCGCGACGCTCTGTTGGACGTTTCTGGCTTGGGCTTCGCTTCCAAACAATTCGCTCTTCCAGGAACGGCTGCTATTACTGCTATTAATAGTAGCTCCGCGCCAAACACAGAGCTGGCCACTACCGTGGTTGTCGATTTAAATTATCCCCGACTCGAGGAAGTAAAGGACTTGCTCGATTTTGCTGGCTAGAGACGTACCCGTCTACGTTTTCTTTTTCCTTTTCTTTTTCTCACAAATGACAAACTTATGTAAGTATGTCTGAACTGTGAAATATGGGTTGACGTAGCTTTATTAGAAGGAACGGCTATCTTCAACGAGTCGTCTATAAAGAGACGGCCTTGCAAGGCACTACAAGTAAAATTCAAAGAAGACCAGAGCACACGCTGAACATCATCTCCGGTGTTGTTGACCCAGTCTGTGATCTCGGATATGATTTCCGTGCGCGTCCCTGGTAGGCATTGATTCCCGTCCCGCGCCATCAGCATACGTCATACCGTTGAGATCTAGCGTTTCACCTGGAGACGTATGAATAGATGTCGCGTCAGAAGCACGTACAAACCCTTACCTGTGCGATGGACATAGATGGCTACATCGCGAGTAACTTGCTCCTGGAAGTTGTCCATCAGCTTATCCAACATTCCGCTGTACATCCGTAACCTTCGAAAGCACACTGCAGGGCCTTTACTTTGTACCAACCCTGAAGCTTTGAAGACCTGACATCTCAGTGGACGCCTAGATTCTCGCCAGTAGTGTACTGTGTTTGTAGTAACAATGGCGGTGTGTCTGTATTTTCCGGGCGTTCAATGCTATATAGTATAGCCTAATCATCGCACTGCGTCATTCTCAGCCCAACCCACCAGTAAATGGAATGACAAGTATGATATGGTAACGGCAGACGTAGTACTCCAAGATGTGACCACCATAGGCCATGTCAAGACGAGCGACATAGACCGGCATTGTGTATTCAATTTACTAGACTTTGAGTGATGAGTAGTGTCGTAGTGAACAGGAACTATCAAACCATCAACTTAACGATGTGATGATAAGAGTGATATAAATAGTGGTTCTCGATCAACAAAAGACTGTCGTAGCTACTGGATACAACTGTCCCCCACAGAGTGTATAGTTGGATTTCTCTCATCTAGAAGGAGACAACGCGAGGCACTGGTTCAAAGAAAAAAATGAGCCGACAGCAACGTGTCCGTCCATACCGCCAGCTAATAGGGCAATCCGTCTTCTGAATTTATAGCTCGCCGACGCGAGCTGCCCTGATATTCGGCTATCGCGGACATTTGCCCAGCGCGGTTGTCTAGACGTTTATGACGTTACCAGTGCCATGGGCAGCCCTAATAGCACCCAAATTAATTTATGGCTGTTAGGTGATGTGTAAGAGCACATACTTTTTTATAGGAGCGTTGAATACGTATATTGCGAGCCCGGCGAGGAGAAAAAGTATTACGCAAGCTAATCCAGTCAGGACTTTCACGTAGGGTTTGTCCGACGTGAAGCCTGCAATATATATGGCTGAATAGGCTTTGAGAAAGGCAATCTAAAATCAGAACTTCCACATACAAACCTGACATTAAAGCGAATGTCGAGACTATCAGAGCCAGCGTAGGAAATGCCATCAGTAAAAGGCAGATTATGAGGCGCAATCGAGATTCCTTGAATGACTGATAGTTGCTATTACTCAAGCCTGAAGGCGTATGAAGGCGGGCAGATGACGCACTTCCAATACGTCTTTGTGTGCATAGCAAGTGTCGTAGATGATGAGGACAGAAGTACCAGTCATCAAACTCATCAACGCAGTAACAAAAGAGATGACGAGGAGAATATACGACCCTGGGCACACGTCAGCACAACGAAGTCTCCAGAGGAGGAAGTGTACCTTGCTGAAGAACTTGTTAGTTTCTACATACGGGCACTATAAGAAAGGAAAAATGCTTACGTTTGCGTAGGGTATAAGAGATTGGATTGCTGAGAAAAGCAGTCAGGTCAGGTTTTTATACAAGATAAAAAAAAAGAACTTGCGAGGAATGGTGGATATGAAAACAGCACTTGACGTCAACACCTATTCAATGAAGTCAGCCACGATCCTCAAGCAGCTTTTCATAGTTTGTTTACCAGACCGGCCTGCAAATAAGTTTCAATAACGGAAGGAGTATACCACCGATGCTTACTGTGATGTTCATGTTTTCAAACCGATTTATCAGCATTTTCTTGTGCTTCTCCCATTTCTCATCCATTGAATTCCGTTTGGGCTCTGTCGAATTCCGTTCGAGCTCTTCCGAATTCTTTATCGAAATCTGTCTGAGCTCTTCCCAGTGTTCGACCGACGACTTCGATATAGCGATCATACACAACGCCTTAAACAAGACACGAGGAATTGCATGGTTTGGCAGAGCACACCATTTGGGAATGTTGGGGTTAGACATGAGCAAAATGCTGAGAATAGTGTACCATAGGGTTGCATGCGCATATATACAGCATTGGCATATGGGCGGTTCTACCAGGAACTGATAGACGCGGAAGGAAGTAAGCTGTGAGCAGAGCAGAAAAGGTGCACAATCTTCATTAGCAGCCTCAGTCACTAGAACGTCACATATTTTGTTCCTTGAACAGAAGCTCGCCCAATGATGAAAGAAGTATGGAGTATATGCAATGCACTAACTTGTCCATCATAAGACAGATCAGCCTGCAGGATCAGCATCACGAAGTACGTGATTCAACTCGCTGGAAAGATGAGGGCGGCGTGTATCTATAGCGCTTCGTCAATGCCAGCTGCACAGAGGCCGCAGCCAATGCACTCCAAACATGCTGGTGACACAAGTTAGGGTTGTTGCAATAGAAGTGGAATAGTTCTACTTACCAAGGCCACCACAACATGCACACAAGTAGCATGGGCAACACAGGGGGTTCTGAAAGGCGCCTGTATCAAACACATGAGGCAATAAGCGATTTCAAGATTGTTCGATCAAACCTTTGCAGCACCAGAAACTGAGCATTACAGCCGCTATAAGGACGAGGAAAAGGCCGACAAAAATGATAATTAGGTACACTGAAGTGAGTTGTCAGAAAGAACAATGAATGAAGACATTGTTGCACCACATTTTTTGCTCGTGAAGCTTGAGGTACTACTCGTAGTCGTTTGGCGCTTGTCCAATGCATGGCCGTGGTTGAGTCCGAGCGCTCCTAACAGATCACCAACTTCCGAGCAGTGTGAAATAACCAGAAAGACGCCTATGGAGAGAAGGGAAAGCGCTATAGGCAGGATGATACGGCGCAGCCTCGATTTGTGGCATGCACGATGTGATGCTGAAGGGCATTCACATGGGTAATTCAGACTGTGGTCGTCATGTTGACATGTAGGACTTCTCTTCTTGTCAGTTGCGAGAGGACCATACATGTCCATAGTGCTTGTGTTGGGCTGACTGGAGATAAGAGACATAATGGTTGAACGTTGCTGGCAGAGATGCATCTGATGCGCTACTGCGGCAATTTGCTGTATTCTCTGACATTCCGAATTCGGACAGATTACATAAAGTTATTCATTTAACTGGCAAGCGTCTATCATGGGTATTTTTTGATGATGGAAATGTACGTTCAGACTGATCATGTCACAATCATTTGCTAGCCTTTCAGTGCTCATCACATCAGGACTGTCCGTGCACGGTGTAAATCTGGCTACAAACTTATTCAAATGAAATGTCTTAACGAGCGACGGAGCATAATAGCAGATCCAACAACGATTTGTCAATCCTTACTCCGAAATAACTGCAAAGGCCCAACACCACAACCCCAACTAGGACGCCAACGCCAAACTTCCGCAGCCCTATTCTAGCGGTGATCCGCTTTTCGCCCAATGCGCCAGCAGCATCAATCACAGCAATATCCTCCTTTGAAAGCTCTGCCATGTAAACAATGTAAAGTTGCCGTACGTACCAAGTCATTCCTCGAAATAGCACTTACCAATATCGCCTGCATCTTGATAGCCTTCTAAACGTGTCTTCTTGGAACTGGTTCTAGGAAGGCATCCGAAATTGATGATCGACACCGTTGGCAAACGAAATGGAACCTACGTGACGATAACTGCGCCCTTAGCCTTTGTCCAAGCGAGAAGCACCTGGTCCGTAGTTGCCCCAAGTCGGGTGGCGATCTCGTTTAGTGGAGCATCTAACGGGCCACTAGGTTCCTTGGTGAGGGGTCTGCATCCTCGCGTCAGTCGTGTGTATATGATACAATACAAAATTTCCCACTGGAGGGCACTGTATGCCTCGATGACAATGCCATGTTCAGCAGCATACTTCACTATAGGCGCCTGTTTCTGGTAAACATAGGGATGGAGAAGGATCTTTCTTGAAGGTTAGAACCCCGCAAGCAAATTTCATTATGTTGTTCCTCACCTGGTTCGCAGCAGGTTTGATTTTCGCAGACGCCAACAGAATTTCCAGATCTTGTACACCGAAGTTACTCACACCAATGCTCCTATGTTGATCAGCGGTGAGCCAAAACAGGAAATAGGGTTGTTGTAACATACCTTGCCAGTCCATCCTCCACCACTTTCTCCATTTCTGCCCACGCTGTTGGGATGTCCGGTACCGCGAGGCGTGGGTTATGAATCAGGTATAGGTCTACGTAAGGCGTGTCGATCTGGTACCATTAGCATCTAGACTGGCCGGCCGTGGTGTGTCACCCACGTTGTTTATGCTGTTTCTGATCGCAGTATGGATGTCGAGTCCATCGAAGCCAGAGTATTTAGTCGTTATGAATACATCTCCGCGCGATAGACCGCTTTCGTGAAGAGCGATACCTACCTCACCCTCATTTCCGTACCCCTGAGCGGTGTCTACAAGATCTCCAATTCTCAGACCTTCATATAATTGCAATGCTCAGAGATGCTTGCCGATGTGGTAGTATTCCGTGTCGAAAGCTTGCGCGATCTGGTCGATGGGACCCTGCCCGTTCCCAAGGGTCCAGGTACCATAAGCAATACTCGGCATAACGTAGCCTGATGGCGTTGAGTGAACAGGAATTATTCCACCTCATTTGAACTTACCGGAATTCAGTGTGACGAGGTCCCAAGGCATAGTTGCAATACGTCTCTAATCAGGCTTGGGTAGGATGGTTGCCGACTAAGCTGTCTGTGAGATGACTGAATTGCAGAGGCCCAGCTTTCACTGGGTGGGAATAGGATATGAATAGATACAATTAAGGCTAATCTTAGTGTTTCATTGAGCATGGCGCATATATGACGGTCAATCGTTTCTTTCCAGCACTTCTGTATACAAATTCTGGGCTGATTAGATATAACACCTACAGAGTGCATAAAACAACGCGAAGCACTGGTTCAAAGCGATACAAACATCTTAACAAATGAGATCTTGAGACATCGACATATCCGTCCATATCACTAGTTAATGGCGCAATCCTCCCCCTAGACTTGCTCCCCTAAGCAAGGCTGCGCGAAGGGTCTGATTTTCTGTGATCACTAATACTTAAATTAGTTTTTCGAATCAAGCAGGATGAATGAGGCACATGCTTGGGAAAAACCCCGCTATCGCGGTCGACCTTTGGCTCAGAGCGTGGGGGCTTCTGACTGTCTGTGGCATGTGAATCAATATCGTTGCCATCAACAATCCTGATAGCAAAGGATAGCACTCAAGTTAATTTCTGGCTGGTGGGCGATATGTAAGACCACGCACTCCTTTAAATGAGTGCTGAATACACATATTGCGAGTATGCCGAGCAAAATCAGTGTTAAATAGGTTCCTGCAGTCATAATTTTTACGAAGAGTTTGTCGGATGTGAAACCGGCTATAAAGAAGGCTAAAGTGTGTCGAGGTTAACGACTCAAAACCGGAATGTGGATACAAATTTACCTGTCATCAAAGTCAATGTCGAGACTGCCAAAGCCAGGGACGGATATGCCATCAGTATAAGGCAACATATGCGACGCCAGCGAGACTGCATCAACGTCTAGCAATTACTGTCGCTCAATTTTGAAGTGCGTACGAAGGTAAATGACGCACGTGTAATAAGAGGTCATCTGCATAGCAAGTGTCATAGATGATGAGGACAGAAGTACCAGTCATCAAACTGATCAATGCAGCTACAAACGCGCACACTTGAAGGATATACGACCCTAAGCACACGTTAACATAACGAAGTCTCAAGAGGAGAAAGTGTACCATGCTGAAGAACTTATTAGTTTCCTAGTGCCGGCAGAAGATAAAAAAGAAAGGTGCTTACGCTTGCGTAAGGCATAAGAGGTCCAAATGCTAAGAATAACCAATTAGGATTCTCGTAGTTTTCCTACAGGACATAAATGACTTGCGAGGATCAGTGGATACGAAAACGGCACTTGTCGTCAAGACCTATGCAATGAAGTCAGCCACATTCCTCGAACAGCTTTTCAAAAATTTACCAGACCCGCCTGTAAATAAGTTTCAATAATCGAACAAGCATATCGCCTATACTTACCGTGACGTTCATGTTTTCAAACCGATTTACCACCATTTCCTTGTGTGCTGTCCATTCCTTCTTTACCGGACGCTCTACGAGGTAACGCCAGTGGTCAACCGACGACTTCGATACAGCAATCATGCACAACGCCTTGTAGCAGAGACACCAAATTTTGTTTTTTGGTAGTTCATCATGCCATGGTGCCGGAGGACGAGTTTCACCGGGTTTTGGGGGTACTAGATGATTCAGTGGAAGTTCTCTTAGGCATAGGCAGAATGACCGAGAATAGTATACCAGTGTTGGATATATATATACTCCAGCAGCATGTGAGATGGTCCTGCCAGGATCGCGGAAGGGAGAGCAGAACAGCCGCGAGGAGAGCGCAATGATTGTGGGCAATCTTCGTTGACAGCCTCGGTCGCTGGAATGACACATACACGTGCAGGGTTCTATTAAATCAAAGCTCGCATATGGATATGAGATGTATGAAAGTCCACGCGGTATAATGACTTGTCCATTTTAAGATAGGTACTAAGCTCACAGAAACACAACCACAGTATCCAGTGCTCAAATCGCTCGAGACTAGGACACATATGTAAGTGGCATTCAACTAGGAGGCTTCGTCGATTCCCACTGCGCAGAGGCCGCAGCCACTGCACCCTAAACATGCTGGCAACACAAGTTAAGGTCGCATAAGACAGAAATTGTATAATTCTGCTTACCGAGGCCATCATAATATGCACGCAAGTGCATGGGCAACACATGTGGGGATTCTCAAAGGCACCTGTGTAAAAAAACGTGAGACAATAAGTGCTTTCAGGAGTGCTGGATCAAACCTTTCCACCACCAAACTCAATCGAGCATTATAGCATAATGACTCATGAGACATGACCGTGGTCCGTGACCAATTGCAAGTGCTCTCGACAAATCACCGACTTGCGAGTAATGGGAAATGACTAGGAAGGCGCCTATGGAGAGAAGGGAAGGCATCATAGAAAAGACGATCGGCGTCACAGTCGTGCTTTGTGGCATGCAGTGTCTGATGCTGAAGGAAAATTACATGGGTGATTCAAATTGTGGTCATCGTGTTGACATGGAGGGCTTCTTTTCTCGTTGCGAGCGGACCATACACATGTGGGCCGGCTGGAGATGAGAGACATATCGGTTATGCTCCACGGTCCAGGGAGAGCCATTTCCGAATCAAAATATTGCTGCCACTTAAGGTTACGTAACCTGAAACTTTGAATCCAACTCTTCAACTTGAACGCGTAGTATCATACTGACATGCAAGCACTTATGTGCAGCATATCTGGAGTATGGCAGTCCATGCCAATCCTTGCAAACCTGTCTAGCTATTTTTTGATGAAATTCACGTTCTGACTGAGTTCACAGCTTGAATCAGTTGCCGGTCTTTCAAGCTAAGTCACTTCAGTGCCCAACTCATCAGGATTGTCTAAAACCTTATTGAGATGAAACATCCTGTGAGCGATGGAGCATTTGTCAATCCTTTCTCCGAAACAACAGCAAAGGTCCAACAGCGCAAGGATGGAGAAGGATCTTTCTTAGTCAGACTCGGGCCCCCGCGAGCAAAGTTTATCATGTTGATCTCTTACCTGGTTCACCGCAGGACTTACACTACTCCTTCATTGATCATATCAACGGGAAGACAAAACAGCAAATAAGGTTGTCGCAATATACTTACAGTTACTTAACAGTCAATCTGTCGGGATGTCTGGTATCGCACGGCGCGGGTTATGAGTTAGGTGTAGGTCCGCGTGGAGTGTGTTGATCTGATTTCATATTGGCATCTAGGCCGACCTATTGTGGTGAGTCACTCACGTTGTTGTTGTTGACACTTTTTCTGATCGCAGTAGGGATGTTGGGCCCATCATGCGAGGCTAGAATCATTCGTCTCTTCTGTGAAAAGCAATACCCACCTCACCCTCATTTCTGTACCCTTGAGGGGTGTCTACAAGACCCTTAGACCTCAGAGGTCCATACAATGATCAATCGCGATGCTGATTGCAGAGTGCTAGCCTTCAGCGTGTGGGAGAAAAAGACATACTAGTGAGGGTAATCTTACACGGTGTTTTATCGAGCGCGTAGCTTATATGACAGTCAAATTCTCTCCAGCACCCCTGTAACATTTCTCCGCTTGTTCCCGACCTTTGAAATAGCTGCAGGCAACCAAGATCAGGATCCCAAACAAAACGCCCACCCCGAGTTTACGCAGCCCATGTCTGACAGTGATTCCTTTCTCTCCGACAGCGCCCGCAGTATCAATCGTCTGGACGTCCTCCGCAGATAGTTCTGTCGTGATGCATCAGACCTTCAACTTGGTCTGTCATTTGCAACAAGGCGACTCACCAAGATCTCCAGCGGAGAGGTAACTTAGAAGACGCGCTTTTTTAGAGCTGGTGCTAGCGGGTTTCGACATCAGCAACGTCATCCATCAACCGATTAATGAAGACACACGTCACCACGACTGCACCTTTTGCCTTGACCCATGCGAGGAGCACTTGGTCAGCAGTAGCTCCGAGCCTCGTAGCGATTTCGTTTAAAGGGGCATCCACTGGACCTCCTGGCTCGCCCGTGACAGGCCTTCAAATATCATGATTAGACTTTCAAATAATCTCGGAAATTATCGCACGTCAAAGCACCGTATGCCTCAATTACGATGTCGTATTTGGCGGCGTACTCCAGAGTCGGAGACTGTTGCTGGTAATTGTAGGGATGTAGGTAAATCTACGTGGAGTGGCCGCGCTCTGAGTTTCGTTAACTGCCTGTAATCAGTCTATTTACTCACTTGATTGGCAGCTGGCTTGATCTTTGCGGACGACAGCAGAATCTCTAGCTGCTTCTCATTGAAATTGCTCACGCCAATGCTCCTGCAGTCGACGTCAGCTTCCGAATTCAATAAATCACAAGCACTAATAGCTACCTGGCGAAACCTGCTTCTTGGACTTTCTCCATTTGAGCCCAGACAGTTGGTATGTCTGGCACAGCTAAATCCGGGTTATGAATGAGGTACAGATCGACGTAAGAAGTGTTCAACTGCGATTGTTAATCGACTTTCTACCTGCGCATGCAATATACGACTGCTACGCACGTATTCCAAACTATTTCGAATTGAAGTTGGAATATCAAGTCCATTGAAGCCAGAAAATTTTGTTGTGATGAATACGTCGGAACGCTCTAGCCCAAGTTGGCCGATGGTGATGCCAACCTCGGCCTCATTCCTGTAAAGCTGAGCGGTATCTTCTTGCTATTGGCAGGGATGCGATGGTCAGTCTGTAGTATACTCACCAATATGATAGAATCCTGTGTCGAAGGCCTGTGTGAGCTGATCTATTGGCCACTGTCCACTTCCCATCGATCCAGTCCCATACGCGATGCTCGGAATGCTATAGCCTACTCAAATGTTGAGCAACTTGATGTCAGCGTCTCTGCATCGAAACACACCGGAGTTCAAGGGGATCAAGTCCCAAGGCATTATTGACGTGCTCGTTTCGACTAACCTTGCGGGATATAACTCGTTTGTCCAGAAGGTACTGGGACAAGCCTTCAATCCCCGTTAATGAAGACATGACGCAGACATTACTCACACGATCTATTCTCATTTAACTTCACGTGAGGGATATGAGAAATGGTTCTATTTGGGTCGTTCCGCAGCCTGGAACATTTTTGCTGGATCAGCAGTCACAAGGTGAGCCGGCACATGTGACATTTGACCACTTGTTAAACGCTAATGATAACTGTACATCATGCAGGTACCGAGGAAATTGCATGTACCAGACACTGCAGGACAACCCTTCTCAACATGGTATTTAAAATGGCTTTTCCTCGCCTAAAGCGCCCGCAGCGTCGATGGCAGCAATATCTTCTGCAGACAAAGCTAAAGCATATCGTTCAGATTTACTTCAAACAATTGATCGAGTGAAACCTACTTATATCACCTGCCGCGATGTAACCTTGCAGACGTTCCTTCTTTGAACTCGAGCTACACGGGATACTGTCAATGGGAAACTTGCAAGATACCACATGTAGACTTACGTGACGACGACGGCCCCCTTGGCTTTGGTCCACGCCATGAGGAATTTGCTCGGTCGTTACACCGAACTTTGCAGCGATTTCGTTCAATGGTTTGTCCAAAGGACCGCCAGGTAACTGTGTGATGGGACTAGGGATAACAGTCAGCTACAAACGCACGTATCAGGGAGCCTGAAGTGAACTAACATCAACGCGCTGTATGCCTCGATAATAATTCCATTCTTCGCGGCATACTCAAGGATAGGTTTCTGTCGCTGATAGACATATGGATGAAGGAGAATCTACGCCAAATTGTCATCAAAAGTCAAATTACCTTTGAATTATTCGGTGTGCTACATACTTGATTGACCGCAGGCTTGACTTTTGCAGATGCCAGCAAAGTCTCCATGTGTTGGACGCCAAAGTTGCTGATACCAATGCTCCTGTGGTCTCAAGTCAGATTTCCATGTAGCCTTATCTCGTAAACCATTCACTTAGCAAGTCCATCTTCATTGACCTTTTCCATTTGCGCCCAACATGTGGGAATGTCAGGTACTGCCAGGCGCGGGGAATGGACTAGATAGAGGTCAACGTCCGATACCCCAAGCTGTATAGCAGCAAATGTCATGAAAGCACTGGCTGCAAGTTAAAACAGAACATACGCTGTTCAAACTGTTGTTGATGGAAGTCGGAATGTCAAGACCGTTTGAACCGGAGTACTTGGTTGTCACATAGACATCTGAACGAGAAAGTTCGGTCTCTTTCAAAGCGACACCGGTTTCTTCTTCATTCTTGTAGGCCTGCGCCGTGTCTGTACGATGGGATTAGTGTTGTCGCTCGGAGATATCTAGGGATTGAGGACTTGCCAATGTGGGTGAACCCATTTCCTAGGGCTTGTTTAACCTGGTCGATAGGTCCTTGGCCGTTACCTGTCTTCCAAGTACCGAATCCGATGCTTGGAATGTAGTGTCCTGACATGTCGATTCCCTAGTCAATAGCGGTTCGGAGGCGACGAAAGAAACACCGACCAGAATTCAGCTTAATTGGCTCCCAAGGCATTGCGACGGATGATGATAGAGGGTCACTTTAAAGAACTGGAAAAGAGGATGGGTTTATGTGGTGAACGTAACAGCTGACAACCCAGGGGCACATGTCTATCATGCACATGGGACCTAGCGATATGAATAGATCCAGCTCGCTCTGACATGAGTTGTTGAATCATGGGGCTTATCTATCTAGAATGAATGATTGTGAACAAGCATGGTTTAGAAGTAAGGGTGGGAAACTTCTGAGAATGGTTCTATTTGAGTAGTCATGCAGCATGGAACATATTTTGCTGGATTGGCGGGATAATGAACAAGTACTAGAGACATATGAGTATTTTCAAAAGCTAACGACCACTTCACATCATGTTGATGCCGAGGAAGTTGCATGCCCCAAAGACTGCGGTACAAGCAATTGCACCTACGACAACCCTTTTCAATATAGTCTTCATATTTGCTTTCTTCTCGCCCAAAGCGCCCGCAGCGTCAATGGCAGCAATATCCTCTGCAGACAAAGCTAAAGTATATCGTTCAGAACTACTTCAAATAGTTGAACCGGTTGAACCCACTTATATCACCTGCCGCGAGGTAGCCTTGCAGGCGTTCCTTCTTTGAACTTGTGCTAGATAGGCTTCTGTCAATGGGAAACTTCAAGATACCACATATAGACTCACGTGACGACAACGGCCCCCCTTAGCTTTCGTCCACGCCAGAAGGACTTGGTCGGTCGTTACACCGAACTTTGCGGCGATTTCGTTCAACGGTTTTTCCAAAGGACCGCCAGGTAACTTTGTAATGGGGCTAGGGATGACAATCAGCACGAACGATGTATCACGGAGCCTGAAGTTTAACTAACATTAGCGCGCTGTAGGCCTCGATGACGATTTCATTCTTCGCGGCATACTCAAGGATAGGTTTCTGTTGCCTATAGACGTATGGATGAAGGAGAATCTATACCAAGTTATGAAGGAAAAGTCTTGGACAATTCGATGTTACGCACCTGGTTGACCACAGGCTTAATCTTCGCAGACCCCAACAAAATTTCCATGTCTTGGACGCCAAAGTTGCTGATACCAATGCTCCTGCGGTTTCAAGTCAGATTATCCCACAGGATTATCTCGCAAATTATTCACTTAGCAAGTCCCTCTTCCTTGACCTTTTCCATTTGCGCCCAACATGTAGGGATGTCAGGTACTGCCAGGCGCGGGGAATGGACCAGATAAAGGTCGACATACGATAACCCAAGCTGTTTAGCAGTAACCGCCGTGAGAACGCTGGCTCCAAGCCAAGACAGAACATACGCTGTTGACACTGTTCCTGATAGAAGTTGGGATGTCGAGGCCATTTGTACCAGAGTACTTAGTGGTCACAAAGACATCCGAGCGAGAAAGCCCGCTTTCTTTCAAAGCATCCCCAGTTTCTCCTTCATTCCTGTAGGATTGCGCAGTGTCTACGCGATAGGATTGACGTCAACATAAGTTGTAGCTGTGAGTGCCTGGACTCACCGATATGGTTGTACCCATTTTCCAGAGCTTGTTCAACCTGGTCGATAGGTCCTTGGCCATTACCTAGCGTCCAAGTACCGAATCCGATACTTGGAATGTAATATCCTGACATATGAACCACCTTGTCAGCGCCGGTTCTGAAGCGACGAAAGAAACACCCACCAGAATTCAGCTTGATCGACTCCCAAGGCATTGCGACGAGTGATAGAGGGACATTTAGACAGCTGGAAAAGAGCGGGTTTATGTGGTGAATGGACTGCTGGCTATTCAAATCGACGTCACATGGGCACGCATCTATCGTGCACATGAGGCCTAGCCTATGATATGAATAGACCTCAACCTGCTGACGCAGCATCATGTGGTTCAGAACGAGTGCCGAAGGATGGTTGGGAAGATTTTGAACTCGCTAGTAGATGGACTGCTTCTGGTTACTCACTCGTCGGTGGCACTGTTCCCATGCTTTTGTGCTTATTGTAATGAAGATGTTTCCCAGTCTATCTGTTCTTCAGGATAGTTTGTCAGGAGTGGTAATAGAATGTCTGACAGTGTATTGTATCCTGTCGTGTAATCTGAAGTACATGCGGCCCTATACGCATGTGACAAGGATCTATGTTTCCTCAAAATCAAGTATCTCCCGCGACCAATGCACACCCTCTCTCCACCAACGGCATCCTCCCATCTCGACCTCGCACAGTCTCGGATACCTACTATGCAAGCAACTAACGAGTTCCAGTTGCTTGATACTTTCCACACACTGCACGTCCTCGTTTTCTGTCGAACTATGTGATAGCCGAAGTGTCACCAGCTTGGGCGGAAGTGGGGCACGACCCTCCGCCAGCCAACTCAGAAGGCCCTGAAAAGAGTTTCGTGAGGGCATGGCCTTAGTTGCGATTCGACGTACCTGGATGGTGTCCACAGTATCAAGTAGTTCACCAGCATGGTTGAAGCTGAACTCAGAACTTGACTCGGAAAGGGCGATGAATTTCTTCCTGTGCACATATAAAAGTATCAACGAAACTGCAGTGTGAAGATAAATACAACACTGACGGGTGTTAGCGGCGGGGGCCCCGAGATAAGGCCTAAGTCCAGGTGATGAAGATGTGGAAGATGCTTCGCGATGGCGGCGAGGTTATCTAAAGTGGGCAGAAAATACTCGATTGCTAGTTTCCTGACTGGAACTGCGGAAAGTGAGATGTCGCGCACGGTCGAGACCAGGTCGGAATGGATGGCATAACCTGGTTGATCGTCATTTGTGGTGACCATCATGAGCACGAGGCAAACACAATCGACTGGTCGTCCAGGCACGATGTACGAAAGCAGGTTTGGGTAGCCGTCGTAAGACCGAAGGAAAGACAGGGCTGGCAACGGGTGAGGCGGCGTGATGTTTGCAGACCAGGGGAAAATCCTCAATGTTGCTAGGGTGGGTATTGCTGAGAGGAATCTGAAGAAGTGGTCGCCACTCGGAGATGTGACAAATATGCTTAGATATGTGAGGTGGTGGAAGGGCGCCATAGACGAAAGGGCTGCTAGTATAGTGTGGGTGATAAGAAAGTCGATGAGGGTGAGTTTTTCTAGATAGGCTGGGTTACAGAGCACAGAAACCAACGGTTCTTCAATTGAACGGGGACCGAAGCTGTCTCCAGCGATTGCAAGTTCCTTTAGTTTGAGTGGGCGCTCCAAGTGAGATGAAGGCGGGAAGAGGCATGAGATGAGTCTGAGAGTCTCTAGTACAGGTAGCGACTCAATAATGATCCATTGTTGCCTTCCAAGGTTCATGCGGACAAGTTCGAGAGAGCGAAGATTAGGACTGCACGACACAAACGGAAAGATGTCATCGACCGATCTCGTGGCCAGGTTCTTCTCTTGCGAGCGAACAAAGTAGCGGATGTTGCTCCTGATCGCCGGCGCAGTTGCAATTGTCCAGTCTTGAACCATGTACCAGAGTTCACTAGCACTTGGATCTGAATAGAAACCTGTGATTCGGGGTAGCAGCACGCTCAAGCATCTTGAGAACTTTGTTCGTTGAGAGACGGTCCAGATTGTGGCTGGGGGGGAGCATCCCCGGAGAGGGGAGGGTGACAGTGAGCGACTGAAATATCCTAGATCTTGAGGTGTACCAGAATACGCGGGACACGCGGGACACTTGGAAAAGATCCCGTCGTCTCAGATAACCCCAGCAACTAATCAAGAATTTCGAAAGGCAACTTCAGAATAGGGGGGTTATTCTCCAAGTTGGAGTGCTCGGTACCGGAAGTTGGACATCGACCAGCGATGATAAAATACAGGTATATCACAAAAGAGAGTGGCGGACTAGTTTGATGTAGATAATGATTGCATTAACGAACAGCCTGTATATGGGGAATGTTGTTGTAGTCTGTGTATGTGTGCTTGGCGACATCGTTGAAATTCAGTCGCGTCATTATTACCACTTGGCAAAAACTCCCGCCCAGTACTGAAGATGAATTTGAGAGTTGCAAGGCCTAATATTTATTAAGATTCGACAGTCACCGGCGAAGGACTGTCTGACAGGTGGGATCAATTCAGCCCTGCTTCACTGGTTGTGTTACGTAAGCGATTGTTCGAAGCTTGTTCGACCATTAGCTAGTCTCCCGCCAGTTCAATTCCAAGCAATCAGGCCCAGGCTTAGAACCTGCACTGCGTAGCTGCCGAGCTCGAGTAGATAAAGACACTTTCGACGTTTGAACAGTTCAATACCATCTTCAAAATCTGGACAAATGTCCGAATCATTATATTCGTCTTGTGCGGAAGTCCTCTCCGTGTGCCAGGCCGCAAAGGATGACCTTGCTGCTCCTCCTCGACCCCAACACCGGATTTGCGCCTAGACTACGACAATTGTGTCGCGACCAGTGTGTATTAAATATCTTCTCTGTAGAGCGCACCTCACCAGTTACTAGAATAACAGAGGCGGAGAATAGCGCGTCTTCTGATGTCTCTCAAGAAGAACTCGACGTCTTACGCATGGAGGCTAATACGTGGGGTCCTTCTCCAAGCTGTAATTCCGTGAGTGAACGCGTCTTGCTGCTGGTTCTTAACTCAAGCCGACTACAGTGCCCGCAAAACTGAACCAGAACCACACGTCCATCCCCGCACATTACTTGCCAAAAATCCTTACACTCCTACGTCAACACTAGCACAAGCAATCATGCATTCGTCAGTGCTCCTCACAGAACTCGTCGTAGTGCGGGAATGGCTTCATGAAACTGCACCACAACCGCAACATCCAGAAGCCACCACGGGATACTGGAAGTTTACGAAAACATAATGTTATGCAGGCTCTACGCACAGGCTCAGGAATAAGAGAGGGTCTGGTGAAAGAGCTAGATCCTGATGCTATGAACAGAGGCTGATGGTAGATCATTAGCAGCTGATGACGCCGTGAGTCCAAATAATCATCTGTTCGAACACTGACTAACATGCAATAATTCGCAGGGATTCGAGAAAAGCCTAGCACAAGCGCTCTATTCATTCGTTCGTGCTGGCAGATTGGACGAGGCAGTTGAATTATGCAGAAAAGCACATCAGCCATGGAGAGCTGCAAGTATCCGCGGTTCGCTATTATTTCAGTGGCGAGCTATTGGTAAGTCAAGCTCTATGTATCATCTACGCATCTTCCTGATCTGCTGACAGCAAACGAGCAACGGGACTGACGACGGCATCGATGACACCGAGGATGCCGAAGGGTGGCAGGGAAACCCACGTCGAAAACTATGGAAATCAACATGCGCAAGAGCAGCTCTGAATGTGCGCTATTCAACCATCTTTTTCACCAACTTGTTAACGTGTCCTTGAAGCCCAACCTCCCTGATCCAGAGCGCATTCTCTATGCAGCTCTCGCGCCCTGCCCTCAAACATTCAGTGTCCTCAAGTCCGCATGTCGAACATGGGAAGACCACCTATGGGCACAGATCAGTATCCTATGTGAGGAGAAACAGACCGCAGAGATGATTAAACTAGGTGGCGGCTTCTGGGATGGATGGCCTGGCAGTGTTAGAAAATATGCCCTCACCACCATCTCACGAGGAAGATGCAGCTGAGGAAGAAGAGTGGGAGAGGGAAGCGACATCTACGTTGGAAACACTAGGTAGCGTTCACTGTGGAGGACGGGTACGGCCTACATACATCTGTCTCTTTTTCATGTGCTGACCGTCAGTCAGTCCCACCGCAGACCATGCATTCCATGTCTCTCAGCTGGCCATCATCCTCGATCGGACAAGTTCACTGCTAGAAACCTTTGCAGCTGGACTCAAGGATGGAAACTTCGATCCCGAATCATCAGAGTAAGCCGAACAACGTGCATTGGACATTCTCTAACAAAGCAGCAGGTACCCTACGATGACGCGTTTCTTCGCGCACCTCTGCCTTTACTTGCGTATGATTGACATTCCAGTTCCGCCGCTCGCGACCCAAGTCGTTCTCGAGGCTTACCTACAAGTGTTGGAAGTAAGAAAATCGTCTTATTATTTGTTCCGCACTAATATCCCTTATCAGGCTGCAGGCCAACGAGAGTTGATCGCCATGTATGCCGGCGCACTAGGAGACAATGCAGTGGAGCGATATGCAATGTTCTTGACCTCGCTCGAACTGACCTGCGGACATCAACGAACGTCGATTAGCATTGACTCGTGCACGAGAACATGGTCTAAACGTTCACAGGGTGGCAGTCGTCACTGCCGAGCGAACAATCGATAGAGCCTTCGAGGTTGGTAGGACTCACATCTCACAAAACTCGTGCGCTGAACACTACTTTCAGCTTCTACCCCAAATGAAGGGACCGCTCCCTTCTGTCATTGCATTGCAGGCCACTGCTTCTGATATCGAGCTCCTACTGCTTCGTTCCATAGAGTGGACGACATTTGAGGATGGAACGTATGATACTGCACTGGAACAAGCCACCGTCATTTTGCGGTACTTCCTAGGTAAGTTTATTGTTGAGGTTCTACTATCACGATTAAATCCATGACTTCCAGGGGCTGGGAGGGTTTCACTTGCAAAAAGCCTCGTGGAGATGCTTCCGCGTGAACTCGCCTCCATCGACCAACCTGAGGAGCGAGCCACAGAATACCTTCACTACAGACAATTCTTCACGATTTGGGACAGTCTTGACCGGGTCGTTGAGTGCCAGAGTCTAGAAGTGTCGATAATGAACCGGGATACCAGGGCCGCTTGGCTAAGCGACTACAAGGGGCTCATGGATCAGGCCTATGATGCCGTAGTGAAACTGCTAACTTCGGATTGGATGATGCCAGATGAGACAGGAGATCGCCGTTCCCGCGAGCTAACTCGTGTTCGGCAGATATACGTCCCCGAGCTTATACTGCGACTGCATGTGATGCTTTACGCCTCTCGAGAGCATGTCCCAGAGTAAGCATGTATTCGTATGCAATGCCTGCAGTTCTAACACATCTTGGACAGGAATCTGAAGCGCGCATTGGAGCTTGCCAATGTTGTTGCGGATTCGAGGTACAAGCTGTATGATGATTTTCTACATCTCGATGGCCGAAGGCTTGGGGAGTACCTCGACGCTGTGCGCCGGGCCACGATAGCTGGGTTGGAAGGGGGTGGATCGGATCCTTTCAAGATTATTCTATCGTAATCACACATCTTCTACATATTTGATCTTTCTGTGACAGACTTGCTGTAATCATGACCTTGCTGATGGGCTGCGAGATTGTGACTTGTCCCCTTCTATAGAAAGTATGGTCGACTCGGACCATCGATAATCTTTGCATTCTATTTGATGCAAAGACTCAGTACAGTACAGAGGGGCGCATCTAAGCACAGTCACACACGAGTCCGTGGGGCGACTATGTGTACCAGACAAAGGCAATGATAAAGCTGGCAGAGCAGTATATAACAGCAGGTAACGGTATCGCAGGCTTGTAAGGTAAGGCGTGATTGTCATACAATAATGCACGAAAAAGAAATATCAAAAGTATCGTACAGTCATGATTTAAACAACTGAGATCTAAGCAGGACAGCGGGGGAATGAAAGTAGTCGGGGTCACAGGAGATGCAATAAAATAACAAATCAAGCTTCAAACTAGATACCTATGTGAACAAATACGATCTGCTGTTCCAGTGGAATATTATTGCGCCGCAATTTCTTCACAGCCTTGTGCAACGCCACTGCAGCACGTCTGCAGTCTAATCTCCCTGAATCATCCACCAACTTGTCGTAAAAAGCAGACACAACCTGCCGTGCAACCTCGTCGTCGACGGACCACATTGAGCCAATCACACTGCGAAATCCGGAGAATTGCATAGCTGCAGCGAGATGGATCGACTCGTCGGGACTCTTCTCGTCGCCAACGGTAGTGTGGCAAGCCGATAAGAATGCAAACTCCGGGTTCTGCCAGTTGGATCGGATGATGTCCTTGATCATCAACGGCCCATCGCGCATTGTGAAGGAAGATTCGAACGGTTGTGTCCGATGGGGCATTCCATGGCAGGCGAGATGGAGCCACTGATTGTGATTTAGTGCATCGAGTGCACCTTGCACAGTTGCGAGGTTGTCTCGGAGTGATGTGAAGGATGACACGATGGGTACGAGACGTTGAGCTATGGCAGCTAATTCAGGAGCGACGCATCGCAGTTCCTTCCCTCTCTCCGGGTTTCCTTGACCAATTGCAACAAAATATTGAGTAGATCCATATCGAGAAACGCGCTGTCTCGCACGGACGAGTGTCGCCAAAGTGGGGGTATAAGAGGAGATATAAATCTGGGACAAGTTGTCTCTCTCCCTCTCATAGGGTCCTGCTGCATGTAGAGGAAGCAAAGTAAATTCAGCAGTAGGACACCACCATATACGCGAGCCAGGGCAAACATTCGAATTTCTAAGGGCTTGAATCACAGGGTCAACGATATCATGCCAAAGCTTGCGGAGGATGCCCACAAGCTTGTTCTGATGATCGGAACAACCGAATTGCTCTGCAACGGACTGAAAATCGGAGGACAATTCAGAGACTTCAGCCCGCGTGACATTAAGCGGAACGTGGACAGGATTTTGGTCACTTAGGACAATCAAGGCGTCACAGCTGTATTGACTAGCATTGACGATAATGACAGGACCCTCGTCAGCGGCCTTCTGTAGGTCTGAGAACATGGGAGGCAGAAGAAACCGAGATAAGTCAGGGAGCATGCGGATGCGGGAGATGACATCGTTCCATTGGATGGTCAGTTGTCGGATTTGTGGGGACTGGTCTTCAGTAGACTGATCGAATGCGGTACGAAGGTGAACGCTCAGCTGCTTGAATTCTTCCGCTAAGACTCCGCCGGTGTCACCGGGCAAGGAAAGTCCATCGAACGGCGAGCTTAAGCGTACCAACTGGGTCCAGAATACTGCACGACCTTGCTCCACCAGTTCCACAGCAGTTGTCAGCGCACCATGACGAACGCTGCACGAGAAGGCGTCCACAGCAAGGGACGCCGTAGCCATCCTCACGACATCGAAATGACGGGAAGAAGACGACAAAAGATTGACATGCTGATCTAGGAATTTGGATGCAGTTTGATATGCGAGCAATGCAGAAGTATGGTTTGTCTCTTCAGCAGCGGTAGCCCATGACTTGGCAGCAGTAAGATCCGAACGAGAGACTGCATGAGATATGTGTGGGAGTTGCAAGAACAGGCTAAATGTTTCATCAAGGTCAGACGGGATGCCTCGCTGCCTGAATCTGTCTCCAAGGCCACTAGCGAGATTCTTGAGAGACTCTGATCGATCAGAATGACCGGGGGGGCAAAGGAGTAGTGCATCCCGATGGAGCTCGATGGACTCATCAAGGTCAGACGGGACGCCCCGCTGCCTGAATCTGTCTCCAAGGCTGTTGGCAAGACCGTTGAGAGACCACCATCGATCAGAATGGCCGGAGGGCCAAAGGAGCAGTGCAGCGCGATAGAACTCAATGGACTCATCAAGGTCAGATGGGACGCCCCGCTGCCTGAATCTGTCTCCAAGGCTGAGGGCGAGATTGTTGAGAGACTGTGATCGATCAGAATGACCAGGGGGACGAAGGAGTAGTGCAGCCCGATGGAGCTCGATGCACTCATCAAGGTCAGACGGGACGCCCCGCTGCCTGAATCTGTCTCCAAGGCTGAGGGCGAGATTGTTGAGAGACTGTGATCGATCAGAATGACCAGGGGGACGAAGGAGTAGTGCAGCCCGATGGAGCTCTATGGACTCATCAAGGTCAGACGGGACGCCCCGCTGCCTGAATCTGTCTCTAAGGCTGAGGGCGAGATTGTTGAGAGAGAGTGGTCGATCAGGATGGCCGGGGGGGCAAAGGAGTAGTGCAGCCCGATGGAGCTCGATGCACTCATCAAGGTCAGACGGGACGCCCCGCTGCCTGAATCTGTCTCTAAGGCTGAGGGCGAGATTGTTGAGAGAGTGTGGTCGATCAGGATGGCCGGGGGGACGAAGGAGTAGTGCAGCCCGATGGAGCTCGATGGACTCATCAAGGTCAGACGGGACGCCCCGCTGCCTGAATCTGTCTCCAAGGCTGTTGGCGAGATTGTTGAGAGAGTGTGGTCGATCAGAATGACCAGGGGGACAAAGGAGTAGTGCAGCCCGATGGAGCTCGATGGACTCATCAAGGTCAGACGGGACGCCCCGCTGCCTGAATCTGTCTCTAAGACTGAGGGCGAGATTGTTGAGATACCGTGATCGAAGGGAATGACCGGGGGAATATCTCTTCAAGGCCGCTCGACACTGTTCCACATTGTCTGCCATGCTATGATACCACAATCAAGTTACACAAGGACTGTCAGGAACACGGGGAGGATGTAGCCGAACAGTGTGAGTGGGCGAAGATGACGAGTACTGTCGTGTTATCTGCTTTTCGTTAGCACAAAATCCGGGCAGATAAGTTTGAATCGCAATGCGCACACACATTAGTAGAAACCCGAGTAATGAAGCAGTAGATGCCTGCGAGAGTGGTCCAAGTTGACATTCAAGGTTGAAAATATTCATGCCTGCAGGCTGCGTGCAGGTGAAGAAATGAAATGCTGAGCGCTAGTCAATTACGACAGGTTCCACGTGTCCACTGTGGTCGACACCTACTATCAATCCACTACAGTATCCAGACAAATCGAAGCCAAGGGGTTCTGCGTCTGCCAATACGCAGGTCAAAGTGTCGCAGGTGTGGGACTGGCTAGTGCAACATGGGGAGCATGGTTTGATCATCATCCAGACGTTCACACTTTTTGTGGAGAACGTTCTACTCAGTGTTTAGCCCTAGCGACCAACCGTGACGTTGGTCCTGTTTCTGTCTTCTTCGTCAGACTTCGACAGGAAGGAGCTGGAAGGAGTCTGACTTGTAAGGTGTTTCTTGGAAGGTGCCACTTAATTTTTAAATTTCGTCAAACTGCCTACATAATCTGAGAGACCTACCTTCCCACCACTAGTTAAAGTTCGTGCTCTTGCATTCCCTCTGAAGGCTTCATAACAGCTCCTCACGAACCTCTAGCGCCTCTCCCATTCCTCCAGCCTTTCCTCTGATACCTCCAGCGCACTGCCATCATCTTGTCGACTCTTCCCTGCCCCTTTCTTGCCACCACACACATCGACACCCAAGACAGTAGTCGAAGACGTCAACACATATCTGTCACATTGACACATCCACGTGCATGTCGATGATGCATGAACTGGAGTGCAGCGGCGTGGCTTATGCAGCGGATGCGTAACAGACCCACCTTCCTTAGCTGCTGATGCCGAGAAGAGGAGAGAGTCAGGTCTTCCACGACCAACTCAATCGCATTTCAAGAGAATTGGTTCGTTTCCTCAACTTCGTTCTTAAACGTCACCTGACTCTCGGTTGTTTGTAGGCGACCGGCAAAGCCGATTCCTCGTTTGCTTTATACCCTCTTGAGAACCAGTCCTCACACAAGCTTTGGGACGAAGACATAGCCTATCTCGCTGGATCGCTCTTGGCGCCGGCTCAGACACGACTGCCGTGGCGATCATCTATGTTTTCATGGCTTGGCATGTTATCCGAAGGTGCAGGAGAAAGCGCAAGAGTAGCTGGATATCGTCGTTGGTCTTGACAGAGGTATGCCGAGGCTCATCTTAGTGAATGAATCTCAACCTGGTCGTTACAGCTCCCACGTTTGACTACAATTCCCTTCCTCATATCGAAGCGTTCATGTTGGAACTGGAGGCCTGTAACAACTGTTGCATTTGCTCACCGTGCTTCAACCGATATCGTTTATGTACGTTTCCAGTACTTTGGCTTGATTTTCCCATTCTTATGGCTGTTCGAACAGAAACCTACAGAATTAATAATATGCTGATCACACTTTGACAGGGCAATCCCACGCGACACATTGTTTACCTCAACCCCGACTCGGACAAATTCGATCCCGAAAGATGGCTCATCAGCAAAGGCAAAATTCGGCACGGCATCAAGTTCCCTTCATATGGCTTTGGATGCAGGCACAAGCCTCGTCCAATATTGGACCACCTGCAGAATCTGCCCCGGGCGGTACATAGCGTTCAGCCTTCATCAACATCGCGCTCCTCCTGTAGTCGTTCGAGATTGCTCAGGACCTGCAGAACCCGATTGATGAGACGGGCTTCGTGGATAGCGTAATTTTGCACCCCAAACCGTTCAATGCGCGCTTCCAGCCGGGGTTTGAGGATGAGGCATTATTGAGGGACGCGATGGCTCAGTACGGGGAGGAGTTGTAGGATCCTGAGCATGAAGTAATGACTTATGCATGAGCTTGGGATGTGCTGAGGTTTGTACTTTTGGCGAGTAACATCAGGTTGTTTTTGGAATAACGAACTTCAACGTAACTGCCCAAGGCCTCAAACTAGCGCGCGCGTATGGCTGCATCGACACTCGTCTACATGTCGACTTTGCGCAACTTACATATGCACCACCCAAGTCTTAATTAACCCAAAACATTGTCTACTACCAGTGGACCCTTTCTATGGCTACTAACAGGCTTGTATGCGTGCCGCATTTGTTACTCGCATATCATGTTCAATATAGCCCTGCAGACTTCTTGTTCCGCCAGACTTGTGCAATCATTGATTTTCTGACTTCCTTCTTGCTTCCCTTGCCCAGTACTTCTCGACGCGTGCAACACCCGAGCGCTGTGGCAAAAATGGAACCTACTTCAGTTGAATCGATTGGGTCAACTCTTTGAGGCGCTGCTCAATTTTTCAGTGTCATTGTCAAGTTACATACACAGACCTCTCGACACCCAATTTGTCTAGATATCCGCATGGGCTAAAACTTGGAAATTCTAAACCTGGTCGCAGAGTATAATGAGACATGTTGAAATGTCCAAAAGATTCTCATTTAGATGAGATCTGGAAAGAATAGGGCCACTGGTGTGTCCGGGCATGCAGATCTACACTTTGTGCCACTCCTGATGGCAGGATGCCTTCTTCCGCCCTTTACAGTTTTCCGAACCAGTCGCGGTCCGCGCCAAGCGACGACAGCCCGATTTAGATTGCAACTCGGTTCTAAGTTTGCAACCTGATTTGCACAACCACAGGGAGGGCTACGATGGGATGTTCAGAACGGACGTTCGACCAGCTCAATAACTTTTACCTAAGCACGTCGAGCTCGCCTCTGGATGGAATACAACGTCGCACACGCTGATTATAACTTATTGTAAGTCCTGTATTCCTCTCGCCCCTTCTCACTAGCTTTTCATTCGTTTGTGGTTATTTATGGCTATCTCTTCCTTCGTTTTCGTCCTCTCCTTGTTTCTCTTTTCATCACTCAGATACTTGGGCATCTTCCCTTATTCCAATCGCATCTTACTCCAGTCGTTTGACCCTTTCTTATTTTCATTTTTCACTTATCTCGACAAATTCCCCAGATTTTCTCCTTCGACTTTCCAACTTAGTTTGCTGTTTCTTACTATAACCGGCCCAGGGCGCCTTCTTCCAAATGTTAACTATCGACTCTAAACACTAACTGTTGACATAACGCTGACGCTCACGCAGCTCTCTGGCAGGACGTAGCGACGGAGCATGCGAGCGTGGATGGTCATTATAGGCTGGTGCGTTTGTTCGTTTGATACTTTGTTCGACCATGTTTGATCTGATGATCTTGACATAAATTCCCTATTCATCTTACCGTGGATCTAATCATCACACTCGCACATCCAACACCCCCACCATCCAACCATCTCATCCAACTCCCACCCCCAACACCACCAGAAAAGGCCAATAAAGCATTCGCAACCCGACCCACCAGCGTCCTCCAACCAGGCGACCTCGTCTGGGCCTACGGCTACCATCGCCTCTTAGTCCAGCCCATATTCAGGAATGTGATGCATCGGTGCTGTGAGTGACGTGGGTAGTAGTAGTGTGTAAGTGTTTTTTGAACGACGATGGCAAGAGTACTGATATACTACACCGCAGGATGCATCAGTGTTTTTGTCTATACGCCTTTCCCTTGTTTTACCGCATACATCTCTCTCCTCCCCGCTCTCTGTAATGCTCGTCGACAATATTTACTAAAGAGCGTGGCGACATAGAGCTCGCTGTGTCTCCAGAAGTTGTTTGGACGGCTGCTGTTGGATATAGCAGCAAGCGAGTGCATGCAAGTTGGTATGTGACGACGCCTGAGCGGTTGGTGGAAGATTGGTTCGGGAGACACCTCAAGGGGAGGGTGTGTGTTTGTACTGCTAGCGTAGTTCCTGGGGAGTGTCACAAAGACTTCCAGGACTTGCTGCACGAAATTACCTTGGAGATTGTCTTATAATCCGATACCCAAACCCGCCCGCATGATAGTTTCCCGTTCGCTGGTGTTGTAACATTTTTACGTCGAAGCTGGACACACTTGAATTGATGTGTGAGCATGACTGGAATGTCCTTTCTCAATTTTCTTGTATTCCTTATGGGTCGGGGCATCTACTGTTATAGTTCTAGCGAAATTATTAACACCCGGGTGATGAATGTTCTCCTCGCCACCCGTACTTGAACGACCAGCGACAGCAACAACATCCCAACCATCACCTTTATTTCATCTCTCTTCCTTTTACTCCACTCCCTGCCACAGCGTCTGAACCATCCGAATCGAGCTTCCGGATGCGCACATCCAAAACGCTCCCATTCCGTGCAGGGCGTAAGTTGTGTTGTATGATGGAGCCGTGGCAGGGTGAGGTAGACTGCACGACTCCTCGCCCATTCCCTCGCTCACCATAAGAAGTGCGGGTGGGAGGTCTGAGTTGTAATATATATGGCTTGATCTCAGTTGTGCACTGGGATGCGCGCTGGAGGGATATTCTAGAGAGGACGGCAGGGAAGCGTAGGGGAGTTTTACAAGTCTTCGGGGGGAGATGAATTGAATTAACTATGCACGGTGAAGTAGATATCACTCACTGTACTCTCATCCTATATCACTGTCCTACCCCCTGCACATCGGGTCTGGGAGAGAGGTGTAGATGCGTATTACACGCGAATGGCCATGGGCGCCTCCTGTGCTGACTGCATGCAAGGGTGTGAGCAAAGCACGAGAAGAGAGGGTAGATGAATATCCGCGGAGAGACGAAATTAGGAATGGAATTGGAAAATACAAGCTCGTGTTTTTAGAGCAAGGAAAACTTGTGAATACAGCCTGCATATTCAAAAACAGCCCGCAAAAACGAACACCAAAGTTCTTGCAACAAAAGAAAGAAAGAACCTGGTCGAACAAAAAGCGACTCACACATTGCTCACACAGACATCCTACACGTCAACCGGTACGCCTCACTATCATACAAGCTCTACATTCCCGCGAGCACATGAATGCGTCTGAGTAGTGGTCTGCGTCAAGGGAGAGGGGTTGGGATATAGTAGTAGGGAACTGTAGCCGATGATCATTGAGTCAATTGCCGGAAAAACAAGATAAAGACACGTACATCTAGAGGATCGCGAGGTTGATCGCACGAACAATACTATAGGGACTGTCTTCCCATATGACACACCCTACTGCCCAGTACTGAGTACTGAGTACTGAACACTGAAACTTGAAGTCGAATTTGAGAGTTGCAAGGCCTGATATCAAGAGGTCGATAGTCACCGGTGAAGAACGCCTGGGATGAACATGGTATCATTGTACAATTCAGCTCTGCTGCTGCAGTATAGAGGGAGACGGCCGTAGTGTCAGTCACTGCAGTAGAAGTTGCAATGAAGTGGTGTATTACATACTAAGTGACTGACTGCCAATTTCAATTTCAAGCGATCAATCGATTAGGCGCAGAACTCGAACTGTGTAGCTTCCGGGCTCGAGTAAATAAAGGCAGCTCGACATTGGACTAGTTCGAAAACGCCGTTTCATTTCCAAATCCTGGAGAAATCTCCGAACCCTTATATTCGTCTTGTGCAGAAGTTCTCTCTGTGTGCCAAGTTGCAAAAGATGACCTTACCGCTCTCCTTGATCCCATATATGGGATTTGTGCATAGACTACGACAATTGTGTTGTCGACGTCTTGCGCGTGGAGGCTAATACGTGGGACCTTCTTTAAGCTGTAATGCCGTGAGTGAATGCATCTTGCTGCTGGTTCTTAACTCAAGTCGACTGCAATGCCCGCAAAACAGAACCAGAACCACACATCCATCCCCGTACATTATTTGCCAAAAATTCCTACACTCCCACGTCAACACTGGCACAAGCAATTATGCATTCGTCAGTGCTCCTCACAAAACTCGTCGTAGTGCGAGAATGACTTCATGAAACTGCACCACAACTGCAACATCCAGAAGCCACCACGGGATACTGAAAGTTTACAAAACTTAATGTTATGCAGGCTCTACGCACAGGCTCAGGAATAAGAGAGGGTTTGGCGAAAGAGCTATATCATGATGCTATGAACAGAGGTGATGGTCGATCGTTAGCAGCTGATGATGCCGTGAGCCAAATGATTACCTGTTGAAACACTGACTGACATGCAATCATTCACAGGGATCCGAGAAAAGCCTAGCACAAGCGCTCTATTCATTCGTTCGTACTGGCAGATTGGACGAGGCAGTTGAATTATGCAGAAAAGCACATCAGCCATGGAGAGCTGCAAGTATCCGCGGTTCGCTATTCTTTCAGTGGCGAGCTATTGGTAAGTCAAGCTCTAGGTATCATCCACGCATCTTTCTGATCTGCTGACAGCAAACGAACAACGGGATGACGACGGCATCGATGACGCCGAGGATGCCGAAGGATGGTAGGGAAATCCACGTCGAAAACAACATGGGCAAGAGCTCTAAATGTGCGCTATTCAAACATCTTTTCACCAACTTCTTAACGTGTCCTTCAAAGTCCAACCTCCCTGATCCAGAGCGCGTTCTCTATACAGCTCTCGCGCCCTGCCCTCAGACATTCAGTACCCTCAAGTCCGCATGTCGAACATGGGAAGACCATCTATGGGCACAGATCAGTATCCTATGCGAGGAGAAACAGATGATTACACTTGGTGGTGGCTTCTGCGATGGAGGCCTGGTGGTATTCAAAAATATGCCATCGCCACCATCCCACGAGGAAGATGCAGCTGGGGAAGAAGAATGGGAGAGGGAAGCGACATCTACATTGGAAATACTAGGGCGTTCGTGGCGGACGGGTGCGGCCTGCATACATGTGTCTATTTTCCGTGTGCTGATCGTCATTCAGTCCCACCGCAGACCATGCATTCCATGTCTCTCAGCTGGCCATCATCCTCGATCGGACAAGCTCATTGCTAGAAACATTTGCAGCTGGACTCAGGGATGGAAACTTTGATCCTGAATCATCAGAGTAAGCCGAACAACGTGCATTGGACATTATCTAACAAAGCAGCAAGTACCCTACGATGACGCGTTTCTTCGCTCACCTCTGCCTTTGCCTACGTACGATTGACATTCCAGTTCCTCCGCTCGCGACCCAAGTCGTTCTCGAGGCTTACCTACAAGTATTGGAAGTAAGAAATTGTTTTTTATCTTGTTCCGCACTAATATCCCTATCAAGGCTGCAGGCCAACGAGAGTGGATCGCCATGTATGCCGGCGCACTAGGAGACAATGCAGTGGAGCGATATGCAATGTTCTTTACCTCGCTCGAACTGACTGCGGACATCAACTTGAACGAACGTCGATTAGTGTTGACTTGTGCGCGGGAACATGGTCTAAACGTTCATAGGGTGGAAGTCGTCACTGCCGAGCGAACAATCGATAGAGCGTTCCACGTTGGTGGGACTCGCATCTCACGAAACTCGTGCGCTGAACACTACTTTCAGCTTCTACGCCAAATGAAGGACCCGTTCCCTTCTGTCATTGTGTTACAGGCCACTGCTTCCGATATCAAGTTCCTGCTGCTTCGTTCCATAGAGTGGACGACATTCGAGGATGGAACATATGATACTGCTCTGGAACAAGCCACCGTCATTTTGCCGGTACTTCCTAGGTAAGCTTTTATGCGAGGTTCTGTTATTATGGCTTAATGCATGGCTTCAGATGCCGGGAGGGTTTCACTTGCAACGAATTCCGTGGAGATGCTTCCGCATGTACTCGCCTCCATCGACCAACCTGAGGAACGAGCCACAGATTACCTTCACTACAGGCAGGTCTTCACGATCTGGGACAGTCTTGACCGGGTCGTGGAGTGCCAGAGTCTAGCTGGGTTGGAAGGGGGTGGATCGGATCCTTTCAAGATTATTCTATCGTAACCACACATCTTCTCCATATTTGTTCTCTAGCTTTGTGCTACAGACTTGCTGTAATTATGACCTTGTTGATGGGCTTCGAGGTTGTGACTTGTCCCCTTCTACTCATAGAAAGGATGGTCGACTCGGACGATTGATGACCTTTGCATTCTATATGACGCAAAGACTCAATACAGTACAGAGAGGCGCATCTAAGCAGAGTCACGCACAAGTCCGTGGGGGCGACTATATGTATATCAGACAAACGTAAAGACAAAAGTATACTAGCTTATGTGTGCATATAAGAGCAAGTAACGGATAGTATGTCTGTAAGGTATGAAAGAGATATCAAAAGCACCGCGCAGACATGATTTCAACCACATAGGACAGCGGGGGGATGTAATTGGGGTCACAGAAAATGCAATAAAATAACGAATCAAGCCTCGAATCAGACACCTATGTGAACAAATACGATTTGCTGTTCCAGTGGAATATTATGCCGCAACTTTTTCACAGCCTTGTGCAACGCCACCGCAGCCCGTGTGCAGTCCAATCTCCCTGAATCATCCACCAACTTGTCATAAAAAGCAGACACAACCTGCCGCGCAACCTCATCGTCGACGGACCACATAGAACCAATCACACTGCGAAATCCGGAGAATTGCATCGCCGCGGCGAGATGGATAGACTCGTCGGGACTCTTCTCATGGCCCACGGTAGTGTGGCAAGCCGATAAGAATGCAAACTGCGGGTTCTGCCAGTTGGATCGGATGATGTCCTTGATCATCAACGGCCCATCACGCATTGCGAAGGAAGATTCGAATGGTTGTTGTCGGTTCGGCATTCCGTGGCAGGCCAGGTGAAGCCACTGGTTATGGTTCAGTGCATCAAACGCGCCTTCAACTGTTGCGTCACCATCCTCCAGCTGCGTGAAGGACGACACGACAGGCGTGAGACGCCGGGCGACGACGGCTAGCTCGGGACCGACACATTCGAGTGGCTTCCCTCCCTCCGGTTGTCCTTGACCAATGGCAACAAAATGTTGCGGGGACACATCTCGAGAAACCTGCTGTCTCGCACGAACGAGTGTCGCCAAAGTGGGGGTATACGAGGAGATGTAGATGTGAGTCAAACTGTCTCTCTTCTTTTCATAGGGCCCCGCTGCATGTAGAGGAAGCAGAGTGAACTCAGCAGTGGGACACCACCAGATACGCGAGCCAGAGTGAATATTTAACACCCCAAGGGCTTGTACTATGGGGCCAACGATGCCATGCCAAAGTTTGCCAAGGATGCTGACAAGCTTGAATTGGGTGTCAAAAGAACCAAATTCTTTTGAAAGGGACTGAAACTCGGAGGACAAATCAGAAACTTCAGTCTGCGTGATATCAATCGGAACGTGGACAGGATCCCGGTCACTTAGGACAATCAAGGCGTCACAGCTGTACTGACTAGCATTGACGATAATGACAGGGCCTTCTTCAGCGGCCTTCTGCAGGTCAGAGAACATGGGAGGCATGAGAAACCGAGATAAGTCAGGGAGCATGCGGATGCGGGAGACGACATCGTTCCATTGGATGGTCAGTTGTCGGATTTGTGGGGGCTGGTCTTCAGTAGACTGATCGAATGCGGTGCGAAGGCGAAAGCTCAGCTGCTTGAATTCTTCCGCCAAAGCTCTGCCGGTGTCACCGGCCAGGGAAAGTCCATCGAACGGCGAGCTTAAGCGTGCCAACCGGGTCCAGAATACTGCACGACCTTGCTCCACCAGTTCCACGGCACTTGTCAGCGCACCATGACGAACGCTGCACGAGAAGGCGTCCATAGCGAGGGACGCCGTAGCCATCCTCACGACATCGAAATGACGTGACGAAGACGACAAAAGATTGACATGCTGATCTAGGAATGTCAATGCAGTTTGATATGCGAGCAATGCAGAACTATGGTTTGTCTCTTCAGCAGTGGTAGCCCATGACTTGGCGGCAATAAGATCAGCACGAGAGACTGCATGGGATACGTGTGTGAGTTGCAAGAACAGGCTAAATATTTCATCAAGGTCAGACGGTACGCCTCGCTGCCTGAATTTGTCTGCAAGGCTGTTGGCGAGATTTTTGAGAGACTGTGATCGATCAGAATGACCGGGGGGACGAAGGAGTAGTGCAGCCCGATGGAGCTCGATGCACTCATCAAGGTCAGACGGGACGCCCCGCTGCATGAATTTATCTCGAAGGCTGAGGGCGAGATTGTCGAGAGACAGTGATCGATCAGAATGACCGGGGGGACGAAGGGATAGTGCAGCCCGATGGAGCTCGATGGACTCATCAAGGTCAGATGGGACGCCCCGCTGTCTGAATCTGTGTCCAAGGCTGTTGGCGAGATTTTTGAGAGAGTATGATCGATGATAATGTCCGGGGGGACGAAGGAGTAGTGCCTCCCGATGGTGCTCGATGGACTCATCAAGGTCAGACGGGACGCCCCGCTCCCTGAATCTGTCTCCAAGGCTGAGAGCGAGATTGTTGAGAGACACTGATCGATCAGAACCACCCGGGGGACGAATGAGTAGTGCCTCCCGATGGAGCTCGATGCACTCATCAAGGTCGGACGGGACGCCCCGCTGCATGAATTTATCTCGAAGGCTGAGGGCGAGATTGTCGAGAGACAGTGATCGATCAGAATGACCGGGGGGACGAAGGAGTAGTGCAGCCCGAAGGAGCTCGATGGACTCATCAAGGTCGGATGGGATGCTCCGCTGCATGAATCTGTCTTCAAGGCTGGCAGCGAGATTGTTGAGAGACTCTGGTCGATCAGAATGACCAGGGGGACGAAGGAGTAGTGCAGCCCGATCGAGCTCGATGCGCTCGTCAATGTCAGACGGGACGCCCCGCTGCCTGAATCTGTCTCCAAGGCTGGCAGCGAGATTGTTCAGAGACCGTGATCGATCTGAATGACCGGGGGGACGAAGGAGCAGTGCAGCCCGATGGAGCTCGATGCACTCATCAAGGTCAGACGGGGCGCCTCGTTGCTTGAATCTGTCTCCAAGGCCGACAGCGAGATTGTCGAGAGACAGTGATCGATCAGAATGACCGGGGGGACGAAGGAGTAGTGCAGCGCGATGGAGCTCAATGGACTCATCAAGGTCAGACGGGACGCCCCGCAGCCTGAATCTGTCTTGAAGGCGGGCAGCGAGATTGTTCAGAGACTCTGATCGATCAGAATGTCCGGGGGAACGAAGGAGTAGTGCGGCCTGATGGAGCTCGATGGACTCATCAAGGTCAGACGGGATGCCTTGCTGCCTAAATCTGTGTCCAAGGCTGGCAGCGAGATTGTTGAGAGAGTATGATCGATCACAATGACTGGGGGGGAGGAAGGAGTAGTGCGGCCCGAAGGAGCTCGATGGACTCATCAATGTCAGACGGGACACCCCGCAGCCTGAATCTGTCTGCAAGGCTGGCAGCGAGATTGTTCAGAGACTGTGATCGATCAGAATGACCGGGGGGACGAAGGAGTAGTGCCTCCCGATCGAGCTTGATGCGCTCATCAAGGTCAGACGGGACGCCCCGCTGCCTGAATCTGTCTGCAAGGCTGGCAGCGAGATTGTTGAGAGACATTGATCGATCAGAATGACCCGGAGGACAAAGCAGTAGTGCAGCCCGATGGAGCTCGATGGACTCATCAATGTCAGACGGGACGCCCCGCTGCCTGAATCTGTCTGCAAGGCCGACCGCGAGATTGTTGAGAGACCGCCATCGATCAGCATGACCCGGGGGACGAAGGAGTAGTGCATCCCGATGGAGCTCGATGGACTCATCAATGTCAGACGGGACGCCCCGCTGCTTGAATCTGTCTCGAAGCCTGACAGCGAGATTGTTGAGAGACTGTGATCTCTTAGAATGACCGGGGGGGACGACGGGTTAGTGCAGCCCGAGCGAGCACGACGGACTCATCAAGGTCAGACGGGACCCCCCACTGCCTGACTCTGTTTCGAAGGCTGATGGCGAGATTATTGAGAGACCGTGATTGAAGATAATGGCCAGGGCGACATCTGTTCAAGGCCGCTCGCCACCATTCCACATTGTCTGCCATGCTATCAGATCACAATTAAGCTACACAAGGAGTCAGGAACACAGGGGGGATGGAGCCGAAGAGTGCAAATGGACGAAGACAACGAGTACTGTTGGGTTATCTGCTTTTCGTCAGCACAAAATCCGGGCAGATAAGTTTGGATCGCAATGCACACGCACATTAGTAGAAATGCGAGGAATGAAGCAGTAGGAACCTGTTAGAGTGGTTGCAGTTGACGTTCAAGGTTGAAAACATTCATGCCTGCAAGCTGTAGCACGTCTATGACGTGTGCATGAGAGAAAAAAATGCTGAGCGCTAGATTCCACGTGTCCACTGCGGTTGACAGCTACCAATCCACTACAGTACCTAGACAAATCACACAAATCGAAGCTAAGGAGCTCGGTGTCTGCCAATGCACAGGTCAAAGTGTCGCAGGCTTGGGACTGGCTAGTGTAACATGGGGAACATGGCTTGATCATGATTCAGAAGTTCGCGCCTTTTGTGGAAATGAGTGTTTAGCGCTAGCCCTAATAGCGACCAATGTTGGTCCTGTTTCTGTAGTCTTCCTCATCAGGAAGTCGGAGTTGGACTTGTCAGGGTTTCTTGGAAGGTGCCGCTCAAATTTTAATCGGGGGTAAAGCTGCCTGCATAATCTGAGAGACCCACCCTCCCGCTATGTAGTTACAGTTTTTGCTCTTACATTCCCTCCCAGGCCTTTATGACAACTGCTTATAGTCTCTAGCGCTAGCCTTCCCTCTGATACCTCCACTGCGCTGCCCTCGTCTTGTCAACTCTTCCATGCCCCTTTCTTCAAGTTTCTTGCCACCACCCGCGTCTACACCCAAGACAGTAGTCGAAGATGCCAACACATCTCCTGTCACATTACACATCCACGTGCAAGTCGATGACGCATGAACTGGAGTGCAGCGACGTGACTTATGCAGCGGACGCGTAACAGACCCACCTTCCTTAGCTTCTGATGCCGAGAAAGAGAAGATAGTCAGGTCTTCCATGACCCACTCAGTCGCATTTCAAGAGAATTGGTTCGTTTCATCAACGTCGTTCTTAAACGCCACCTGACCCTCAGTTGTTCGTAGGCGACCTGCCAAGCCGATTCCTCGTTTACTTGCTATCTTCTTGACAACCATTCCTCTCACAAGCTTTCGGACGAAGAAATCACCTATCTCGCTGGATCGCTCTTTGGCGCCGGCTCAGACACGAATGCTGTGGTGATCATGTATGTCGTCATGGTTTCTGCATGTCATCCCAAGGTGCAGGAGACATTGCAAGAGCAGCTGGATATCGGCGTTGGTCTTGACAGAGGTATGCCAAGGTTCATCTTAGTGAATGAATCTCAACCTGGTCGTTACAGCTCCCACGTTTGACTACAATTCCCTTCCTCATATCGAAGCGTTCATTTTGGAGCTGGAGGCCTGTAACAACCGTTGGACTTGCTCACTATGCTTCGGCCGAGATCGTTTATGTACGTTTCCAGTACTCTGGCTTGTTGTTCCGATTCTTATGGCTGCTCGAGCAGAAACCTAGAGAACAATATGCATTCTAGTCAAAATAATATGGTGATCACACTTTGACGGGGTAATCCCACGCGACCCAGTGTTTACCCCAACCCCGACAAATTCGATCCTGACAAATGGCTCAACAGTAAAAGCAAAGTTCGGAACGACATCAAGTTCCCTTCATATGGCTTTGGACGCAGGTACAGCCTTGCCTAATATTGGACCGAGGAAAACGCTGCTGAAGAACTAACTGCAGAATCTGGCCCGGGCGGCACATAGCGTTCAGTCTTCATCAATATCGCGCTCTTCCTGTAGTCGTTCAAGATCACTCAGCACCCGGAAAACGGGATTGATGACATGGGCTTCGTGGATGCTGTGATTTTGCACCCCCGCTCACTGCGTGCTTTCAGCCCCGGTTTGAGGATGAGGCATTATTGAGGGAGGTGATGGTTCAGTGCATGAAGGAGTCGTATGGTCTTGAGCATGAAGTAGTGACTTATGCAAGCTTCGGATGTGCTGAGGTATGGAGTAGCATCAGGTGGTTTTTGGAATAACGAACTTCAACATAACTGCCCAAGGCCTCAATCTAGCGCGCGTGTGGCTGCATCGACACTCATCTACATGTCGACTTCACGCAACTTATATATGCGCGACCCATACTGTCTACCAGTGGGCGCGTTCTATGGCTACTAGCAGGCTTCGACTTGCATACACGCCGCTTTTGTTACTCGCATATCATGTTCAAAATACCCCTGCAAATTTCATGTTCCGCCAGTCTCATGCAAGCATTGGTTCTCTAACTTCCTTCTTGCTTCCCTCCCCCAGTGCTGCTTGACGCGTGCAATACCCGACCTACCGAGCGCAGTGGCAAAAACGGAACCGACTTTGCCTGAATTGATTGGGTCAACTCCTGGAGGTTGCTGCTCAATTTTCACATAAACGTTGTTGTCAAGTTGTATACACAGACTTCTCAACACCCAATATCTTTGTCTCCTTCCGCGTGGGCTAAAACTTTGAAATTCTAAACCCTGGCGCAGAGTATCCGCGTTGTAAATGAGATATGTTGAAATGTCCAAAAGATGTTCATTTAGATAAGATCTAGGACTACTCAAGTATGTGCATGAGATGTGTCCGGGCATGTAGATCTGTACTTTGTGCCACTCCGTTCGTTGTAGATGGTCCACCGATGATTTGACGAAGGATAGCAGGATGCCCTCACCACCATCTCACGAGGAAGATGCAGCTGAGGAAGAAGAGTGGGAGAGGGAAGCGACATCTACGTTGGAAACACTAGGTAGCGTTCACGTGGAGGACGGGTACGGCCTACATACATGTATCTCTTTTTCGTATGCTGACCGTCAGTCAGTCCCACCGCAGACCATGCATTCCATGTCTCTCAGCTGGCCATCATCGATCCTCGATCGGACAAGTTCATTGCTAGAAATATTTGCAGCTGGACTTAAGGATGGAAACTTCGATCCCGAATCATCAGATTGAGCTGAACAACGCGAGTTTGAAATTCTCTAACGAAGCAGCAGGGTACCGTATGATAACGCATTTCTTCGCCCACCTCTGCCTCTATTTACGGATGATCGATATTCCAGTTCTGCCATTCGCGTTCCAAGTCATTCTCGAGGCTTACCTACAAGTGTTGGTGGTGAGAAAATGCTCTTAGTTATTTTGTTCTGCACTAATCCCTGTCAGGCTGCAGACCAAAAAAAGTTGATCGCCATATATGCTGGTGCGGAAGAAGACAATGCAGTGGAGCGACATACGATGTTCTTGACTTCGCTCGAACTGACTCCGGACATCGACGAACGTCGATTAGCATTGACTCGTGCACGAGAACATGGTCTAAGCGTTCACAGGGTGGAAGTTGTCACTGCTGAGCGAAGAATCGATAGAGCATTCGAGGTTGGTAGGACTCACATCTCACGAAACTGGTATGCTGAATACTACTTTCAGCTTCTACCCCCAAATGAAGGGCCTGCTCCCTTCGGTCATTGCACTACAGGCCACTCCTTCTGATATCGAGCTCCTGCTACTTCGTTCCATAGAGTGGACGACGTTCGAGGATGGGACGTACGATACTGCGCTGGAACAAGCCACCGTCATTTTGCGGTACTTCCTAGGGGAACTCTTTGTTGAAGTTCTGCTATCATGATTCAACACATCACTTCCAGGGCCGGGAGGGTTTCGCTTGCAAAGAACCTCGTGGAGATGCTTCCGCGTGAACTCGCCTCCATCGACCAACCTGAGGAACGAGCCACATAATACCTTCACGATGGACAGTTCTTCACGATCTGGGACAGTCTTGACCGGGTCGTTGAGTGCCAGAGTCTAGAGGTGTCGATAATGAACCGGGACACCAGGGCCGCTTGGTTAAGCGACCACAACGGACTTATGGACCAGGCCTACGATGTGGTAGTGAAACTACTCACCTCAGATTGGACGATGCCAGAGATCGGCGTTCCTGCGAGCTAACTCGGGTTCGACAGATATACGTCCCCGAGCTTATATTGCAACTGCATGTGATGCTCTACGCCTCTCGAGAGCATGTCCCAGAGTAAGCCTGTCTTCGTATGGAGTGCCTGCAGTTCTAACACATATTGGACAGGAATCTGAAGCGCGCATTGGAACTTGCCAACATTGTTGCGGATTCGAGGTACAAGTTGTATGATGATTTCTTACATCTCAATGGCCGAAGGCTTGGGGAGTGCCTTGACGCCGTGTGCCGAACGACGATAGCTGGGTTGGAAGGGGTGGATCGGATCCTTTCAAGATTATTCTATCGTAATCAAATATCTTCTACATATTTGTTCTCTCTCGCTCTTGCTGTAATTATGACCTTGTTAATCGGTTGCGAGGTTGTGGCTTGTCGCCTTCTACTCGTGTAGAAAGGATGGTCGGCTTGGAGGATCTCTGCATTCTATACGACGCAACAACTCAGTACAGAGAGACGCATCAAAGCAGAGTCACACATGAGTCCGCGGGAGCGATTATGTATACCAGACCAAGGCAAAGACAAAGCATACTAGTCATCGTGAAATACATTTTGCAGAAAGCAATATATAAAAACAAGTAACGGTATAGCAGGCTTGTAAGGTAAAGCGTGATTGACGTACAACAATGCATGAGAAAGAGACAACAAAAGTATCGTGCGGACATGATTACTGAGATTTAAATAGGGCACCGGGGCAATGAAAGCAATTGTGGTCACTGAAAATGCGGCAATATAGCAAACGAACTTCAAATTAGACACCTATGTGAACAAATACGATCTGCTGCTCCAGTGGGATATTATTGCGCCGCAATTTCTTCACAGCCTTGTGCAACGCCACCGCAGCCCGCGTGCAGTCCAGTCTCCCAGAATCATCCACCAGCTTGTCGTAAAAGGCAGACACAACCTGCCGTGCAACCTCGTCGTCGACGGACCACATAGAACCAATCACACTGCGAAACCCAGAGAATTGCATCGCCGCGGCGAGATGGATCGACTCGTCGGGACTCTTCTCATCGCTCACGGTAGTGTGGCAAGCCGATAAGAATGCAAACTCCCGGTTCTGCCAGTTGGATCGGATGATGTCCTTTATCATCAAGGGCCCATCACGCATTGCGAAGGAAGATTCAAATGGTCGTTGTCGATTCGGCATTCCGTGGCAGGCAAGGTGAAGCCACTGGTTATGCTTTAGTGCATCGAGAACACCCTGCGCTGTTGCGTCGCTCTCCTCGAGCGACGTGAAGGACGACACAATGGGTACGAGAAGCTGGGAGATGGCGGCTAATTCAGGAGTGACGCATCGTAGCTCCTTCCCTCTCTCCGGGTTTCCTTGACCGATGGCAACAAAATATCGAGTAGATGCATATCGAGAAATGCGCTGTCTCGCACGAACGAGTGTCACCAAAGTGGGGGTATAAGAGCAGATATAAATCTCTGACAAGTTGTCTCTCTCCTTCTCATAGGGTCCTGCTGCATGTAGAGGAAGCAAAGTAAATTCAGCGGTGGGACACCACCAGATACGTGAGCCAGGGCAAACATTCGACTTCCTGAGGGATTGGACCACAGGGTCAACGATATCGTGCCAAAGCTTGCGGAGGATGCCCACAAGCTTGTTCTGATGATCGGAACAACCAAATTGCTCTGCAACGGACTGAAAATCGGAGGACAATTCAGAGACTTCAGCCTGCGTGACATCAATCGGCACGTGGACAGGATTTTGGTCACTTAGGACAATCAAGGCGTCACAGCTGTACTGACTAGCATTGACGATAATGACAGGACCTTCGGCGGCGGCCTTCTGTAGTTCTTAGAACAAGGGAGGCAGGAGAAACCGAGACCAGTCAGGGAGCATGCGGATGCGGGAGACGACATCGTTCCATTGTATGGTCAGTTGTCGGATTTGTGGGGACTGGTCTTCAGTAGACTGATCAAATGCGCTACGAAGGTGAAAGCTCAGCTGCTCCAACTCTTTCGCCAAGGCTCCGCCGGTGTCACCGGCCAGGGAAAGTCCAGGCGAGCTTAAGCGTGCCAACTGGGTCCAGAATACTGCACGACCTTGCTCCACCAGTTCCACAGCAGTTGTCAGCGCACCATGACGAACGCTGCACGAGAAGGCATCCGCAGTAAGGGAGGCCGTAGCCATCCTCACGACATCGAAATGACGTGACGAAGACGACAAAAGATTGACATGCTGATCTAGGAATTTCAATGCAGTTCGATATGCGAGCAATACAGAACCATGGTTTGTCTCTTCAGCCGCGGCAGCCCATGACTTGGCAGCAGTAAGATCCGCACGAGAGACTGCATGAGATATGTGTGGAAGTTGCAAGAACAGGCTAAATGTTTCATCAAGGTCAGACGGGACGCCCCGCTGCCTGAATCTGTCTCGAAGGCTGAAGGCGAGATCGTTGAGAGACTCTGATCGATCAGAATGACCGGGAGGACGAAGGAGTAGTGCAGCCCGATGGAGCTCGATGGATTCATCAAGGTCAGACGGCATGCCCCGGTGCGTGAATCGGTCTCGAAAGCTGAGGGCGAGATCGTTGAGAGACTCTGATCTATCAGAATGACCGGGAGGATGAAGGAGTAGTGCATCCCGATGGAGCTCGATGGATTCATCAAGGTCAGATGGAACGCCCCGCTGCCTGAATCTGTGTCCAAGGCTGTTGGTGAGACCGTTGAGAGACCACCGTCGATCAGGATGGCCGGGGGGCCAAAGGAGTAGTGCAGCCCGATGGAGTTCGATGGGCTCATCAAGGTCAGACGGGACTCTCCGATGCCTGAATCTGTCTCCAAGGCTGAGGGCGAGATTGTTGAGAGACTGTGGTCGATCAGAATGACCGAGGGGACGGATGAGTAGTGCAGCCCGATGTAACTCGATTCCCTCATCAAGGTCAGACGGGACGCCCCGCTGCCTGAATCTGTCTCTAAGGCTGGCAGCGAGATTGTTGAGAGACATTGATCGATCAGACTGACCACGGGGACGAAGGAGTAGTGCAGCCCGATGGTGCTCGATGGACTCATCAAGGTCAGACGGGACACCCCGCTGCGTCAATCTGTCTGCAAAACTGGGCAGCGAGATTGTCGAGAGACTGTGATCGATCAGAATGACCGACGGGACGAAGAAGTAGTGCAGCACGATGGAGCTCGATGGACTCATCAATGTCACACGGGATGCCCCTATGCGTGAATATGTCTGCAAGGCTGTTGGCGAGATTGTTGAGAGACTCTGATCGACGAGAATTACCGGCGCGACGAATGAGTAGTGCAGCCCGGTGTATCTCGATGGACTCATCGAGGTCGGACGGGACGCCCCGCTGTGTGAATCTGTCTCTAAGGCTTACAGCGAGATTGTTTAGATACCGTGATCGATGAGAATGGCCAGGGCGACATCTCTTCAAGGCCGCTCGCCACCGTTCCACATCGTCTACCATGCTATGATACCACAACCAAGTGATACAAGGACTGTCAGGAACACGACGTTGGTGAAGCCGAAGAGCGGAAGTGGGCTAAGACGACAAGTACTGTCAGGTTATCCGCCTTTCAAATCAGCATAAAATCTGCGCAGATAAGTTTGAATTCCAATGCGCATTGCGCACGCACATTATTTGTAGAAATCTGAGTAATGAAGCAGTAGAAACCTGTGAGAGTGATTCGACTTGACGTTCAAACGTTCAAGGTTGAAAACATTCACGCCTACAGGCCGCAGCACCTCTATGGTGTGTCCATGAGAGGAAATGAAATCATCTAAGCGCTGTGATCATTTACGACAGTTAACTTCCACGTGTCCACTACGCCATTGAATCCACTCCAATATCCAGACAGATCGAAACCAATGAGCTCTCTGTCTGCCAATACGCAAGTCAAAGTGTCGTAGGCTTGGGACTGGCTAGTGCAACATATGGGGCATGGTTCGATGATCAACTTCGATCATAATTTGTGTTTAGCCCTATAGCGACCAACGTCACGGTTGGTCCTGTTTCTGTGATCTTCTTCGTTCGCACTTGAGTTTCTCGGAGGGTGCCGCTCAATTTTTAAATGTCGTCAAGCTGCCTCCCGCCATCTAGCTATATAAAGTTCGTGCTCTTGCATTCCCTCCCATGCCTTCATGACGACTCCATACGAACCTCTAGCGCCCCTCCCATCCCTCCAGCCATCTCTCTGATACCTCCAGCGCGCTGCGTTCATCATGTCAACTCTTCCCTACCCCTTTCTTGCCACTACACGCCGATCTACGCCCAAGACAGTAGTGGAAGATGTCAACACATCTCCTGTCACATTGCACATCTACGTGGAAGTCGATGATGCGTGAACTGGAGTGCAGCGGTGTGACTTATGCAGCCGGCGCGTATCAGACCCACCTTCCTAACGGCGGACTGGTGGAGGTCACCCCTTCATTTGCGAAGTCGGAGACGCGGTGGGGGACACAGGTGTCCCCCTCTTTCTAGTTAGTAATGTCCTACATAGGGTACCACACCCCAAATGGACAGAAACTGGATTTAAAAAATAAATAAAAAATAAAAAACGACCCACCTTCCTTAGCTGCTGATGCCGAGAAGAGAAGAGTGTCAGGTCTTCCATGACCAACTCGATCGCGTTTCAAGAGAATTGGTTCGTTCCTTCAACGTCGTTCTTAAACGCCACTTGACCCTTAATTGTTTGTAGGCGACCGGCAAAGCCAATTCCTCGTTTTCTTGGTACCGTCTTGAGAATTAGCCCTCACACAAGTTTTGGGACCAAGAAATAGCATATCTCGCTGGATCACTCTTAGGCGCTGGCTCAGACACGACTGCTGTAGCGATCATGTACGTTTTCATGGCTTCTGCATGTTATCCCGGCAAGGTGCAGCAAAAAGTGCAAGAGCAGCTGGATATCGTTGTTAGTTATGACAGAGGTATGTCAAGGCTCGTCTTAGTGAATGAATCTCAACCTGGTCGTTACAGTTCCCACATTCGACGGCTACAAATCCCTTCCACAGATCGAAACGTTCATGTTCGAGTGTCTTCGCTGGAGGTCTGTAACAACCCTTGGATTTGCTCACTATGCTTCGGCTGATATCGTTGACTTATGTTTTCAGTGCTGTGGCTTGATTTTCCGATTCTTATGGCGGCTCGAACAGAAACCTACAGAATAATATGTTGATCACACTTTAACATGGCAATCTCACGCGATCCCAGTGTTTACCTCAACAACGACAAGTTCAATCCTCAGAGATGGCTCAACAGCAAAGGCAAAATGCGGCACAACATCAAGTTCCCATATAGCTTTGGATGCAGGTACAGCCTCATCTGATATTGGACCGACTAGAACCTTGCTGAAAACAACCTGCAGAATGTGCCCCAGGCGGCACTTAACGTTCAGTCTTCATCAATATCGCGCTCCTCCTGTGGTCGTTCAAAATCAATCGGGACCAAGAGAACCCGATTGAGGAGATGGGCTTCGTTGATGGAGTGATTTTGCACCCCAACCCAATTACTGCGCGCTTTCAGCCGCGGTTTGGGGATGAGGCACTATTGAGAGACGTGGTGGCTCGGTGCAGGAAGGGTTGTGCTGTCTTGAGCATGAAGTAGTGAATTTCCATCCGTCTGGTATGTGCTGAGGTTTGGACTATTGGTGAGAATCATCAGGTTGTTTTTGGGATATTGAACTTCAACGTGACTGCCCAAGACCTCAAACTGGCGCGCGTGTTGCTGCATTGTCATGTCGACTTTGCGCAACTTACATATGCGCCACCCAAGTCTTGATTAACCCAAAGTACCGTCTACTGGTGGACGCGTTCTATAATAGCAGGCTTCGACTTGCATGCACGCCGCTTTTGTTACTCGAATGTCATGTTCAAAATGCCCCTGCAGATTTCTTGTTCCACCAGTCTCATGCAAGCATTGGTTCTCTGACTTCCTTCTTGCTTCCCTTTCCCATAACTTCTCAACGCATGCAACACTCGAGCGCAGTGGCAAAAATGGAACCGAATCAATTGGGTCAACTCTTTGAGGTGGTTGGCTCAGAGCTGCAGGTGCGTTCTTTAATTATCTTAGATGGATTTCCGCTCACTCATTACTCAACATTTTAGTGAGTTCAAACCATCACACATATCCGTAAAATTCATGGATCTAAAGTATATTCTACGATATCAGGCTTCAAATTTTTCTGTTGATGCTGAGCTCTGGCCTGCATCTCAGATGTTATTGTGCATGCACGACCTCACTCTTGATAAAGAAGGAATGACAGGGAACGACTTCTCCTACATATCAAGGTCACTATGGGGAGACATAGCTAGACCTAATTCCTCCAGGCTTTCAAAAGTCAGCAAAGTAATTGTGAGGCTGGGTGCGACCCAGTAAATTTAAAGGTTTTGATACTGATCAGTGATTAGATCCTCCTCCCAAAGCCACACTAACCGTCAGCGAGCCACTAGCTATCTCCCATTAGGGTTCGTTCTCCCATCAGCATTGGTCAGTTTAAACTGTCTTCTGTCAGTTCGTCCAAGATAAAACGGGAGCTGCTGCACCGTGCGTTCACCATCCTTCATTCCTCCACTAGCGAAGACCACAGAATCCTATACGCCCATCTAGATGGATGTCACCCGTGATGTCATCCTTCACATCATTGGTAAACCTAAAGGACACCAGGCAGCTGCGAATCGGTGTGTGGCATTTCGTGACTTATTCTATAACCGTTTAACGCATCCAACGGAAGCTACATTGCCTCTGTCATCTTGCCTGTCATGCATGGGAAGTCCACGCCTACCGCTGGAGTAGGGGTCCCAAGGGCAGGAGCTACGCACCGAAGGGCCTGTCGGCCCTTTCCACAGCTTAGTCAGCATGTAGACTAGGTTTCACCATGTTCGTAGCTAGCATCCATCATCATCTCAGCTTGTCTGCCTTGCTCTGGGCTTAGGCCGCTGGCCCTGCTCCACCGCCACGAATACACCCGAGATCATCACCATCCACAAAATGGTCAAGCGCTTTCAGATGCTCATGAGACATGGCGTTCCTGATAGGGTGCTACCCAATCCTGAAATACGTCCCGGGATACACAACCGAGTTGGAGGAATGGAGAAGAGATCCGTCAGGTCTTCCATAATCAACTCAATTTCATTTCAAGAGAATTGATTGGTTCCTTCAACGTTGTTCTTAAACGCCACCTGACTTTCGGTTGTTTGCTCGGTACCTTTAGTCCTCACACAAGCTTTCGGACAGAAATGTCCAATCTCGCTGAATCGCTCTTTGGCGCCGGTTTAGACGACTGCTTTTGGCGATCATGTATGTTGTCATGGCTTCTGCATGTTATCCCAAGGCGCAGGAGAAAGTGCAAGAGCAGTTGGTCGTGACAGAGGTATGCTAAGGCTCTTCTTACTGAATGAATCTCAACCCGGTCGTTACAGCTCCCATGTTCGAGGACTACAATTCACTCCCGCAGATAGAGGCGTTCATGTTGGAGTGGCTTCACTGGAGGCCTGTGACAACTCTTGGATTTGCTCACTGTACATCGATCGATATCGTTTGTGTATATTTCCGGTGCTCTGGTATGGTTTTCTGATTCTTGTGGCTGCTCGAGCAGAAAGGCATGTGTATTCCAGAGGGTGCTATCGTCTTTGGGAATCATTGGTACAGAATGATATGCATTCCAGTCAAAACAATGTGCTGGTCACCCTTTAACAGGGCAATCTCGCGTGATCCGAGTTTCTACCCCAACCCTGACCAGTTCGATCCCGAGAGATAGCTCAACAGCGAAGGTAAAATCCGGGACGACCTCAAGTCCCCTTCATATCACTTTGTTCGCAGGTAAGGCTTTGCTTGATATTGGATCGAGTGGAACCTTGCTGAAAAACAGAATCTGCTCCAGGCGTTACATAGCGACTCGTTCAGTCTTCATCTTCACCACGCTTCCCCTGTGGTTGTTTAAGATTGCTCAGGACCAGAACCCGATTGATGAGTTTGGCTTCGTGGATGGCGTAATTGCGCAGCCCAAACGGTTCACTGCTCGCTTTCAGTCACGGTTTTGGGATGAGGCATCATTGAGGGAGTGACGGCTCAGTAAGTACCGGTTGTAGGATCTTGTGCATGAAGTAGTGACTTATGCATGAGCTTGGGATGTGCTGAGGTTTGTTCTATTGGCGAGCAGCATCAGGTCGTTTTTGGAATATCGAACTTCGGCGTCACTGCCCAAGACCTTAGACTAGCGCGCGTGTGGCTGCATCGAGACTCGTCTACATGTCGACTTTGTGCGACTTACATATGCGCCACCGAAATCTCAATTAACCTAAAGTACTGTCTACCAGTGGACCGGTTCTATGGCTTCTAGTAGGCTTCTTGCATGTGCACCGCTTTTGTTACTCACATATCATTTTCAAAATTCCCCTGCAGATGTCTTGTTTTGTCGATCTCATCCAAGCATTAGTTCTCTGACTTCCTTCTTGCTTCCCTTTCCCAATACTTCTCAACGCGTGCAACACCCGACTCCCCAGCACATTGGCAAAAACGGAACCTACTTCGGCCGAATTGATTGGGTCAACTCTTGGAGGTCCTGTTCAATTTTTAAATGTCGTAAAGTTACCTCGACAGACTCCTCGACACCTAATTTCGATACATCCGCATGGGCTATAACTCCGAAATTCTAAACCTCGTCGCACTAGTACTGGCAGAGTATCCTCGTTGTAAATGAGCCATGTTGAAATGTGCAAAAGATTCTCATTTAGATGAGATCCAGTGTATGATTAGGACCACTTTAGCAAACGCATGCGATATGGTAGTACATATGAGGCAATAAGTTGCAGAATATTGTCGTCCGGGCATGCATATCTGCACCTCATGCAACTCTGTTCGTTGCAACTTGCAAATGCCCATCTATGATTTGATGAGAGCCAACTTATGATACGGGACCGGCTGTTACAGTTTCCGAACCGGTCAAGGCCGTCCCCGCGCCAAGCCCACTGGGCCGACGGCGGCCCGATTTAGATCTGGCAGTTCTAAGTTGGCAACTTGACTTGCACAACCACAGGGAGGGCTTGTGGACAACAGGCCGAATGCGCGTCGCATCATAGTGTACGAGCACCACCGGCTGACGACATCTCTTCATCGGTGCGTTTGTTTTAATGCAATTATCGCAGAAGGATGCTCAGACCTTGAGGTATTAGGTAGGAGTGGACAGAGGCATTTTCGACGTTCGACCAGCTCAATCACCTTTACATCTGAGGAAATGTCCGAATCCTTATACTCGTCATGGGCCGAAGCATTTCAGACTGGACAGCAAACTCTGCTACTCTCCTCGATATCAACGTAGGATTCGCAATTATGCTACGGCTGCCGACCGGCGACAATTGAACCGGTCGATGTTACCGGTCACCAGAATTATGAATAGCATGGGCAGAGAGCGGGGCGTCCTCCGATATCTCCCAGGAGGAATTTAATGTCTTGCGGATGGAGGCTGATACGTGCGTAGGACCCTCTACAGGATGGAATCGCGTGAATAAACTAGGCTTGTTGCTCGATCTTTTCTCAAGGCCTGCAGACTCAGTACGCACAACACCAAACCACTGGCAGAGCTATCATATGTCCATCTCCGCCCATTACCTCATACACACTCGCTGTAACGCTTATCAACACAGCAATCATGCATTCGTCTATACTCCTCACAGAGCTCGTCGCAGAACAAGAATGGCTGCATGAAGCTGTTCATCTCCCCCAACCGCAAAATTAGGTGCCACAATATTAGGGAGAAGTTTATAAAACACATCGTTATGCGGGTTCCGGCGAAAGAGTTGGATCCTGACGTCATGGACAGAGAATGGTTGATTGATGATTGGCAGTCGATAACGCAGTGAGTTCAACAGTGACCTACAGAAGCATTCACTGCAATAAGTTGTGTATGCTGGTAGATTGGATGGAACAGTAGAAAAGTATATCGATCATGGAGGACTCCACGGTTTGCTATTGTTTCAGTAGCGAGCTATTATATTGGGTAAGTCAAGCCTCGGGTATCATTCATGCATCTCTCATCTGTCAACAGCAAACGAGAAACGAGATGACGACGGCATCGATCTGGGGAAATCAAAGGATGGCATGGAAATCCACGTCGAAACCTGTGAAAATTGGCACGAGCTGCCTACCCTGGATGCTCATTTTGTATATCATGTGGGACTGCTTTTTTTTGCCATTGCATTGCGGGCGGTATCGAGCTCTCACATACTACTGCTCTGTTCGATATACTATAGTGGATGACATTCGAAGATGAACATGTGATACTGTGCTATCATTTTGCGGTGTTTACTAAGTAAGACGATACAAGGCTCTGTTTTAATCCATGTCTTCAGGCACCAGGAGACAGACAACCTTCCGCGTGCAAACTCGCCTCCATATCAAGTCCGTCTTGAAGAAGAAGTTACATAATAGCTTTATCCCACGCAGTCTGACGATCCAGGAAAGTCCTCAAGGGCTTCACATTCGCTCCGAGTTTATCATGATGGTCCGGCTGTATATCCTTCGCGCGATGCGGTGCTCGCGGTTCTGGCACGTCTCGGACAATCGGAACTTTCTTGCGCCTACCAAATCTTGTCACAGACTCGAAGCCAGAGGCTTGCGGGGTTCCTTAATTAATGCTGTGCACCAGGTGACGAAGGCTGGGGAATGGATCAGATTCTTTCAACGTTATTCCATCACTGACACTGTGGCATCTGCCAGCATCTGCCGCGCGTTGCGCTGGCTGCTTTTGCATCCCTTTCATCTCCTTCTTGCCAGTACTTGACAGCGGAAGAATGTAATGGCATTTCAGCATTTAGCTCGCAGCACGCCCGGGTTCTAGATTGGTAGACCGGTTATCCCGAGAGGGAAGGATCAATGATCTCTGCGCATTTTTCCTGCCAGTAGAATCCAATGGTGTGACAACTAGTACCATTAGTCCGCTCATCACTAGTCCGACTCTTGGAGCTCTTGGAGTATCTAGATCTGTCAACTGGGCTGTCCTGTCCAACGCTGCGCGCAGTAAATATTCGCACGGTGGCTATAGGTGGCCATATATAAAACTATATAAAGTTGCATTCATACTATCTAACAGCGGTTTGGTGGTCACAAGACTCAACACTACTAATTTGAACATTCTCTACCCATGATGAATTTCCTTGACAAGGTCTTAGACTACGCCGAGCGGCTCCCAGAGGGCATTGAAAGGACAAGGGACCAGATCATTGGTGCGTTGAAGTTACTCCTGAGATGTGGCAATTCTCATGATGATATCTCACCCCAGGAATCGTCGATCCTAATAGTGAGCACCATAAGCACCGCATTTGACCTTGACTATATCTTGTTTGGTTGGCTAGGACGTCACGATAATCCACAGGAGAAACTGGACGATGAGATTAGAGCGCAGATCAATGCCAGTCACCGTTTCGATAGCTTCGCGGATCAGAGGGTAGATAATGCTATTAAATGGTACGTTTGCATCCGTATAGCCAATTCAGATGTTCATATACCTTTCAGGCACATTGATGGCCATGACTATATGTATGCATTGTCTGAGATACTCGACAGTGCAAAGGAGTGTATCTTCATACTGGTATGTATCTTTGAGACTATTGTCATTACCTGCTCGAGACCCATATGCTGTCACAGGACTGGTGGTTCACACCTGAGTTATACCTTCGGTCAGTATTTGAACAATGGTTGCTGCGCCTGAATAACCGAAGTATTTCATGCCCAGACGACCACCCGCAGATCATCCGGAGTGGAGAGTCGATCGATTGCTTCAACGCAAGGCTCGACAAGGAGTGAAAATATATGTTATCGTTTATAAAGAGGTACCGTTTTATCGAGGGGCCATTCAACTCCTGTTAAGCGCTTGGGAACTATTCAGGTCACTCAAACCATGTCAATGAACTCGAAGCACACAAAGGTCGACACTTTTTCTTTTCGTCTTCAGTCTTGAGGATATTGATTCAAAGTAATGCAGGCCGCGTTAGAGGCCTTACACCCGAACATCGCTTGTATGCGACACCCTGATCATATTGGAAGCAAAGGTGAGAACAAGTGGTGATCAACAACACATTTGTATAACCTTGAATCGCAGATGCCGTGGAATTCTGGTCTCACCACGAAAAGGTATGCACATGCTCTTCTGTTTACTGTAACCTTTATACCTATTTATGACAGCTTGTGGTTGTTGACAACCACCGCGGATGTGTTGGAGGACTCGACATTTGCTTGGGTCGCTGGGATACACACAATCACCCTCTTGCAGATGTACACCCGACAGATTGGTCACGCACTCTCTTTCCTGGGCAGGATTATAACAACGCACGTGTCCTTGACTTCCAGCATGTCGATAATTATGTTAGTAATGCCGTCTCAATCATGGAAACACCCAGAATGCCCTGGCATGATGTAAGTTCCAAGTCGTTTTGGCTCCCATACCACATTGCATAACCCTTGTTTAACATATTAGGTTCATATGACAATTTGTGGTTCTGTTTGTTTGGATCTTTGCCAACATTTCGTTGAGAGGTGGAACGAGGTGAAACGCAGGAAGGTACGTGGTCAGATGGTCTGATAGACGCTCAAAGTCTGATGTTGATACAACGTTCTCAAAGTACCGTAATGACGAGTAAGTTCAATAATTTCAAACGAAATATCTAATCTTACCACCCACTTCACAGCCGATATGACTGGCTTGCGCTTCCTCATAACGTGGCGCTTTCTCCGAACGAAGCTGTCGTTCGTATGTAGATGGTTGCCAGTAACCCTGTTTGATGCTAATCATTCACAGGCCACCCCCATCGTGAGAAATGGCATCAGATGGGTCACCGTTTCAAACAACGCTTTCACCTCGAAGCAGGTGACGAAGTTGAGCCGCCTTATACTCCTCCTCCGCACGGACAATGCCGCGTGCAGGCTGTGCGGAGTGTCTGCGACTGGAGCCACGGTGTGCTTACCGAACACAGCATCCAAAATGCTTGTACGTCCTCCCCATGCACAAGCTGCATGTTTTCTCTGAAACCTTGGTACAGATATTCAATTGATCAACGAGGCTAATCATTTCATCTATATTGGTAAGTTCTGACGTTATTGAACGTTTATTCCAATGAGGTATTTACGTTGGTGATTGATCTAAAGAAAACCAATTCTTGTGAGTATGTAAGTAACGTGCACGACCCTGCGATCTGATCCCTATGCTATATTCAGCATCTCTAACACGCGCGAGGAAGGCCCTGTGAAGAACCAAATAGCAAAGGCAATCGTCGAGCGGATCATTAAAGCAGCCAGGGATGATCGAAAGTTCAAGGTCTGTGATGTCCTTTGTTACTATTCACCTGATCGTTGAGCGATAAAACTAGGTCATTGTGGTTATACCTGAGCTCCCTGGATTTGCCGGAGATATCAAGAATGATAATGCTCTGAAGATTATTATGGCAGCACAGTACCGCACCATTAATCGTGGCGGTCATAGTATATATGAAGAGATCCGAAAAGCTGGTTTTGAGCCGTGAGTCATTGTTGTGATTGTTATTATTTTTGTTTTTAATGATCGATTCACCGGGTATTAGGATGGACTACATTCGTTTCTACCACTTACGTTCCTATGACAGGATCAATGCTCCTCAGAGTAAGATACCTCTTTGATGGCACCGCAGGTCTATTCTAAGCGTGGCTTAACAGAAACTTTGATATCTCAAATGGAAGCAAACTCGGGGGTCACATTCTACGAAGCTCAGCTCGCTCTTGCGCGTCAATGGGAAGGTCCCCGCTATACTGGCGGCGACGCTCCGAAGGAAGCGTTTATCAAAGTACCTCAGCCTGCGCAGGAAGGCATGGCTTTGAGCCAGACCAAGATGAAGCTGGAGAAGGTGCCTCTACCGGCCTCATACGACGACGCAGTGAACATTGTACGGAGATTCGAGAAAGGCTCAGATGATATCAGAGGCGACGAAGATGTGTCCGATACCGTATCGCAACACAGACTGCTGGACCGAACACGCTTGAGCGATGAGATTTGGTATGGTTCCGAGGCAGAGGAGCGGGATGCGTATGTCTATCGTTGCATGTCACTGGTTCCTACAGCTAATTTCATCGAAAAGATACGTGTCGGAGCTTCTCTATATTCACTCGAAGGTTATGATCGTTGACGATAGACGTGTTATCGTGAGTACTTCCAGATCGGCCTGTATCTTTTTCTGATTAGTGACCGGGGCTAGATGGGCTCTGCGAATCTGAATGACAGAAGTCAAAAGGTAGGTCGGCTACTGCTGAGAGTGCATGTGTAATCTCACAACCTTCGCCTTCTAGGGAGATGGCGATTCTGAAATCGCGCTCGTTGTCGAAGATGGTGACATGGTGCGTTCGACGATGGACGGGCATCCATACATGGCCGCACGCTTTGCGACTACTCTGCGTCGCAAGCTCTTCCGGGGTGAGAATAACGCGAGACCTACCCGAGTGTTAGTTAACTTATATACACAGAGCACCTTGGCCTTATCGAGCCTCAGAACGTCTTATATTCCACCGAGAAGGTCACCTCGTTTATGCGATGCGCGCCAGAGCCCAACGACAATGAGATCGGGACGCGGGAAGACAATGCCGTAGCGGATCCCCTAGCAGACAGCACCCTAGAACTATGGAATCGTACAGCAAAAACAAATCGCGAGATTTTCACAGAGGTCTTCCGCCCTGTGCCCACTAACCTTGTTCGTTCCTGGTCTGCGTACGAGGCAAGCAACGATGTCTACGAGTTTTCACGGAGCATGTTTGACGGTTACCATGCAGAACTATTTGCCAAAGGTTAAGACTGGTCACGTTGTACCAGAAATACAGCTGCAACGTATCAAGGAACGCCTTTCCCAGGTCAGGGGTTCAGTGGTTGAGTGCCCTCTGGTGCGTTCCAGATATTCTATACGAGATTGCCGCTCACTTATCACCCCAGGATTTCTTGATCGATGACAAGGAGTTTGTCGAGGGTGTGGACTGGCTGGGATTGAACCCAACGCTTCCGATTTACATCTGATCGAAGTCGTGGTGGCGTCATCGTGCTTGGCAGTATGGACAATGTATACTGGTATCTATGATCAATTATGTATAAAATGTTGTTGCGAAGTTTGTGGGTTAATCATGCCTCAGCTGTAGATTTTAGAAACAAAACAGAGACTATTCAAGCACCATTTCAAACACCAAAACCGCGGCGAAGAGCATGGATTAGTGCATGCGTTGGTCAGGAGGACATGAGATAACATGAGGCGTTCATTTCGATTATTTGTGGGTAAGGATAATGCCCGAATCGCTTGAAGAGTTCAAGCTCCACTTGTAAAGCAAGACTAAAGCAGGTCATACGAAATAAGGGTTGCTGTGGCAGAATTCGCCGCAGAACGGATTATAATAAGATTACAATTACATAGTCTCAGAAGCGCTTCCGACTCCACTGTTTCCCTTCCCAGCTCACCGTGTACTTTTCGCCGCTACTGCTTGTCGCATCCAACGATGAGCACAATGACTGACTCTCAGCGGCAGAGTCTTCACCATCCATTTCTTTCTCATCTTATTGCTCTCCTGTCAGCTTATGAACTATGTCCTTCGTCGACTCCATCTCCACGATATGATGGGCCTGTAGATTGGCAAACAGACACTATCATTCGCTCTCTAGGGGCAGTTGCACGCAGAATGTATACTGCGGAGGAGACCGTGGCCTCAATCAAAGCTTCGGAGTGTTGGCAGACAAATGGGCCAGAGACAAAGAAAAGACGCAGTGTAGGCGACACTCCCATGTCCTCATCTTTATCTTCTCAGAAAGAGACCAATCCATCTTCTTCTCTCATGCAGTCCAGTACCAATGTCAATGCTTTCGCTCCGTCTTCCAGCTCACCAGGACCAACTTCTTGTTTTCAGACCAACTCAAACCTCGCACCTACTGTAGAATCAATCGATGTTGACATGCAGGACGCCGATAGCCCGAATGGTGTAGCCAGCAACGATCGCACGCCAGTCAACAAACCACACTCTGCTCGTGCAGGTTCAATGTCCTTATCACTCGATGAACTTCCAGCTCATATTGATGCTGCAACACTCCTTCGGTCATTTTCAAACGGAAGCTCGGCCTCGGCACCCCCGACATCGCATATCGAACACATGGCTTGCCCAACGTGCGGAAAGGTTATTACCGACACTCTGACTATGAGCCGAATTAATAGTAGCTTTGACGGCTCGCCCAACGGATCTCCACTCGTCGTTCCTCCTGGTCCTCTTGCTGCTGCAGCGTTCGAAAGCGGCATGAGCGCCGTCGAAGAACTAAGGTTACTCAAGGCTCAGGTTCAAGATGTCGCTCGTGTGTGCAATGCTGTGGCCAGAGGGTGACTTGTCCCAGAAAATTACGGTTCCCGTGCAGGGTGTGGTCATGGTTCAATTGAAGGACGTCATAAACACTATGGTATTCGTCTAAGAATCTTATCCGAAGGTCTTTCTCATACATATCATTATCAGGTCGACAAATTGGGACAGTTCGCCAAAGAGGTCACTCGTGTCAGTCAAGAAGTCGGTACAGAAGGGTAAAGTGGCTACTAACCCAGATCTTATACGATTTACTCAGTCTTCCGCAGTAAACTCGGTGGACAGGCTCTCGTATTGGATGTCGAAGGTACTTGGCGGGAATTAACTGGTGTCGTCAATAAATTAGCCGCCAACTTGACCAGTCAAGTCCGAAGTATCGCCAAGGTCACTAAAGCTGTCGCGCAGGGAGATTTGTCGAAACAGATTGACGTCGATGCCCGTGGCGAAATCCTTGATTTGAAGAATACCGTAAACGGAATGGTTATTCAGCTTCGTGCATTAGCCGCCCGAAGTTACCCGCGTCACGTTAGAAGTCGGCTCTCAAGGCAAGTTAGGTGGTCAAGCGCAACGTCCCAGATGTTCAAGGTGTTTGGTTCGAGTTGGTTCGCAATGTATGCCTTTTACCGTGTCTTATTGGCACAGTGACTTAATCTGGTTTTAAGGTCAATCGGATGTGTTCAAGCTTGACAGACCAAGTGCGCTCTATTGCCAACGTCACAACGGCCGTTGCTAGGGGCGACTTGACACAGAAGATTGAGATCCAGGTCGAAGGCGAGATGTCAACATTGAAGGGCACGGTCAATTCCATGGTGGACCAGCTGAGCGCCTTCGCATCCGAAGTCACTCGTGTCGCGCTCGAAGTCGGAACGCAAGGTATATTGGGTGGTCAGGCTCGCGTAGAAGGTGTGCAGGGTACCTGGGCTGACTTGACACGTAATGTGAATGTGAGTTATATAAATAGTGTTCTGGTCTCGTCAAGCGTCGCTGATATCTCGTGTGACAGAAAATGGCTAGTAATTGACCGACCAAGTACGATCGATCTCGGAGGTCACAAAAGCTGTTGCCTTGGGCGATCTAAGCAAAGTCGTCAACGTCGATGTCCAGGGAGAAATGCTAGATTTGAAGATGACCGTCAATTCTATGGTTGCCCAATTGTCTACGCTCGCCAACGAAGTCACTCGTGTGTCTCTGGAAGTCGGTACGGAAGGTATCTTGGGTGGGCAAGCGTATGTCCCCGATGTGCAGGGCATGTGGAAGGTAGGGCGCAAAGATACGAAATGATGTCATTTCTGACGTTCACACAGGTTCTCACAGATAATGTCAACCTCATGGCCATGAATTTGACCAACCAGGTGCGGTCGATTGCAGAAAGTGACGAAGGCTGTCGCTGGCGGTGACTTGACGAAGAAGATTGAAGTCGACGTGCGTGGCGAGATCAAGGAGTTGAAGGAGACTGTCAATGGGATGACCGAGAGCTTGAGTCTCTTCGCCGATGAAGTCACTCGTGTCGCAAGAGAGGTCGGCACGGAAGGACGATTAGGAGGTCAGGCTCGTGTAACCAATGTCGGTGGTACATGGAAGGTGAGTATGTTGCACAGGCTGTGGATTAATACTCATCTCAAGTAGGACTTGACGGACAACGTGAACGTCATGGCTGCTAACGTAGGACCATCTTATCTTTTACGGGGCTAACGCTGATTTTCGGCGTCGTAGTTGACCTTGCAAGTCCGAACTATCGCTGTCGCAACTGTGAGTATTGCTTACCGTGACCCAGTCCTTTGTTGAATTTATCGTCAGACTGCTGTCGCCCGCGGAGACTTAACTCAACAAATCACTGGTGTCTCTGTGTCCGGAGAGATGCTAAGCCTAGTCAACACTATCAACGACATGATTGCTCAATTGGCAATCTTCGCCAAGGAAGTCAAGAAGGTCGCATTCGAAGTCGGTACAGAGGGTAAATTGGGTGTCCAGGCTGAGGTGGGCAACGTCCAGGGTATCTGGCAAGAAATTACGTAAGTAAGGGACACCATTCGTGATGGGTGTTGACATTGGTGTAGGATGTCCGTCAACACTATGGCCGGCAACTTGACCCACGCAAGTGCGTGGATTTGCCCAGATCTCGGCAGCTGCTATGGATGGAGACTTCACTCGTTTCATCACTGTTGAGGCCAGCGGAGAGATGGACTCTTTGAAAACACAGATCAATCAGATGGTATTCAATTTACGTGACAGTATCCAGAAAAACACCGCTGCGCGGGAGGCAGCTGAGCTGGCGAACAGGAGTAAATCTGAATTCCTAGCGAACATGTCACACGAAATCAGGTAACACTATTCTTCCTTATCATCTCGATATTATGTGCTCAATATCTCATAGGACACCCATGAACGGAATTATTGGCATGACAGAGCTTACTCTTGACTCTGATTTGAACCGATCGCAACGAGAGAGTTTACTCTTAGTGCACTCGTTGGCTCGCTCGCTGCTACTCATCATCGATGATATTTTGGATATCTCGAAGAGTGAGAATCTATTCCTGATGTCAATGCATTAATCTGATTACATGTTCTACAGTCGAGGCTGGCCGAATGACCATGGAAGCCGTCTCGTACTCCCTCCGTCAAACAGTTTTCGGTATACTCAAGACCCTTGTCGTCCGCGCCTCTCAAAACAACCTCGATCTCACATATGATGTCGACCCGGACATTCCTGATCAACTTATTGGCGACTCTCTACGACTTCGTCAAGTCATCACGAACTTGGTTGGTAACGCCATCAAGTTCACACCGTCCAAGGTCTCTCGTAAAGGCCACGTTGCACTTAGCACAAGGTTACTGGCACTGGATGACTCGAGTGTGACACTAGAGTTCTGTGTCACCGATACGGGGATCGGTATTGCCAAAGACAAACTGAATCTCATTTTCGACACCTTCTGTCAGGCAGATGGTTCGACGACGAGAGTACGTCCATGTTGCAATCTATCACAGGGTCGTAGCTGATCGTCGCACAGGAATATGGGGGAACCGGTCTGGGCCTTTCTATCTCCAAGCGTCTCGTCAACCTCATGCAAGGCAACATGTGGGTCGAGAGCGAGGTCTCGAAGGGAAGCAAGTTCTTCTTCACGATTACATCGCAGATATCCCAAAGTACGCTGGAGATCACACTGCAAAAGATGCAGCCATTCCACAGACGTGCTATTTTGTTCGTTGACACCCTCAACGACACGACTGGGGTTGTCCAAAGAATCCAGGAGCTTGGACTGAGACCATACGTCATCCATGATGTCAGCGAGGTGGCTGACAAGGAGCGCTGTCCGCATATCGACACCATCGTCGTGGACTCGTTGAGCATGGTACGTCATGTAGGTGCTATATGATTTCATGCTTGCCTCATGCCTTTATAGACCGAGAGTATTAGGGAATATGAGCACTTGCGCTACATTCCCATCGTATTATTGGCGCCTTCGATGCCACGTCTGAATCGTGAGTATGCGAGGATGTGCTCTGGTGATATGGGGTTGACAGTTGTAGTTAAATGGTGCCTGGACAACAGCATCAGCTCGCAGGTTACGACTCCAGTCACAGCTCAAGACCTTGCTTCCGCCCTCATCTCCGCTCTGGAGTCGAATACTGTCTCACCTGTCTCGGCACCAAATGATGTTGTCTTTGACATCCTGCTTGCCGAGGATAACATGGTTAACCAGAAACTAGCAGTCAAGATTCTGGAGAAGTATGGCCACACAGTCGAGATCGCGGAGAATGGAAGTCTAGCTGTCGAAGCTTTCAAGGCACGGGTACAAGTGAACAAGCCATTCGACATTATCTTGGTAAGTCATTTTTTGCTCGATGACCCACAGTAGTAATATCTTCCCAAGATGGATGTATCGATGCCTTTCATGGGAGGAATGGAGGCGACCGAGCTCATCCGAGCGTATGAGATGCATAAAGGACTCCTACGGATTCCTATCATCGCCCTCACTGCTCACGCTAGTACGTCACAATCTCGACGCTCAATGATGATACTCGCTGATTTTTTTTTTCAGTGATCGGTGATCGCGAACGATGCCTGCAGGCAGGTATGGACGATCACATCACCAGTATGTACTTCATTTACCCATGCATTCTCCGAGTCTCACGTACTTATTTTGCAGAGCCCCTTCGTCGTGGAGATCTCTTGAATTCGATCAACAAGCTCGCAGGCGAACGCGCACAGTTAGCCACGCAGCATCACCTCCTCCACAGGCCACCTGCTCTGATGGCACCATGACTGATATTTTTTGCATGATTTCATTGGTTCAGGTTTTGTATACCCTTGTATGATGTCGATTCCAGATTGTCGATGCTTCTACTGACGTTTACGGCTTTCCAACGCTACCCCTATCAGATTAATCTGTACGATAGCATGTTTGTGGTTTCTGTTCTCAGATTCATTGTGTAATCTTATATTCGAACACCATGTATGTTGATATGTCATGATGGACTTTTGTTCATTATATATGCAATTGTTTCCCTCCCAATTGGTCTGTTTAGTAGTGGAGTCTAGGTTCACGATGGTCTTTGGTTCTTACTGGTGTCTTGTGGATGATTGATTGATACTAAATAACGAAACGTTGCCACTCAGATCTATTCTTTGGTGGATTATCTTCCTCGAGAAACAGGTTTCAAAGCTGGAACAGCTGACAGATCACGATTCTTTGTCGACCTATAGAAGTAATTTAAAACTTTCAAGTTCCAGGCAACGTACAAGGGGTGTTTAAGGGAACAATCTATATATCAGACCAGGACATCTGATACAGGGATGATGGAAATCAGAGAATAACCAGGTACCTTACGCAAACCTGCTATTCAATTGTCTCCCTTCGCACGACCCTCTTCCAGGCTCATTCTTCCTGTTTCAGCGATACCACATTGAATCAGCGAGCACCGTGCCATGGCGGCGAAAAAATTTACTGGTTGATGTGTTCGGTAACAAGAGATATACTTATATGGTATTAAGGGAGGGTATGATTATGCTGATGCGTCAGGAAAAGGTGGCCCTAACAGACCACTCATGTTTAGAGGATGATGATACCACAAGCAATGGCAACGACCAGGCCAAGTGCACCGATAGCTGTCTTCGTGCCCACAGCATCGCCAGTCTTGCTAATGAGAGGGTTGCTGCTGCTGCTGCTGCTGCTACTGGTAGCAGTAGTAGCAGTGGAGCTCTTAGTAGCAGTTGTCGAAGTGGAAGTACTTCCACTGGTAAGCTGTAAATATGAAATACCGTCAGGCCACCACAAAATCGAACCCGTGAAACCATCAACGAACAGCGAGAGATCCACCGCAGGCTTCGTTCCAGCTTTCGATGGCGGAATCAGCGTCTGTCGAGGCAGATGGTTCAGCCGCGACAACGCAATCCATGCATGTTTGAAGTTGGGTTCCGAGGGACGATACACAAATGCAAGATAGACTGGAGCCGCAGTTCTGGGGGGATGTCTAAGCGATGTCAGAAGCTGAAGTTATCAGGCGTACTCACAGTCATCGTATTGATGACTTGACACGTGCTTTGGCATTGAGAAGGAAGGTCGCTCGTATCTACCTGGCGGACAGCAAGAGCGTTGGGAGAAACATCGCGCACGAAAGGAGGGGCTAGATGCGAAGGGGATGTGTCAGTTAACTATTAGATTAGATTTCAGTGAATCGAAATTTACCTTGTGCGACAGTAGCAAGAACCTGAAGGAGAGGAGTGATTTGGACCATTGGTATCAAGTCGTGATACTGACTGTTTCGTACAAAACTGAGAAGAAAAAAGATGGAGCAGCAAAGCAACCAGCTGGCCTTATAACTTATAGTAAATTTCGGGAGCCGAGGTGAATAAATGTCAACTCGCCATGGCAGTATCCAGGACAAGGGAGCGAGAGGGTCGCTATGAAGATCACGAAGGCACGACCGATGCCGCCACCGATGCACTGCCAATACGAATATTGAACAGTGATCGATTGATCCTGAAGTAATTTGTGCCTTTATGTGCCTTAGAGCTTTTGATCAAGCCTCGAAGCTTCAAGTCTAGCTATCAGCTATAGCGGCGTTGTAGGGCCTGTGTACGCGTTTGGACCCGAATATGCGCAACTCCCAATCGCAAGCATGTCTGATTGTTGTAGAATTCTGAGTCAGGTCAGCAGTCAGGCCTTCATAACCAGGTTCGCAGTGATCATACTACATAAACGCTCAAGCGCTCATGTTCATGCACCGTGCTGGGATGTCGGCTAATGATACCGGCCTCATTCCGTGGCAGCGCTCAACCGCATAATGATTCATGAAGATACTCACAGTCTTATACAACCTCCCATAACGCGAACGCCGGACATCAGCTTGCTTCAAGCTATGGCAGGCAATCATTGTGCACCAAATTTTTCATGGGATGGAACTGATCGGTGAGAAGAAGTGCATCAAATCATCACCTGTCTGATATTAGTACTGGACCACGGGAAGCCGGAGCAGCGGCGGAGCTTCGTGAGTATAAGTCAAGGTTGCGAAGGTTTGCGGACTTGACCAAGAGCACACAAGCGCTAAATATTGTTATCTAAAGCACACGCGTTGGGCTATTCCGAGAATCATCATGTTCCGTATTTGCAACGCATTCGTCAGCAATCTCGTTATCATGGCCCGGTGTGCGACCTCTGCTCGATGTCCCAATCACCCATGTCTGCCGGGATTAACGTTCCCGAGGAACAGCCTTTGCTGTCCAACTCGAAGCCGCCAAGCTATCATGATAACCCCACAAGTCGCACTCAGGATGAGGAGGCACTGATAGTAGACGAGACCAGTGACTCCCCGAAAGAGCCATGGTCCACGAGGCAAATAACTGTCTATAGCATTCTGACATTGCTTGGATTGTTTATATTGGCCATATTCATCAAAGGCTTCATTGAAGCGGATGATACGAAGGTTTGACTCGTGCACTCACCTCTTTCCTCGTGTTCAACGTTCTTGTTAGTTTGACCTTGGAAAAGCGTTCAAGAGTGCGCTAGGAGGGGGGTTAAGTGGGGCTGCGGGTAAGTAAATCTATTCGTTGGAACATCTCTGCCACAATTTTGATATCCTGGCAGCTATGGTGTTGCAGGTCTTGGCGCTCATGGTATGATGTTCCTCATATCGAATGTCTCCAATTTCCGCTGAAAATAATGCAGCCTCTGCGCACAATCATGAATTACCAATACCGATACGGCACAACGACAACGCAGGCTACCAAGATTTTATACGCTGATGGCGGCTGGACGCGGTATTACCAAGGCCTCACCGCAGCTCTGGTTCAAGGGCCAGTGTCCCGCTTTGGCGACACCGCTGCCAATGCAGGCATTCTCGCCCTCCTTCAAAGTAATTCATATATGAAAACCTTGCCCACGCTTGCAAAGACATTATTCCGCAAGTGTTGCTGCGGCTTGTTTCCGCATGACCTTGACCCCAGTTGACACGATCAAGACGACCATGCAGACGCAGGGTAAGGAAGGCATGGCATTACTGAGAGCTAGGGTATATCTTCACGCATATGGCAATTTCTTGTTCTGATGTTTTCCTAGGTCAAGAAATATGGCATTGGCAGCCTATGGTATGGTGCTCTCGCGACCGCAGCTGCCACATTCGTCGGTCACTACCCAGTAAGTACTTTATTTTTGGACATACACTCATTATTCATTCTTTGCCCAGTGGTTCGGGACGTACAACTATCTCAATGCGGTCCTCCCACTTCCAGCGACTATACTGCAGAAACTCCTTCGTTCCGCTGTAATCGGCTTTGCAGCTTCCATCGCCTCTGACACCATTTCTAACTCTCTTCGCGTGCTGAAGACCTACCGACAAGTCAATGCTACCCGAATTGGATATGCCGATGCCGCCCGCGCTGTCATCGCAGCAGATGGCCTCAAGGGTCTGTTTGGGCGGGGACTCAAAACCCGTATCTTGGCGAACGGCCTCCAGGGAATCATGTTTTCAATACTGTGGAAGTTATTTTTGGATTTGTGAGTTATTCCTGCGTAACGCATGCCTTATGATCCAGTCCTGAGTAATCTCTCCATGTCTAGGTGGGAAGACAAGACGAATTAGATAAGTTCTGGAGTAATGCATATGCATATGAGGAAGGGCTTGCACATCACTATTACCCTGAATACCGGGTCATTCCGTTACCTTCACATCTTGATCCTGCCCAGAGTTTGATCTGGTGATATCTTGATACGTATAACATATCCGACTCTTGGATCCCATGCGAATGTATGACATTGACATTTACCTTGCACGTCACGAGAGACAGCTCAATTTGAGTAGTACGTTGGTGCAAAGCCAGGGAAGGAGCGTCGGTCTCCCACTCGACCTTCTTCAAAGGCAATGGTAGATGATGTTGCACTTCTGCCATCAGGTATATCACAATATGCACGCCTAGCGACAACTGATCATCCAGCAAATAACAGTCTAATACCATGGACAACGGCCTCTAATAGATAACGAATTTCGTCACGATCTTCGGTCCATGACCTCTAGGATCCGTGCACGCTCGCTCTCCCAATCATCCCAGCACAATGCCAACAGTGCCGTATCCGTCCCCACCGTACCAGGACGCGGATCTCCCACCCTCTCCTTCACTCCATTCGTCGCACTTGCCTTCGAGCCAGCGAAAATCCTATCCCAACGCAACACAGCCTCCGTTTACAGCTGTTGCATAAATGATGACAGTACGCGACTTTTTGAGAAAGAAGAATAAATAAATAAATCTACACAGCAGTAAATAACGCGTCCCGCATGTATGTGAGTTACGATTGAGTCGAGGTAAGCCGATGGCGTTCGTGGCGACGTGTGTCCGCTGGAACGGCGGCAGGATGATTGCGTAACTGATCTCGGTTTGATAGGTTTGCGGGAGATGTGTTATGTATCCTATGATGCGGCGAAGTTGGATGATGAGAAGGGACTGGTGCTGGTACGCGTCTTGTCGATGACAGCATAGAGGACTACCCCAGTGTCAGGCCGTACGCGATTATCAATTACTTGCTTCACGAAGTCTGAAGTGTCGGTAAAATTTTCCCAGGGTATGAAGTCGTAGAGATCGGGGATAGGCAGCTGAGCCTTGGAAGTAGAGATCTGCGTGCAGATCAGGCTATCGAACGATTCATGTTAGCGGCTGATAAGAATTTTGTAGTGTGACCTACGATGAAGGTGTGAGTTTGCCCGTTCGCTCTCCAAACTCGCGAACAGGGAAGCAGAAATTAGTATCATATGCAGCAGTCGTAGTTTTCTAGTTGGGACATGTGTTATCATTTATTGTACCATCAATGTGAGAGTTTATCACCGACCGAGGCACGTCGATTAAAACGGTCGCCTGCTGGCGTCAGGAATCACTGAGTCGGAGGATTCAGTGTAATTATTCATATATAAGTACTTAGCTTGACCACTTGCCTTCCCAAGCTTCAACCTAACTACTGGTTCAAGTCCTAGTATTTGGAGCAAATGAAACCTCTTGACCTGCAATACCCATCACCGCAGCACTACCAGTGAGCACTCTTCCAAAACTCATGGGATTAATCCTTACGCCGTGCGGCCCCTGCTAGTTTGACCCTAGGACTTCTGCAACAGAAAGCAGATCCAAACAGCGAGAGTCAAAAGGCAATGACAATATGGATTTCTGGTCACGAGTCGAGACCAGGCACCATCATGATTGCACAGGTACTAAGCTCCAGTTGGGCTCCAATTGAGCTCCAACGATGATAGCCATTTCGTGACATCATCGAGGCGCCTACGATAGTATAAAACTACAGCGCTCGTCGGATGTTCAACCATTCCGAACGAGAAAATATACGTACGAGATAAAACCCCTTTCTTTTATTCTTCCGCTAAGCTGAATCCGTCATGGTGCGTGCGCCCCAAACCCAATATTAATGGCAATGTACCGACATCTTCCTGCATAGGGCTCTATTGTCTCTGCAATCGGCTCTGGTATTAATGACCTCATCTCAGCAATAGCCAATGTGATCCTGATCATCATCGACGCAATAACGACTGTTCGTGCATTTCAATGTCACGGTTTGTTGATTCTCATGGAAAATACTAGGTCATCGTCACAATCGTAGACATCATCGTCGACATCCTGTGCTGCAGGTGTTGCAGCTCACGACGGCGAATAGGCAGCAGGACAGGATATACTTTCAGAAGACGAGCATTCCTTTGATATGGCATGACTCGTAACGGATATTTGATACCACACGTACAATTATGATGAACTTTGACGAAGACATATGTTGGGGTGTTGAAATACTTACTTGGGTAAGCTCCCAGTGAGGAGATGAGAGACATCTCAAACAAGTACTCAGATAGCGCCTGGGCTGCTGACGTTCTGTTGGAGTGCGAATTGTGGCAAGGCGTGGGCCGCAATGTTGAGGTAATCCTGCCATACTAAGCGAATGATTCGTATCAAGAGTGCCACTCATTCATACAGGTGAATACGTTCTCCAGAAAGCAAGTTATGCTTTGGTGAGGAGAACGTTATTAGAGCGTTGGGCTTCCCACTGACGGATGTAGAAAATCTGGGCGCAATATGTAGCTCCAGAAACTTTGATTTCAGGTTGAATGTGCCCCACTTCAAATGCCGATCCAAAAAGTCAACTCAATCTAGAAAAGTGCATTTGAGCTGTTCTTTCAGGCAACCCCTCCACACGAGCTCACAAATGAGGTGTTGAGATATCCTCACGAATCAGAGACCGTCCGAGAGCCCATGGACATTCTATTGAGAAGCGACCACTTGAATGCTGTCACTGATCTCGCAACTCCCATTGACAATCGCAGAAATGACTCGTGCCACTCGATTAAAACCAATGATGCCATTGCGATGGGAGCATAACCTACAGCACGGGGCATTCAACCTGAATATGGGCTTCGTATAGGGTGGTGTGCGCTTGCAACCCTGTTAGCGTTAAATCAGCTGCAAAACAACACGGAGTCTGTGCAGACGGGAATTAGGAAGCACAATATGATACTACAACAAGACTCTGTAGCGAAAAAATACACATGTGCAGCAATCATTGCGACTGCTCGGCATAAACCTATTAAAGATCAATAAGCAAGGTTTTGTGCGTTTTTAGTTGCCCAACCAACCTTGATGGTCTTGTCAGCGCCACCAGTGATGAGCCGTGTTCCGGTCATATCGAAGGTCGAACAAAAGACACCGGCTTCTGCCTCGAGGGAACCGGGTTGAGGCACGTCATCAAGATTTTGGAATGGAGTCCCCGTATTATAATCCCAGAACGTGAGTGTACCATTATCGCCTAAGCATTACAATGTCGATTAATTCAGATTTGAGGAAAGCCGATGGGATATAGTAACCTACCACCAGAGAAAAATACGCCTTCTGCGTTGACAGAAAGCGTATTTATGATAGCGTTATGGCCGGGGAAGTTGTGTACAAATGCACCCTCCGGGCATTTCCATTTTTTGATGTTATTACCCGCCTGCGGAACCGGATGCAAAGGAATATTCTGTCGGGTGAATTGCCAGGGCCCTTACAGATTTTTTGTGGTGGGTGAGGGTAACCATCGTCTTTCCAGCTGCTAGGTCCCACAGCCTTAACCAGAGTAGTATCAGTCAGTGTGTTAATTTGCGGAGATTTTCGACGCACCTAACCGTCGAGTCCATACTTCCAGTGATGACTTGCGGATCAGATTCTTGGCACTTGACGTCCGCTACTGTTGCAGAATGTCCCGCGAGAACGTGAATTTGGGCTTTTGTGCGCATATCCCAGACACGAGCTGAGGCATCACGACCGGATGTGACCAAAACATCCAACGTCGGATGTAAACTCAACGAGTAAACGCCTGAAAGATGACCATGGTAGTGCCGGATAACTTTGTTTGCTTCGAGGTCCCAGCACTTCACCATCTAAAGGGAACAATGTTTAACGAGACGAGGTTGGCGGGAGATAGAATGACTTGCCTTGTCCTCACCACACGAAAACAAGTACGGGTGTCTCGGTGAAACAGCCAGTCCTCGGACAGTGGAAATATGACCAGTCAGGGAAAGCTTCAACTCCCCTGAAGCCAAGTCCCAAATTTTGATAACTCTGTCCCCAGCACCAGTAGCAAACCATTTATTTCCTGGCTCAACCGCTACACTGCGAACCCAACCCAAATGACCAGATATCACGCGGACAAGCTTCCATGGTGGATGGTATGTTGGCTTGATGGTACGAGTCGTTTTATGTAGGGTTAAAGCCTCGGAGAGCTTATTGGATGTAGCGAACGTGGACGGTTGCACCTTGGGTGTATTGTCTATTGTGGCAATCATTCTTGATGTGTCGCTAGATGCTGAATGAACCGATGAGACTGTCAGTCAGACTTAAGAAGAACTGATAACCTACGTCCGGCAGTGATGGCCTTTCTCTGCTCCTTTGGCCGAGCAGGACCAATGGGACCTTGTTGAGCAAGTAATGCAGGAGGGAGCTCTTTAAAATCACGGTATTCGTCGTTAATCTTCACCGAGAGACGTATTCGCGCGCTAAAAATCTCTTCAGCAAATGTGCTCGGCATCCCAGAACTCGTTACGCACCTCTTCTCATCTTCCTTCATCCCATCATCTGGACATGATGCAAATATGTCTCTCGTGCGCTTTGCACTCCTCCTCAGTAAAGGATCCAGCGGTGGAAGAGCATATGCTGTACTCATTGACAATACTGGACTATCGACTCCGAGGAAATGAGCTAGTCAACTGGCGGGGTGGCAGGATGACCGGTTTGATTACCATTGTTTGTTTATTTACAAGCAAGAAGTTCCGTGGTTCGCTTATCTGAAGTATCTAGAGAGCTTTCATGCTTCAAGACTATTTCGTGGTCTTGATTTAGGTGGTTTAAGAAGGATTGAATAGTGCTTGAAGTAACATAGTGGTAGACATTAGACGCCATTTCGTCAGTCATGTCTGAAGCAGCAGCCGAGCTTAAGAAGCTCGTTAAGCAGCTCCAAAATACTTCCACAGAGGTGTGTACAAATCTTTCTAGGTCAATGCTTGTATTTTGGTTTGCTGACAACCTTCGTGTAGGAAAAGGTATCGATTCTGCAAATCTTGAAGAAAGACTTCCATGTAAACGAAGCGATCCTAAGGGTAGGTATTCGTGCTCGGATTTTTCCTGTGTTTCGACTCACTGGTGTGAATTCATAGGAAAGCAAAGCAGGGCTTGCTGTCGGAAAATTGCGGACGCATGAGGCAAAAGAGGTCTCAGACCTCGCCAGAGAGATCGTGAAGAAGTGGAAAAACGAGGTGGAGCGCGCTAAAGGAGGTTCAGGCTCAAAAGCGGGAACACCTGCGAACGGAAAGGCAGCACCAAGTGAGTCCGATCCACATATGCTGCTCGATCCTTATGATGACCATGGCTATCAACTCTATCCTCTCACGAAGCTCGCAAGGGATCTGCTTCGGTTACACCATCTAATACCGCTACTCCCGCCCCAGTGAACGGGAAGTTAGAACCTCGTAGTGCGAAAGCAGATGGTGTAAAGGCGTCCGGCACGGGCGACAACACGCGGGACAGGTGCACGGAACTCATTTATGATGGCCTTGCTTGTGACTCTGGTGCTCGTGAGTTGATCCCAGACTTCGGCTTCACTCCAACTCTCACTGACCCTGAAAATAGCCAGTGAGCTGATTTTGAGTCGAGCAAAAGCTGTGGAGGCCGCTGTGTTTGCACAATCTGGCTAGTACTAATGCTGCATACAAGGGCAAGATCCGTTCTTCGTACGTCAACCTCAAGGACAAGGGCAATCCAAGTCTGCGAGAGAACATTGTCAGCGGCGATCTTTCGGCGGAGAAGTTCAGCAAAATGACAAGCGAGGTATATTGAGGCATCATAAGATCTATCTTTAAGCTGATTTGTTCCAGGAAATGTCTTCGGAGGAACGACGAGCGGCAGACCAGAAAATAAAGGAGGACAACTTCTTCAAGTCTTTGGGAGCTGGCGAGCGAGAAGCCGAAACGGAAGGCTTCCAGTGCTCAAGATGCAAGCAAGTAAGATCCTTTCGTCAAATTTGGTGGCTTGGTATCTCATCGTTCATAGCGCAAGTGTCGCTATCGCCAGGCGCAGACCAGAAGTGCTGACGAGCCAATGACAGTGAGTAAATGTTTAATGGGAATCAGACTGAAGTTGATGTATACGTCTTTCTAGACTTTCGTGACGTACGTGACCTTGACCTGTTGTACAAGATATACTCACTTTTCGTCTCGTTTACAGATGCGTCAACTGTGGCAACAAGTAAGTAAGCTATCTTCGAGGAAATTCGTGTCTCATTTATCACTTGCAGATGGAAGTTCTCGTAAATCTTTGCATCGTCCAGGAATATTTTATAGTCGGCAGATCTTTCTTTCTACTGTACTTCTTTTACTGTCCAATTTTGTCGGGACATCGTTTTTTTCGACGTAAACAGCCCTGTCGTAATGATGTATACCTTCAATCTATTTTGAAACAATACCCTTTTCTTCTGACAACTCATTTTGCACAGAACCGGTGAGGTATGCGACTTGTGATAGTCTCATCTGTCCGACGCGTGTGATTCATTTTAAGACTAATATATGAGGTATGCGTGCATCATCGACACTCGGATCTACTGATACTTAAGTTCAATACTGATGGTATGTCGCCAGCACGATGGCTGATCAACATCCCAACAGTATCAATCGAGAGTTCTCCCAGGCACAATGAGACTGTGATTCCTGAGTCACGTGAAGGTGGGAATACGAGTGGCTTCTGAAATGCACGCGTTTGTACGCGTTAACTGCTGAGGCCACCCAAGCTAGTGTCGTTTTATACCTGAACCCCCACTCCTTTACCACTAGGCCTTCAACCGACTGTGTACAGATATGTCCGAAGATATTACTGAAGATGTCAAACCAAAGTTGAGCTTGGTCATTAACTATGAGGGTACCCGTCAGTCTTCTTTTCGTGCTATTCCGACGCGTTGCAAGTATTGACGACCCGTGGCCAGAAATCACTGTGAAGGTGAAGCACAACATGCCGTTCAAGAAGATATTCGATGCAGCAGAGGTGAGATCACGATCGTTGCATCAAACCTTGGGTTTTCATCATGACGTGCACCAGAAACGGTTTGGAAAAGAACCAGGTAAGTGGCAACTGCTTTCGGAAAGGCGAAGAAATTCTGTACTCACGAACAACCCTTCAGGGACGTTTAAGTTCACCTACGATGGCAAAAGATTGCGGGCTGAAAACACACCTGTGGATGTGAGTGCTCTACTGATGCCCAGAGAACGGTTGATGCTCGTACGCTGACGCATCATCAGATGGAAATGGAAGATGGTGATATCATTGACGCTCACTTAGAGCAGGTATGTCGTATGTTTCTATTGTTCTCTCGGTCCTAATACCGCTGTGCTCTCTAGCTGGGAGGTGGCGCAATCATATGTTAGCTGCTGTACATCCCGACTCGGAGGCTTCCACAGGCCATGCAATCGGATATTCTTTACTGTACTACGTCTTACTCTTACTATCCATCATTCATTCCGTTACCATTTACTCGTCGCCAGAACGATGTAACTATAACTCAAAGGCTACTACTACTTGCTTGAGGAGATCTCTCCTCCACCACGTGCAGGGGGTAAACATCCTCTCTAATCGGGTGCCTGACTGCTGCATTCTTTAAATCTTGCCAGGCTCCCAAATGACAGACACCGCGTGTCAGTCATCGAGGGCGACGTCTTTTCAAGGTTGAGTGTATTGGTAAGTCATCAGCATCTCACTGGTAGGCCACGTTGACTTGCTCAGATGGTGACAACTCCTAGTGCAGTCAGTCATCCCCATCTAAACTCAATTTTATTAGTGAAATACAATGAATCAACCCCCCAAATTATGGAGACCACCGTCTTTTGCAGCGTTCTTTGGCATACTCAGGGTTGTAAATCCGGACAATGACGCTGCGGGAAAGACACTCAGCTCTACGACCTGGCGCTGTCCGGTAGCAAGTTGGGACTACAGAATGTGATCAACCACGTTCAGTTGACGTTAGATCTACTTGAAGCGATTTTTTGCTTATACCAAGCTCATCGTATGATTATTTGTCACGAGTCTCGGGCCCGTAGCTTTTCCTGAGGCGAGGAATCTCCGTCTAATATTCCGACTCTAACTAACAAGCCCGAATACACCAGAGACAGTACATAAAGGATTGGCATTGAATATTTGAATCCTAAGCAAATCCCTAAGTGCCTATAAGTTTAATACAACGGTCCGCCGGACATCCCAGGACCCTCTCTTGCCCTTTTGATGTGTCCTCCCGCTATGGTAGAAACCTCCTATATCCCAGGGATCCAGATGCGGGAAGCCAGAGAATTGACAGGCTGCCGCGGTGATTTAGATATCTCCGACATGATGACGCCACCGAGTAACTAACTAGGCCGTCTCGATCTTGGAAAATTGAAGGAAGCCCACACTTACCTCGTGCTTTCAAATTGTATAGGACAGTCCCCATATGATCTTGTCAGTGACATTCTTAATAGTTTGCACAATGATTTTACCGTCAACAAGTATTTAACGACCCACATTCGTCGACCCCATTCCCAGATCCGACTCGCCAGACTACTCTCTCATTTCTGGTGAGTATTTTTTGTGTTTTTGTGCCCGTACTATTTCTCATTCATGGTAAATCATTTCACGTCCTCCCACCAAACTGTCTCCATGGCAAAACAAACAAACCCTTGCCAAAAAGTTTCTAATCAAACTCCCTGCGGTAAAGAAGCCGGATGAGATCTCGGATGCCCAGATTCACTCATATCCATTATCAATCATGAGAAGACGATATGCCTTTCTGAGGCCGAATGGCCGTTCTGTGACGAAGAGGACTAGCTACAAACTGAAGATGATGAAATAGAAGTAGAAGAACTTGGCATCCTTGAAGAAGATGAAGATCGTCAGTCAGAGGATGAGTTCAGCATGGATTTGGTTGCTACTGGTATATCGAGCAGCACTTTACCTGCCTTACTAAAGGAGATAGCTTCATAGTTGCCAAAACACACGTTTGTCAACACGAACCTTTCGAGCTATGCGATGTTGATGTGGAGATGACTCCGAGAGTCAACAACTGGTTGGAAACACGAACGTGTAGTGGACAGTGGTTCCACGCCAAATTTCTAATAGATCTTGACTAGCAATCTGCTGGCATCGAAGATATGCATCTGTTTGAAGGCACAACCACGCAAGAATTTACAGCACATAAAAGCCAACCGACTTCCTACCATCTTCCCATATCACGAGTCAAAAACAATGCGTTTCTCCTCTGCAATTGTCATCACCCTCGTTGCTGCTTTAGCCTCATCATCAATCTCTGCCATGCCCGCTGAAGCTCCTGACACGGCTGTCGCAGATAAATGTCCCTGGTTTTGCAAAGAGGACACAGATTGCGGTGGCTGCTCGATCCAGTCTTGCGTGAGTATCAGCAGTTTTCCTGGATTTCATAACATAACTCACCTGCATGGCAGTACGTTATTGTCTGCCAGGTGAGTCGTATACTATCTGCCTTCAGATCAGCATTATGACCGTTGGCACTGACGCGCAATTTGTTAGTAATTTGTAGAGTTAGGAAAACATCGGTGGAATTGGCGTAACTTTCGTGCAATTGGAGAAGTGGTAGAAAGACGCACCAGTAAACATTTCTTCCCAGATATGATATGGCACTGGACCTCCTTGAAGCCAAAATAGATTGTTAGTTGTTGATTCAGATCCAAATTTTGTACCATGACCGGTTGCCATTAGTTATCCAAGGTCATCCAGAGGAAAGGAATGGGCCACACGGAGCGCTGCATTAAGGTAACCTGGTATCTGTGGACCCAGTTTTGTCTTTAAAACTGTACTAAGTCGTGAACAGCGTGAGCGCAATGGTGGTAACCATGTAGTGAGCGAGTGCTTGATCATCGCGTTTGACTTGCCATGGCTGCAGCTTCGTCGCCTTCTGCTTAGGCATCCGCACGGGTAAACCCGCGGGTGTCCCGAGGTCAACCAGTACCCGTAACCGCCAAGGGTACATACCCGTGGCGGGTGTACCTGTGGGTGTGCAAGCACCAACAACACCGCCAGCACCGTCCAGAGCACCATCTACTGCCCCCACTCGATCACAACAGCCGCCAGTGCTTAGCGCACATGCCCAGCGCACGCCAGAAAAATGACGTGGCTCGAACACATGCGAACGACACCAGGAGGTGCCAGAATGAGAGGAGTGGAAGAGGGCCTCTGAGGAAGGGAGCAAGAACGCGAGCGATGAAGCGGAGGGTAGGCAGGAGCAGGCCAGGAAAACATTATAATATCTTTAGAAATTAAAGAATTGAAAGAGAAATCAGTGACGATATTCCATGGCAACTTGAAGGACGGAGGTTTGAGGTCGCGGTAGCAAGTTGGGACTACAGCACCTTCAGTTGAAACTTGACGCGAGATCTACTTGAAGCAATTTTGTGCTCATACCAAGTTCATCGTATAATTATGTCACGAGTCCCGAACCCGTAGCTTTTCTTGAGGCGAGGAATATTAATTTCAGTCTAATATCCCGAATACACGAGAGACAGTACATAAAGGATTAACATTGAATTTCTAAGCGTGCCCATAAGTTTATGTAATCAGGGGATCGACGCAAATGGCAATTGGTCTGCATCATGACCAGAGGCCCCCCGGAAGCCCCCACATAACGGAAAATCGGACGGACGGACATTTCCACGAGAAGGTCTATGATAGTTCCCACGGCTACCATGATGCCGTAGCGCTGACTGCACCGAAAATTTACCTAGACTCAAGATTCTGGTCACGAAATTATCACGAATGCGTACAATGACGCGTCTGTCATTACCACTCTGAGAGTAGTACTACTACATGTATTGGGGTGTCACATATGCCAAACCGTGTGACATGTCTCACCGGGATGGGCGGACAGACATGTGCCATGCCCAGGGAACTTCCGGGGGCCTACAACCACTGTGTAATGGCCACGTACAAGCAAAGACTGAGAGGATGGCTCAGTTATGCATTTGCTAGGTGTGTAGTACTCAAACTCTCCTCCCCAATAAATTTCTTACTCCATAGCAAGTGAGGCTTTTGTGGTAGTTTCCCTCACGCTCTTCCTACCAATTTGTCTGGAGCAATTTGCCCGTGACAATGGGTTCTTGCAACCAGAGAAGACTGAATCATGCTCTTCGCTCTCAGGTGTTGCGCCCGCAAACGCAGATGCCAGATGTGCAGTGAAGATCGGTTGGTTGTGGATAGATACCGCCAGTTTTAGGTGCGTCTAATTTATTCTGACTAGTGCGGATGTCCTAATACACTCAGTCTCTATGTCTACTCGTTGTCTGTCGCTCTGCAAGCACTCACGGTGATCTCAATGGGGAGCATAGCCGACCGTCGTATGTTCCACAGTTTCATTCTGGAACTAGTTTTCATCACTCGTGGCAGTGTCATACAGAAAGCCCCTTCTCCTCACTTTTGCTGCAATAGGTGCATTCTCCGCGAGCCTTTTCCTCCCTCTATCGTCGACATCTCCATTATGGATGGTCTCTGCGTTGTTTGCAATTTTGGCCAACGTTGGCTTTGGTGCCTCCATAGTAGCTATGAACGCGTACCTGCCGTCATTGGGGAAAGATTCCCCAGAAGTAGTTCAAGCTTACTCTGAACTGACAAGTTCATTTGAAAACCAGAATGAGAATGCTGCTCTTGCTGCAAGCGTTGATCTCGAATTAGAACCCTCTTTTGAAGAAGTGTCAGATCCTCTTCTTGGTCATCCAATCCATCCGAGCACTTCTCAATCAAAATACACTGCTGCATTATCGAGAGCCACCTCGCGAATATCATCCTTAGGAATTGCTTCGGGTTATGGCGCAGGAATAATCCTTCTCTTGGTTGCACTCATACCTGTCACTCGCATGCATGGATCTACTTTCTCACTACGTCTCGCCATTGGCCTCAGCGGCATATGGTGGGCATTGTTCTCGATTCCTGCTGCTATCTGGCTCCCAAACGCAAGCAACATCGATGAACCAGAATCTGGTTCTATCAAGCCAGATGACGATTGGACCTTCAGTTCGGAGATTGCGGCTGCATGGAAACGATTGGGAGTTATGCTTCGCTGGCGGGAAATAAAGCGTCTTCAACATACCTTCAGATACCTCGCTGCTTGGTTCCTTCTTTCCGATGGTCTGTCTATTATTCCACCAATCAATTCCTCTTTTCAATTTGACTTCTCAACAGGTTTCACTACTATAACATCGACCGCGATCCTGTTCGGGAAAACGACTCTACACATGGAAGCTTCGTCTCTCGTCCTCATCGGCGCTATCACACCACTCTCAGGAATCATTGGCTCTCTAGTATCCCCCATCCTTCAACGTAAATTCATGTGGTCGAATCTTCATGTCTTAGTCCTTCTCGTGATGATGGTCTCGCTGATTCCTGCATACGGATGCTTGGGATTCCTGCCCATCTTCAAGGGAACTGCGCGATTTGGCGGACTGACGACGCAAGGAGAAATGTTTGGTCTTGCAGTGTATTTTGGTCCGTGCCCTTCACCTCGATCGCAAGCATTGACCGACTGGTATCACTATCACAGGTTTCGCGTACGGTGCGTTTCAGAGCTATGCCAGGGCTTTCTATGCGGAGTTATTACCTCCTGGGGAAGAAGCTCGATGGTATGTGTCTTTCACAGGTGTAGCATGTAAAATATTGACATACAGCCCCAGGTACGGTCTTTTCTCGATAACAGACAAGGTAGGCAGATAGTTTCAAGTTTGTTTTGCACTGACTACATTGTTGCATACAGTCAAGCTCTTTTGTTGGTCCGTTCGTCGTCGGCCTGATAGCGGATAGCACGGGGAACATCCGCTATGCATTCTTTTTCCTCGTATTCATGGTGTGGGCAGCAGTGCCTGTACTCCTCAGCGTTGATGTTGATAAGGGGAGGCAGGATGCAAAAGATTATGTTTCGCGGAGACCCCTAGTTGGGGAATGATACTATCCATACTCAATAATATTCCCTGAGCATACTTAGGATGAAATATATAATTTTACAAGAAATTTGCTCGCCTGCAGACGGAGAAGCATCGTTTATGTTCATTTCTTATCTACAGGAGTAGCAAAGAGTAAACGTCATTTGCTGTATCTTTGCCTCATTCGTCGTTGATAACAACGTCCGAATGTCGTGATGATTCTGCACTCGGGAGAGCTGTGTGCAGTTGATTGCAAATGCATCTAGAGTGAAACCTTGCAAGCCGGTCGCGTATGCAGGTCGCAATGGAAATTGCCCCACTTGACCGTGCAGGATTAGATGTGATACTTATCTTATCAAGAGCATAGGGACACGCATTCTGAATTCCAGCAATGCCGTGCAAGAGGACTGTTTTGTATGTTGAACTATAAGAGGAGCTTACAGCACGGTACATAATCCAAACGCAGCGCCAAGCGATCCAGATTGTTCGAGAACGCGTAAGCTAAAGTAAAACACTAGCGGAGATACGTGGCGCCGACGCGGATTGCTTCCGCCGTGCTTATAATATGTAGATGAGATGCTTGTACCATACGTACTGAATCGAACGGAAGCGAATCATTTAAAGCTCCTTCTTCGCTGCACTATCCATCTTAGCCTGGAATGCCTGAAGGGCCTTCAGTCGCTCTGTTAATGTGGGGTGCGAGTGGTGATAAGCCGAATATCTATATCAATGACACATCAGCATGTCGATTCCAAAGTATCATAACTCAACTCACAGCCAGTCAACCCATAAAGTACTCAGATTCTTGACATGGAGCGTGATCAACGCTCGTGAAAGCCTCTCACCCATATCCTTCATCTCTGGAGCCGACAACCGCTCTTGGATCTCGCACGCAAAACGATCCGCTTCCCACTCAAACTGGCGCGAAAGGAAATTCAGCGCAATGCCAATAACCGCTTCTAGGGGGCTAAGAATCATCTATGTTCAGAATCAGCATATGCAATGAAAGACTACATGATGATGTACCTGGAATAGCAAGAATGCAACGATGGTTGGTGGGCGGGCAGAGACAGCCTCCGAAAAGTCGAATGCCCGCAGGAATTGAGGTGCGTGCAAGAAGGCGGGAAACATGGCAAGGATGGTGAAGATATGGACTTGAGATACACAGAGCAACTTCGTTGGGTGCATATAGTACCAGTGGCCGAGCTCATGCGCTGATTGAAAACATTCGATCGACAGACCACCAGAAAAGAAAACGCGTGCATACCTAAAACTGCCTCGACTTCGTCAGGCTTGCTTTCTTTGATCAGTGTGTCGAAGATGACGATGTGTTTGCTCTAAATCATCATGAGCAGGGATGGACAGCAGGTGAGGTACACTAACCCAGGGCAATCCGAAGAAGTAAGCGTTGCTATGAGAGCTACGCTTGGAACCGTCGATCTCGTACAAATGCTTCAAGGGGAACTTGAGCTTCGTCGCGAGCGATTCAGTCCTTGTGCGTAGCTCGCCCTCTCTGAGGGGCGAAAGCTTGTTGAAGAGTGGTTGGATCACAGTTGGATATATAATAACCATTATGATCTGGAAAGCCAGACTAGACGAGAAAGTATATCAGCACAGCACTACTTGCCAAGAGGAAAGAACCGAACAGAAAGGCCATAAGCCACGGGACAAAGCGGTCTCCAGCCCACCCGAAGACGTAAAGGAAGGCGGCGAGAAACGGCATGCCAATGACAAAGCCAATCGCCCAGCTTTTCAAGAGATCGGTGACGAATAACGTAGGCGTGGTTTTGTTAAAGCCGTGCTTCTCTTCCAACACAAATGTTTGGTAAGCAGAGAGAGGAATCGAAGGTATGGACGAGATCACGAAAAGCACGATAGCAAACGCAAGGGATTGCAAGATCTATTATGTTCAGTCAGTTTCGAGGTCTGAATTGATTGCAGGAAGCCACTGAACCTCATACTCGCTGCCATATCCAAAGTAAGCTATCGTCCGCCCACCCATGTCCCATGCAAATGCATATAATCCATAATGAAGCATGGCAGAATCAAGGGCTTGCTTAAACAATCCAGTGACCAGGGAGAATTTTGCTTTGTCCTTGCCGTAATTCTGGGACTTCGTGAAAGCCTCGGCATCAAAGTGGTTTGCTAAAACTTCCGGAGGAGAAGTTTTCGAGTACAGAGGATACTGGCGAAGCCTGCGAGCAGAAAAAAGGTTAGGTAGGAAAGAGAATTCAACAGAGCAGTACACTGACAGAAGGTAAGATTCGAACAGCGTAACACCCCATGAGAAAGCTTGCACGTAAAACTTCCAGTCGATTGGATCAGTTGCAACAAAAGACAACTTTTGCTGGAGTGCTGCAAGCTGAGAGTGCAGCAAGTCCATGATGTCCCGGGGAGCTAGCAAGGCGTTAGTAACTTAGGGAGAATTCTCCTCTTACTCCGGTTTTATCTCGACACGTGACACGTCCTCATTCCATGACCACGTGGCGGCGGACGTGTCCATGTTGCACTGGTACTTAGTAGCCGAGTCCTGGGAGTACTAGCCCCGAAGATAATCGATAATCCTCCAAAGGATGGGCTGCACAAGTACGTTGGATATTGCAAGTAAAATTACTATTTAGATAATACATGCGCGTAGATATAATCAGTGCTTGTGGTTTACAGCGTTCAGTAAGACAGACTTCTCGAATTCCTCGCGGTTGTTCTTGATATTTTCCAGCCCACCTTTGATCACCTTCATGCGGTGAGCCTCAGGATCATAATGATCGCTGGGTTCCGTTCCAGTCGGGGGAATCCATCCTGTAGGAGTGCGCTTAAAGGCAAAGTCACTAATGACCTCTTCTGCAGTTGATCTGGCAGAATCGATGGCTCCGGTAATCCACGTATGATGACGGCTCAAATGCTCTCCGGCAAAGTAGATGTTACCTTCCTTACGACGAGCAATTTCAAAGTACTCTGACAATTGCCCGGGAAGGAACATAGCGTCGCCAGTAGGGTTGTGTTCGGACCAGGCTAAGTCTTCTGCCGTAATGAATTGGTCGTAGACGTCAACGCTCGGGAAAACCTTTGAAAGGTGACACAGAGAGCTCTTAAGACGTTCATTGAAAGGAATAGAGGACCACACAGAAGCGTCTGTGTTCCAGGAATACAGGAGCAGGACGCCAGGTCCCTCGGAACCGATGCCATTAGATGGATATACAATCCACCGAATCGGCAGATCGGTCGTCGATTGTCCCCCTAGAGAAGGGGGTTGAACATGCTCCCAAAATCGAGTCTTGAAGCGCAGACCGATCTTGTACAACGCCTCGTAGAACATAGCGCGGATAGCTTGCTCCTTCCTGTAATCCCAACGAGGACGCTCTGGTATCATTCTCAACGCACTGGGCGGAATGGCAAGAATCACTTTGTCGAAAGTTTGCTCTACCTGACCCCTAGGCGTATCGGCACAGATAATGACACCGTCATCCGTCTGCTCAATCTTCTGGACTCGTGCACCAAAGGTGATATTGTCCATGCCAACCACCCCGGCAAGCGCCTGAGGAAGTCTGTCCATCCCCTCATCCAGTGTGAACCACTGTTTGGTATCGAAGTCGAGATTCTGCATGATGAGCTCGGAGAAGCTAAGGGCGAACTGGTTGGTTTGAGAACACATGGTCTCGGTGAAATCAATGACTGATTGCGGCCATCCAAGATCTTCCAGGTAGGAACGGAATGGGACTTTGTCAAGACGCAGGAGGAGGTTCCAGCCCTGGTCAAAGTCTTTCTCCAACAAATCAATGAACGCCTGTATAGTGCTCAGTAGCAGAGCATCTGCAGTCTTGTTATCATATGGTAGCGGGAGGTCGAATCCCAGCGCATTGGCAGTGCTATCATCGCCCCCGTTCTTCAAAATACCATTTATGAAGATGCGATTGCCGGGGGTAGTGAGATGATAAGGGATAAGTTTGAGATCGGCATGATAGGTGTCATTGAGAAGTTTAATCAGGTCGAAGGTTGGCTGATGCATCTGGGTACTTGGAATACGCATGGCACCAGCCTCAAAGTATTGGTCCTTCTCGGATGTAAAGCGGTAGGTTTTAACACGCCCACCCACCCTCCCATCCAGTTCGTATAGAGAGACTGCGATGTGGGGATCGTTCGACAATTTCAACCGATATGCAGCATACAAACCAGCCATACCGGCTCCCACAATGCCAACACGCTTTAATTCCCTACGGGGGAAAGACGATAAGTTCGCATTTTGCAAAGGAGAAAGACGTGCATACTTCGTTTGCGCTACAGAAGGGGACTGGGACATGATTGATATTGATGTGATAATGCTATTGTGTCCAGGAGCCGTCGTCAGAAAACAAGGCACTACTTAGCAAAGATTGGGAAAACTCACAACAAGGTCGGTTAACGTTGGTGGGGACCTGGTTTAGAACAGATGAGCAGAACATACAAATATTTTATACTCAGACGGAAGGAGCTCACTGCGGCTTGCATACCCAGGAGTGCTAGGACAATCTAGATATGACAGCTGCACTGGTTGAGCGGCGACCTGGGACTGTTCTAAGATAGCCGAGATATCCTAGAAGGTGTCTAATGAAATGAGTCATGATTTTGATATTCGCATCGTAACTAAAAGTTCAGGGCGGGGAGTTACGAAATGGAGTTGTCATCAGGACACAGGATTTTTGTTTCAGCATTTCAGGGGTTTCTAACCCATCGTCTACCCATGCGGCACCCCAACACCGTTTGAAAAGGGCAGGGAGCCAGTAGAGGTCAACTGCGTGCAGATGAATGGTTTGGATTCGAAGGGGTCCGAATCATGAAGGTACTTGAAAGTGGGGTCAGATCATTGCATTTTTTGTTCGAGCGCTTCAAGAGCGCCTCGCCCATTGTCCAGAAACAGCATTTTCCCTTGCACTATTTCAAAAAGAGCGTGGCGATTCACGTTTCAAATGCAGGGAACATTATATCCGGGAAACAAAACAATAGTCACCATACAGTCATCATAAATTTGAGGAATTTACCCGATCCTCATCTGTACTCAAAGTTTGTCCTTGTCGTGCACGGCGTTGCGTAGCCCACTCCCTGGCTCTAGCACGCCGAGCCTCCTGCTCAGCCTCCTCCAACCGTACATTACGGTTCTGAAGCGAATCCAGGGTTGTGGCAGAGCTCTCACCAACCTTTAATAGAGATGTTTCCCCACTCTCAGACTCTTCCTCGCTATCTTCGTCATCACTTTCTCCATACGCAGCGAGTCCTCCCAGACCTACGTTCCGTGGAGCTCGCAGTGATTGAGTTGGTTGGTCGACTTTTTCTTGTCTGAGCCTCTCCTTGGTTGTGCGCCATGCTCGTGACCACCGTCCCCTTAAGAATGCGAATCTCTTATCCGCACCGTGGTTTGCAAGAATGCGCATCTCCAGTTGTGCAGGATTAGGGGACGAGAGAAGGTGTAGCGCTGTTCTTTTCATGAGCTCTGATTGGACATCATCGGGCTAGCACAGAAATAGCCGTCTAATATGTCATTCCTACTACAAGTACTAGTGGAAGACCTCTTACCTCCTCATCACTACCTCCCCAAAGATCCGACTGTTCGCTTTCGTCGGTCTCGGCAAGAGCTCTCAGACGGTCCTCCCTGTTTTGGTCAATGAGACGCCTACGTTTCTCGCGCCGGTAGTCTTCAATTTCATGTGGTGTGAAGAAAAAGGTATCTTCAGTGTCAGATGGCAAGTCTGACCATCCGGTTGGAGATAGAGACCTTGGCTGAGAGGCACTCGGACTTGCATGCTCTGGGACGGCATCAAGCAGGAGACGAGCGTCGTATCTGAGCGAGTGTTGTATCAGACTGGGTAGAACAGAGGATAACGATGGGACCATATCTTCCAATCCGAAGCAGATAGAGCGTAGATCCGACGGATCTATTCAGATAATCATTGCATGCGCAGAGTATATAATTGCCACTTCGTGTTTTGGGACGACTCGCCATAACTTAGCAATGACAATACTACTAGTGAGACCCACCTGTCCACCCAAGTAGCCTTGTCGTCCGACGCTTCGGGAAAAGAATAATCCGGGTTAAGAAGTTGAAAATTTCTTGTGCTAGCGCCCCATTGTATGAGAGCGTTACCGATTTGAGGGTCATTTGCATAGACCCCCAAAGTTGGAAGATGCGGCGCCTCAAGAGAAAGTGCTGTTGAAAGAGACTGCGGGCCGCGAATGACAGTAGCCTCATGTGCTTGAACAGACAGAGTGAAAAGATCTGGTGCGAATCTTATCGTCGCCGAAGCCACAAGGTTAGTCGTCGGTGCAACTTTGCGGTACTTGCGTTTATGGGACATCTCTAAGCACCTCCCGTATATTCAGCTGGAGGATTGAATGGAGCTCTTAAGGGTAAAGTGGGAGTCACGGATCAAGTTGCACGCAGCGTGAGAACTAGGAAGTGACCTCAAAATAACGGAACAACTTTATTTACTAGTACTCCGGTTCAATATATTCGTCGTCGATGGTCGTGTCAAAACAGGTTGTACAAATAATTGGATGAAAACTTATAGGTATAATCTCCTGCTAGTAGACGTGATTCCCCCCTCCAAATAGTTGAACTCTTTGAAGGGAGGATTCGGAATCATCTCTTTTCATCCTTCGACGTAGTACGCGCTAGTACGCGTGCAGTAGTGACAGTACTTGCCGCAGGTTGCTCACCCGCTGTTCCCGGCTGGAATCCAATGCATAGGAGATACAATCCAATTGCGACGAAACTGATCTCTTTACTGCCGGCTTAGAGACTCAGATTCCTAAATACGGTGAGTCGCATGCTATACAGCCTCATTTTTAACTTCTCTCCCTCCTTTAGCTACCTTTTCAATCTGATGATACATCCACCGTTCGGATGTCTGGGAATACTAATCAGGGCATTGGGGTAGAATCTGCCCAGCAGCGCGAGTAGAACTCGCGCTGACTTGATGTATTCGGATGCTGAGAAGTTAGAGCGAATCCCACATGGGAGCTCACCTTTGTCACTTTGAGGAGATGCCTGCCTATTCGGTACCATGCAAGTAATCGTTCATTCTGCGTCATGCCCTTGCGCTACCACATGTCCCTTCAAGGGGCTCTGACAAGCTTTCAAGGTTCTATTCTGACTATCTGGCGCTCTGACCTCACAGGAACCACATATGTTATCCTCATCGTCAGAAGCTGATGACCCACTATTTCTGTCACACTCATGAGATAACTAATCACACGCACTCGGGGTATCTCGAGGTTTTTATTCTGGTTGGGACATTTACATCCTTATCTGCAGGTATAAATCGCAGCGGATTATGCTGGATAGGTAGCTGCTTCGCTATACAAGTTGAAACCCTCGTTCACTTTCCATATCTCGAACTTCATGGTGCATATATACTCCACCCTGACGGCTGCGATGGCGGCATTCGCGTGCTTCGGAGAGGTCGCCTCTGTGCCTCTTGAGCAGATGCTGAGAGGCCTGACTCCAAAAGCAAGAAATGTTTTGAAGCGTGCTACCCCAGTATTCCCATATTTCGTATTATACAGTGACGCGTACGTTTCCACTGAACCAACGGTGTCAGATATTTTGGTAAGGTTTCCCTTTCTCTACTTGTAGTTGATACCCTAATCGTCAACTGGTACAAACATCAGGGCTTCAATGTGTTTGCATTGTCTTTTCTCGAGCAATATGGTGCAGCAGATCAAGCTCAGGAATGGGAAGAGCTTACAGCATCCCAACGTTCTTCGATTCTTTCCGAGTACGAGGCCGCAGGTATCTCACTCATTGTGTCCCTTTTCGGGTCCACTGAGACCCCAACTTCATCGGGATACGACCCCATCGATACTGCGAATACCATGGCAGCTTGGGTCATCGAATATGGCCTCCAGGGTGTAGATATCGACTATGAGGCATGTTGTATTATGTCTGGTAATGCTTGACGATAACTGATTTTCCTTAGGATTTCGCTGCATTCGACGCTGGTACTGGCTCTGCTGAGCAGTGGCTCGGCAACTTCACCACCCAGCTGCGCACACAGCTTCCTCAGGGCCAATATATATTGACTCATGCTCGTGAGTGAGATATTCAGACAACATCATTATCACGCTAAAGCTATTCGCACAGCTGTTGCACCTTGGTAAATATATAGTGGCCAAGTCGATGCCTACTGACTGAAACCAACCAAAAGGTTTTCTCCTAATTATTGGGGTGGTGGAGGATACCTCTGGATAGATTCTGTGGTCGGTAGTATGATTGATTGGTATAATGTGCAGGTGTGGCCGACATCCTATCATTTTTAATTTCTTGTTCTGATTTTCTGACACCTCAGTTTTACAACCGTGGGTTTCTCTTTGACGCGTTCCCTTTTTTTATAGTAACAACAAACAGAGGGCACAACGGAGTACACAACTTGCGATGGCCTCCTGTACAACTCCTCAACTACTTGGCCACAAACTGCACTCTTCCAAATCGCTGATAGCGGTATTTCTCTGGACAAGCTTGTGATTGGCAAGCCTGCTACTGCAGCACAAGCCACCAATGGGTACATGGACCCGTCTCTCTTAGCGTCCTGTGTTTCCGAGGCCTATGCTGCTGGATGGAGTAAGTCTGTCCCATTTACATAGCTAGTTTTTTTGTCTCTGATCATCACGGGGAATTCTAGATGCCGGTGTCATGGTTTGGGAGGTACGTGAGAATCCAAGTGATCCGCGAGGTTGCTGAGCATGCCGATATTAGTATCCTGACGCTAATTCCTCATGGATCGCGACTGTGCGCGGGGACACCTGGCCAATGCCATCCACGACTACGACGTCTGTGACACCGACGAGCACTAGTACCACAACGACGGGCACCGGTACCACAACGACGAGCACCAGTACCACAACGACGAGCACCGGTACCACGACGACGAGTACCAGTACCTCAACACCCGGAACCACTTGCACAGGTGTTGCTGCATGGACCACTGGTGTGGCTGTGAGTATATTTCTATTTTTTTCCTCCGTTCAACACTGAACCTTACATAGTATACCGGAGGTGATGAAGTGACCTACGAGTGCATATTTTCTGATTTATTCTTATCCATCTACTAACCCATAACTTAGTGGGTACCTGTGGACCGCGAGCTGGTGGACGGAGGGACGACACCCCTGGAGGTGATTTGGCCTTAGTCTTTCCAGAAAAAAAATTGACGGTCCCACAATAGGTTCCGCGGGTGTCTGGGTTAACGACGGAGCTTGCACCTCTACAGCCACCGCCCCACCTAAGCATAGGGCTCTGTTAGCCCCCATCGTCACACCTGCGCCTGCTTTGTAAAGGCATTGATGGGCGCCACCCTACCCTGCTCACCTGCTGCTGCAGGGGCTCCGCGATATGATATGTAACGTGATAGATGATGAAACGAGATATGACGATAGCGATGTATTATTATTGTATTCCATTCCTGTTTTTACTAGCAAATTATGGGGTAGTTTCTCGCGATACCCGCTATACTTATGATCATTTATGTTCGGGCGTGATTTGATCAACTTTCAAACTACTGATAAGGATTCATAACACTCAATGAAGCAACTACACCAACAGGGCTTCAAGCTTCATGTCTTTGGAACATATGGGTCAAGTGGCGACAGCATATTACGAGTACCTATTTTTCGGTTCTGATGTAATAAATCGAGCCTACCATTGGAGCATCCTCAATTCTAATATTATCAACATGAAATCACCGTGCATTGTTCCTTTCCCTTAACGACGTAACCTTCAGTGGTATGCTGGTATTAAAAAGTCTCACCACTGAATTACGCGCACCGCCGACACACCTATGACGTAGACATGCTCGTTCAATTTTTACGCATATCACTGTAACGGCATCAAATCAACTGGTCAGCAATGGGGCCCCATAGAGATTTAAAGAGCACACGACATCTCGTTGAAGATTCCTTTGTGGGACGTCTTTGTGGGATGGTGCTACTAATACCCCCCAATGGGAAGCTGTCGGGGGCAGAATGTTTGGACAGGGCATCAGAGCAGGAAATAGGGATGCAAGGATTTGGAAGCGCGCCCGACCCATGGATGAAGCACAGTAGTGGAGCGCAAAGGTCAACAGGCGGAGAGGTGATAACAAAGATAGGTCATACCGCACGTCTTCATGGCATGGACCATGGATCAGAAATAGAAGTGCCGAAAGTCTATCAGAAAGGTATGATAATTCTGGAACGATTCAGCGAGCACTATAGCTGATCTGCGTGAGAACGCTGTGAGCACATCGTGGACAGAACGAGTAGAACCATGGGATAATCAGTAGAGAATGGACGACTATTTTCAGTCGTTCTAAGAAAGACTAGAAGGGAAATCAGTCGCATCAGGCCTCAGGGGCTTGGTGCCATCAACGAAACAACGAAACAAAGCACGACATACCTCGATAACTCTGGGTCCTCCGAGAGTCCCCGAGGGCATTCACCTCCGAGCGGGAATCGGGAAGTGAGAAAGGAATCAAATGGCGCGTGCAGAAACTGGCGCATAGCTTGGTAAATGACCTTTGGAAGGCATTCGGACGATTGACTTCCTTCTTCTACAATAAATCTGGATAGACAAAATCAGATGAATAATTAATCACCATCATCGAAACAATAATTTGACCAAGGACTTGGGATAACGAAAGATGAAGAAAAATACCAAAAGTATGATCTGATCCTGGCTCGAACAGGAGACCTTCTGTGTGTTAGACAGATGCGATAACCAACTACGCCATCAGACCCCGATGACATGAATTCCCACACTGCCATTTTGAGCTGCCGCAGGCCTATCAACGGTGGACGCACTGCCACGTCCGACGGACCGACGCAGTGACTGTGACTCAGTACTCAACGTTCAACGTTAACAGCCAAGTCTTTCCCCTGCGGAGTGTTCGCGATACCGTGACTCCGTTTCTCTTCTTGATAGATAAACTATACAGTATTGCGACTCTCATCAGCAGCCACTGAATACTGATGGTTATGTAACACACGGTACATATTCCACGTCTTGTGTTTGTTTTTTCACCTCCAAGTCAGCGTTGTTCCAAAGCTTCGCTGAGGTATGTCGTCTTGTAGCTCGCAGTAACAACTCATACTCGTACCTAGACTCTAAACCTGTTCTAGGTACCCTCATAATATCAGCGTTGTTCCAAAGCTTCGCTGAGACTCTAAACCTGTTCTAGCGAACCCGGAGGGGGTGATATGGAGCTGGCATCCATGGAGTGGCCCTGCCCTTCTCGCTACCTAGAACACCATCACAAGTTCGCTGCATGCTCCGGTGGCGCGGTGCACTACAGGACTCTAATTTATGATGTTTTGGTTAGAATTTGCTTAGGCATCGATGAATGCCGAAGCCAACACTCACCAAAAACATTACCCCGTCCACAGGAGTCTGATGAGTGCGGGCTGTAGCGTCATCCTAAGTTATCTTTTGACAGCTGGTATGCTTTTCGACATTTACTGCGATCCACCGTGCAGGTCAATCTGTGTCGTCATATGCAATAACGCCAACAGTACTGCTACTTTCTATTCTTTGACTATCAACACAAATTCGAAGCACTCACTGATCATCAATGTCTCGCAGGCTCTGGTGTAATCGCGCAACCTAACGAAGTTTAGTTGCACAGCAGATTACAAAATAACAACATGGCGCGAACCTTATCTGCGATACTGAAGGCATGGATTCCAGCCGCCACCATCGATATCAACTTTCAGTATCGATGAGTAGCAGGCCAGGTAATCAACGTAGCGCCCCAAGCATCGGCAATGTGCTGCCAGAGTCGATAACAAACTTATTTTGTGAATATTTTAGGAAACAGTTACTCTCCTTGCTCTAGGCTACGCTGGTCCGTTTAGCACATGTCTGGTCTCATATGCTAATGGTGCCCACTGCCTAATGTCTGTTTCAGGTTATCAATCGGTCGACTTTGAAAGGTGCCAATAACGGTCTTGGGGATTTATGTCGAGGTCTTGAGATTACGAACGCGCTAGGGGCCGACGCCAAAACTTTTATTGTACGGGGGACAAGGTATAGTGCGACGTCTTAACATAGTACAAAGCGACGATCATGACTGCGTCTGAAAATACAGTTTCTAAGTATTGGTGATAAAAGTACAGTGGGAGTCCTGAATCCTGCATAAAGTACAGCTGGGAATAATGATGAAAACGATGGACTGGAGATGCCAAGCTTGGAGTGTGTCATACTAGCGCTAGCGTTCAACTGTTCGCGTTACCTCCGGACGGTCCGTATTGCGTAGTCTTCAATATCGCATCTACCGTCTCCTGGATCTTCAGGTTGCACCAACCTCGTTAAGCCCGATTTGACCTTTGCCTCTCTGAATGTCGCTACCTATACCGAAGAGTTTCGCCCACAGGAGCAAGCTAAGACCCATATCTTCGAGCACATGACCTTCCATCAATGCGAAGAAGACAAGTGCAAGCCGGACCAGCGGAGTAAGCGGTCGGCAGAACTGAATTCATCAAGTCCTAATATTGACGATCAGGGCGAAATCCAAAGGCATATTGTCAACAATAGACAAACCATGGGATGCAAGAATTCTTCTTGGGAATAGATATAGAATAACTTGTCTCGCTCCTGGAGCTTAATACGGATAATGTAGCTGACGGATGCGCGATTCGCGTTCATGTCAACATCACGACGGGACACCAATAGCGCGCATACACTCACCGAGAAGGGGCAGACTTGAAGGGACTGATTCGAACGTGAAAGTGCTGAGTTACCTCAGGCGAACAAGAACATGGTGTTTCCCATTATAAACTAGACGCGCATATAGTCAGTTTTGAACGACGAAATAAGATTATTGGGTAAACTAACATACTACATCCACATCACTGGTAGTGTTGGGGCTGATGATGCGGCACCACTCGTACATGCCCAGGATTTTCTGCCTTGAGTTTGCTCCATGCTCTACGATCCTGAAAGGGTGGTGCAAAGAAGCGTCGGGGGTGTAGAATTTCTTCACAGCTGCACGCAAATCAGCAGGGTTGTGAGAGGTAGCCAGACCTGTGAGCACGACTGGAAGATCGCGTTGTGGGTTCTGCATCGTATAGTACTAAGGTTGAGTGCAGCGGTTCAGGAAAGAGAGAGATAGTTTATATATTTATATACCAAAGAGACGCGGTGGAATGGGACTGATGACATCATAAATGTCAAGTACTAAAGTTGGCAATAAATACTAACGTAAGCTTCGACGGCCCGTCGTGTCATCGCCATACGGCCCAGAATGGCCTATTGTGTAAATGATGTAGCCCTTCTCATGATCTTGCTTCGCTTCAACAATGAGCAAAGGCAACTCATCGACTCGGAGGGATTCAACTCACACAACTATCGAAGCAACAGCTAGTGGAAGCTCGGTACGTGACTGATGAAGATCACTCAGTCCACTCCATTCCAAACACTGACACATCCTTCGTCTAGCACCGACCCCGTGGAAAACTCGGTCGGCTTCTGAAGAAGGTTAAGGACGGTGCTAAGAAGTTAAGGATCTCGGTGAGTCCACAAGCATGTATAATGAGTGTCCTGGAATACGACTAAGATTGCCATAAGCGCTCGAAGGATTCCCGCACCCTCAGCCCTGTTCCCCCGAATGTCAATCATGAACGTACTCCATTGACCCCGAATCTCGAGGTAAGTTCTCATAATTGTCCTCCAGTCTCTGTACTCTCTCTAAATTCCGGTGGTCGCGCAGGTTCAGGCGGCTTCGTCTGGTGTGGAAGTGGAGGCTGCCAGTGATACTACCCAGTTGGCACTTCAAGATGCACAAGCAGGCTGCAAAACGCATGCATCCACTTTCAGGGAGCTGTGACACCCGTGGTTTCTATTGTTCAAGACACACCAGAAGATCTCGATGCTGCTGACAGTTTCCAAGACACATATCTTAAAGCCCCTCAGGATATTCGACACTGTTATCGAAAAGATCGCGGATGTATGCAGGCCCTCCTCTCGATCAGAATCGAACTAATTTAGCTTCCACAGGTACATCCATATGCAAAGATGGCGCTGGGCGTGTTGTCTTTTGCAGCCAAAGTAGGTTTTCTCTTTATCCCTTCCTATCTTCCACTGCTCAGCAATCATTTGTACAGATTATTCTAGCTCAAGCGGATCGCGATGCAGCGTTACTCAAACTTCTCAAGAAGTTATTTGAAATTTACGACCTCATGACACAAGACGAGAAGCTTAACAAAATTTTGTCGATGCACGCTATCCTTGCAAAGATTTCTCAGCAGACTCGTGAATGTGCTCAATTTATCACGAACTACTTCGGAGATCAGCAACTTTTGTGAGTGTTACAAGCTGTTGCGCTCTGTACCGTCTCGAGCTTCTACCATCATCACAGGGAAGAGACTTGGAAAGGAAGTCCTCTCAGAAACGGACGATACGATCAAAAAGTACAATGACGTGTTCGACGGGCTCATGCAAAACTTCCGGGACCAGGTTACTCGCGACGTAGCTATAGGCGTCCACGACATAAGCACACACGTTAACAACATAGCCATACACGTCCATCGTATGGGTAAGGGTTCGGACATCCTTGTGACTTCACATAAATTCATGCCTTTTCAGAAGAAACATTGGACCTCAGCGGTATGACTTATGCAGATCGCGCGGGACTAGATACCAGAAAAGAATGCCTTCAAGGGACGCGCACGGAAATACTTTCCCAGATCACGGAATGGGTCAACAGCACTGGGGACAACATTCCACGTGTGCTGTGGCTATCTGGTCCTGCGGGCAAGGGCAAATCGGCCATCGCCCACACCATCGCTAAGTGGTTCAAAGACGTGGGAGGGCTTGGTTCGTGTTACTGTTTTGACCGAGGAGTAGATGGTCGCCATGAAAAGATATTTTCCACGATTGCGCGCGACCTGGCTGATCGTGATCCGGAGATGAGGCGGGCATTAGCAGATGCAGTTAAGACCGCGAACTCGCTCAAGAATACAGCGGATATCATCCAGCAGTGGCAGAACCTTCTTGTCGAACCACTGGGGAAGTCGTCTGGATCAATTGTGGGACCCATCGTGATAGTGATTCGACGCACTGGACGAGAGCGGCGGAGTAAAGACACGAATGGACCTCCTCCGTATTCTAGCTGGCAAACATCCAAACCCTGACGTTCCAAAAGTTACAGACCTGCCTGGCAACTTCCGCTTCATCGTTACCTCTCGTCCCGCTTGATGATATCGAAGACAAGTTTCGTGGTGTTCAGCATATTCGACAGATGTCGATGGATGGTATTCCACCAGAATTTGCAAAGCGCGACATTCATGCTTACGTATCCAAGGAGTTGGAAGGGCTAGATTTCCAGGACAGAGAGTTCGCAGTCCTCGCTGAGAAAGCTGATGGACTTTTCGAGTGGGCGCGTCTCGCCTGCGAATACATCAAGGAGTCCGGTATGGTATCTCCAAAGGATCACTACGAGGTTGTCACGGTGGTGTCACGCAATCCTGCTGAGAGAAGCAAGCTGTTGCATAACATGTATGACCTCATCTTAACAAATATCATACCCAGGGATACATCTCCGGATCCGCCGAAACTGCGTTTGAAGAAGCTAGCGAGATTTCGCTCAGTGATGGGACAAATACTAGGCACAGCTGAACCCCTTCCTTTAGCTTCTCTGAAAGCCATGAGGTCCTATTTCCCAAAGGAAGAGGACCATTTCGACGTGGAGCTTGTGGTAAAAAGCATGGGCTCCCTCCTCAGCGGCACCACCAACCCAGATTCCCAAATCCGACCCCTCCACGCGTCCTTCCATGATTTCTTGACTCACAAAGAATCCAGTAAAGAATTTTTCATCGATCTGTCAAATGCGCAACGCGACCTTGCATTCGCGTCACTTCGAGTGATGGAACATGGTCTTCGCTTCAATATCTGTGCTTTAAAGTCGTCGTATCTACCTAATAGCGAAGATCCTGGTCTACAAGAACGGATTCAAAAATGCATCTCCCCACATCTGTCATATTCATCTCGTTTTTGGATGTCGCACGTACTAACCACAACCTTCGACAAGGAACTCGCGAAAGAAGTGAAAATGTTATTCGGTAACGAACGGGTGTTTTTCTGGCTGGAGTCACTTGCCCTGACCAATGTGCTCAGCTGTTGCAGTTGGTGCCCTTCCGCCTATTGCACAGTGGCTGAAGGTGAGCACAATGCTACTAGGTGTCAGATAAAGCGCTCATGCGCAACAACAGGGCCATCCCAAATTCAAAGATGTCTCGTCGACTGCAATGGACGTACAGAGGTTCATTCAAGTCTTCGGCGGCATGATTTTACACAGCACACCACATCTGTATATATCAGCACTCTCATTCTCGCCTGCCAACTCTCCGCTATCTAGAAAGTTTTCTGCACGGTTTCCGAATACTCTTCGTGTGGCATTTGGACGTGATATAAACTGGCCGGCTATTCAGACTGTGCTCAGGGGGCACACTGAATCAGTTCGCTCGGTATCGTTCTCGCCGGACGGCACTCGCATCGTCACTGGTTCAAGAGATAAGACTGTTCGGCTGTGGGATGCAGGGACAGGGGAGCCAGTCGGTGAGCCCTTGCGGGGGCACACTGATTCAGTTAACTCGGTCTCGTTCTCGCCGGACGGCACTCGCATCGTCACTGGTTCGGAGGATAAGACTGTTCGGCTGTGGGATGCAGGGACGAGGGAGCCAGTTGGTGAGCCCTTGCGGGGGCACACTGAATCAGTTCGCTCGGTCTCGTTCTCGCCGGACGGCACTCGCATCGTCACTGGTTCAAGGGATAAGACTGTTCGACTGTGGGATGCAGGGACGGGGGAGCCAGTCGGTGAGCCCTTTCGGGGGCACACTGATTCAGTTTGTCGGTCTCGTTCTCGTCGGACAGCACTCGCATCGTCACTGGTTCTTCGGACAACACTGTTCGGCTGTGGGATGCAGGGACGAGGGAGCCAGTTGGTGAGCCCTTACGGGGGCACACTTATCAGTTCGGCTCAGGTCTCGTTCTCGCCGGACGGCACTCGCATCGCCACTGGTTCTTCGGACAACACTGTTCGGCTGTGGGATGCAGGGACGGGGGAGCCAGTTGGTGAGCCCTTGCGGGGGCACACTTCTTCAGTTAACTCGGTCTCGTTCTCGCCGGACGGCACTCGTATCGTCACCGGTTCTTGGGATAACACTGTTCGGCTGTGGGATGTAGGGACGGGGGAGTCAGTCAGTGAACCCTTGCGGGGGCACACTTCTTCAGTTAACTCGGTCTCGTTCTCGCCAGACGGCACTCGCATCGTCACTGGTTCTTCGGACAACACTGTTCAGCTGTGGGATGCAGGGACGGGGGAGCCAGTCGGTGAGCCCTTGCGGGGGCACACTGATTCAGTTAACTCGGTCTCGTTCTCGCCGGACGGCACTCGCATCGTCACTGGTTCGGAGGATAAGACTGTTCGGCTGTGGGATGCAGGGACGAGGGAGCCAGTTGGTGAGCCCTTACGGGGGCACACTTCTTCAGTTTGGTCAGTCTCGTTCTCGCCGGACGGCACTCGCATCGCCACTGGTTCTTCGGACAACACTGTTCGGCTGTGGGATGCAGGGATGGGGGAGCCAGTCGGTGAGCCCATGCGGGGGCACACTGGTTCAGTTTACTCGGTCTCGTTCTCGCCGGACGGCACTCGCATCGTCACTGGTTCGGAGGATAAGACTGTTCGGCTGTGGGATGTAGGGACGGGGGAGCCAGTCGGTGAGCCCTTGCGGGGGCACACTTCTTCAGTTTGGTCCATCTCGTTCTCGCCGGACGGCACTCGTATCGTCACTGGTTCAAGAGATAACATTGTTCGGCTGTGGTATCCAGTGATGGGGCAGCCATCGCAACAGTGCGCTGAGTTAGATCATCCATCATTCTCAGATGAACATCGCACGATAGAGGCCACCACTACCATGACATTGAACACTCTGAACAATCACTTCATTTGCTTCTCGTCCAACTCTATCCACGCGCTCTGCGACACTTCTGAGTTAATGGAGGGAGCATCCCATGACGACCGCAGTTCGACCCCATTTGTCCTGGATAGCGGCAGTGGATGGGTGATGGGACCCGAACGTCGGCTGTTATTTTGGGTACCACCCGCTTCTCGACAGTCATTGTGGAGCCCCGGGACTGCATTAATGATACCCAGAGGTCCTGACCTTGATTTGAGCTGCATGGCACATGGACAACACTGGCAAAAGTGCCGAGAGGAGTGAGTCTCTTCGAAGCCCTTTCTGTTCCTCGCGCTTACTAAAATCAACACTTGCAGACCTTAGTACCAACGATTATCGCAGCAATGCATCCATTATGAATATTTCAGATACAATTTACATGTGACCGAGTGTACAGTAGATCATACTTCGTATTCTATTCTATACCCAGCGTCTAACCTGAGTTTAAGGTCGTCCATGTGAACGACTGTGTAGTAGTACTTATGATGTTCTTGCTAGTTCGTGAGAGCACGTAACAACAAACCAGGCATGTCGATTCCATCAGAGATGCAGTTGCGCATGCGCCGTGGATTGTGTTGAAGTGATGCATAGCATCGGTGTTTCCTCATAGCGGACTGAGCGTTGTTGCGATCATCTGTGCGCGTGGTCGTTCAAGTGGGGTAATACGACATCGAATATGCCGGACGGTGTGTCACTGCAATTTGGGGGTAAAGATTGAATATTGAAGCCGCTTTATTCTGCGAAGTGGGGGGCTGTTATATTCTTGTACATTAATGTTCACGCCCTCCCACTCACTTCCTGAACCATTCTGAGCATCCCTGTCAGACAGTCAGACTACGATGGGAAAAACATTCCATCGGCCGTTTCCCCCAGTATGTGTGATCCGTTTTATGCTTAATCATGTCGACTCATTTCATACCCACAGGCGCAGTCCGATGCGAGGAAGCCATTACGGCTTCACAACATCTACGCAGAATCCACTGGCAAGGCCGCCCGATTAATCGCGATTGCGTTGGCGACCGTTGGACTAGTGGTTCCAAGGGCAGCCACCGCACACCAAAGAGTCCCTCGGCCGATTCCGCAGCTTAGTCAGCATAGAAGTCAGAGTCGGCGCAAGGAGTAATGTAGCACAATCATCATCCTGCGGGGTTTCTGCTTTGTCTTAGCGAAGGCTCTCCCATCCTGCTCCACCGTGTATAACAGTTGCATCCAGGTTGGGGATTACACCCCGGTTGTGGGTTCCTGGGATGAAAGTGATTACAGCGTCCTGAAGTCGATTGCAATGGGGATTAACATGGGGAGTTTTGACATCGAAACCCTGAAGTGGCCCGGGAACTTGAAGGCTGCGGGTACGTTTGAAGATGGGACGAACCGCATGCAGTGGTTTGTCATACCGGCACTGGCAGCCTACATGAAAGCAAGCAGGGTCGCAGCACCGCATGTCTGGGCTCGGTATGTCCATGACGTGCTGGCGCAGTTGGACAATGACCTTGCATATTTGACTGACTTTTTAGGTGCTGACAACAAAGCGCATCCAATGTTCACTTTCTTGAATCTAGTACCTGTTTCCCGTCATACTCTACTCTGATACGTTGTTTCTAATACATTTTTTTATTTTCAAAGCTTCAAATGTAATCCCCACCGTGATATCTGTGATGGTTATCTATGTATAGTCTACTATGATAGTTTTATGTATGTGTGGTGGTTGGTGGTGTTCAACTTGCTCCTATGCTGGTCCGTTGGGCACATGTCTGGCCCACCGTTGGCTTAATGGTGCCCACTGCCTAATATCTGCTTCGGATCATCAATCGGTTGACTTTACGGGTGGTTTGAAAGGTGCCAATACCAGCATTTATGTATTGAGATTTCGAACGCGCCAGGGGCCGACGCCAAAACTTTCATTGTGCGGGGGACGAGGTATAATGCGATGTCTTTACATAGTACAAAAGCGACGACCATGACTGCATCTGAAAATACAGTTTCTAAGTATTGGTGATAAAAGTACAGTGGGAGTCCTGATCCTGCATAAAGTACAGCTGTGAAGGATGATGAGAACGAACTGGAAATGCCAAAGCTGGAGTGTGCATGCTGCGCTAGCGTTCAAACTGTTAAATTTACCTCTGAACGGTCCGTATCGCGTAGTCTTCAATATCGCATCTACCGTCTCCTGATCTTCAGGTTGCACCAACCTCATTAAGCCCGATTTGACTTTGCCTCTCCGAATGTCGCTACCTATACCGAAGAACTTCGCCCACAGGAGCAAGCTGAAGATCCATATCTTGGAGTACATGACCCACATCAATGCGAAGAAGACAAGTGCAAGCCGTACCAGCGGAGCGAGGGGCGGCAGAACTGAAATCATCAAGTCCTAATATTGACGATCAGGGTGAGATCCAAAGGCATATTGTCAACAATAGACGAACCATGGGGTGCAAGAATTCTTCTTGGAAGTATATATAGAATGCATTGTCTTGCTCCTGGAGCTCGATACGGACAGTATAGCTGACGGATGCGCGATTCGCGTTCATATCAACATCACGACGGGACACCAATAGCACGCATATACTCACCGAGAAGGGGCAGACTTGAATGGACTGATTCGAACGTGAAAGTGCTGAGTTACCTCAGCGAAGAAAACATGGTGATTCTCATCATAAACTAGACGCGCATATAGTCAGTTTTGAACAACGAAATAAGATTATTGGATAAACTAACACACTGAATTCACATTGCTGGTAGTGTCTGGGCTGATGATGCGGCACAACTCGTACAAGCCCAGGATTTTCTGCCTTGAGTTTGCTCCGTGCTCTACGATCCAGAGAGGGTGGTGCAAAGAGGCATCGTGGGTGTATAATTGCTTTACAGCTGCACGCAAATCAGCAGGGTTTCGGCAGGTAGCCAGAGCTTTCAGCACTAATGGAAGATCGCGCTGTGGGTTCTGCATTGTATAGTACTAAAGTTCAGTGCAGCGGTTCGTAGGTGAGAGAAGGAGAAAGAGAGAGAGAAATTACATACTGCTTATACAAATGAAGGAAACTGTTAAGACGCGGTGGTGATGACATCATAAACAAATACCAAAGTTGGGCGTGACGGGAACCTTATCTGATATTGAAGACATAAATTTCAGCCGCTACCATCGATATCTACGATGAATAACGTTAGGCCACATGAGCTTTGAGTTGACATTATGTAATGTGCTCCCAGATAACAAACTTATTTTAGGAAATTGTGGCCCTCCTTGCTCTTATCAGGCTAGGCTAGGCTGGTCCGTTTGGCACATGTCTGGCCCACCGCTGGCTTAATGGTGCCCACTGCCTAATATCTGTTTCGGATTATCAATCGGTTGACTTTACGGGTGGTTTGAGAGGTGCCAATACCAGCCTTGGGGATTTATGTCGAGGTCTTGAGATTACGAACACGCCAGGGGCCGACACCAAACTTTCATTGTGCGGGAGACAGGGTATAATGCAACGTCTTAACATAGTACAAAAGCGACAACCATGACTGCGTCTGAAAATACAGTTTCTAAGTATTGGTGATAAAAGTACAGTGGCGAGTCTCGATCCTGCATAAAGTACAGCTGGGAATGATAATGAAAACGATAAACTAGAGATGCCAAAGCTGGAGTGTGCATGCTGCGCTAGCGTTCAACTGTTCGCGTTACCTCCGGACGGTCCGTATTGCGTAGTCTTCAATATCGCATATACTGTCTCCTGGTCTTCAGGTTGCACCAACCTCGTTAAGCCCGATTTCACTTTGCCTCTCTGAATGTCGCTACCTATACCGAAAAGTTTCGCCCACAGGAGCAAGCTGAAGACCCACATCTTGGAGCACATGACCCCCATCAATGCGAAGAAGACAAGTGCAAGCCGGACCAGCGGAGTAAGAGGTGGCAGAACTGAGTTCATCAAGTCCTAATATTGACAATCAGGGCGAAATCCAAAGGCATATTATCAACAATGGACGAGCCATGGGGTGCAATAATTCTTCTTGGGAATAGATATAGAATAACTTGTCTCGCTCCTGGAGCTTAATACGGATAATGTGGCTGACGGGTGCGTGATTCGCGTTGATATCAACATCACGACGGGACACCAATAGAGCACATACGCTCACCGAGAACGGGCCTCCTTGAAGGGACTGACTCGAACGTGAAAGGTCCGAGTTATGTCGGCGACAAGGACATGGTGATTCCCATCATAAACTAGACGCGCATATAGTAAGTTTTGAACGACAAAATAAGATTATTGAGTAAACTAACACACTGCATTCGCACGGCTGGCAGTGAATGGGCTGATGATACGGCACCACTCGTACATGCCCATGATTTTCTGGCTTGAGTTTTCTCCGTGCTCTACGATCCCGAAAGGGTGGTGCAAAGAGGCGTCGTTGGTATAGAAATTCTTCACAACTGCACGCAACTCAGCAGGGCTCCGGAAGATAGCCAAAGCTGACAGCACGAGTGGAAGTTCTAATTGTGGTTTCTGCATTGTATAGTACTAAAGTTGAGTGCAGCGGTTCGGAGGAGAGAAAGAGAAAGAAATTATATACCGCTACAAACGAAGGAAATCGTTAAGACGCGGTGGTGATGACATCATAAACAAGTACCGAAGTTGGCAATAAACGTTACCTGAATATTTTCACGTAAGCTTCGACGTCGACGTTTGCCCGTGCCATCGTCATAGAATACTACTACCAATGGGTCAGCTCTTTGCAATCTTGCAGGGACCAAAGAATACGTGGTCGCTTCCCCCTGAACTTTGGCAGCATTGCTGGAGTTTCCTGGCGGTTGATGATCTCCTTGCCGTGTCATCCACTTGTCTGTCGTTTCGTTTTACCTGCAAAGACCTGTTGTTCAAGAACATCACCACTACTATCCCATACAAGCGCACTATCCGGCACATATTCCAGCCTCGAAATGAAGATGTTACACGAATCGCACGAGCGCGCCGACTTCTTCTTCGTCTTCACGCGCTTCAAAGTGACAGTGACGCTCGGGAGGTACTCGGGCTGGTGGAGACATGGAGCATCAGGACCTTTGGATCGCCCGCTCCGTTAGAAGAAACAGAGATCATGCAATATGACAAAGCTGGCTTCCCCTTCGTACAACCATCCATCTCGATTTTCCTCATTTTACCATCATGCAGAAACCTTCGCGTATTGAACATTTCAGATATTCACATTGAGGAAGAGCGCTGGTCTGCGCTGGTGAAAATACCTCAGCTGGAATGCCTCAACATGGAACGATGCAATCTGTCATCCACTGCCAAGGCTATGAAGCTCAAAGTCGTATTAATCACCTATGAGGCACATCGTGACCCACCACCCGTACCACCTCCAACCAGACAGCTGATTTCCTCGCTCTTCAACCTTCGACATCTAGAAAGACTCACACTACTCGACCTCACCTTCTCGAACTCTTTTCTCCTTGGACTCGTTCGGTTGGGGCAGTTCGAGAACCTGAAGCATCTTTCTGTGGTGGTACCGGAAACTCACATGGACACGCTGTTTACCTTCTTGAGCAAAACACCTTCGCTCGCATCGCTCACTATTTCGAATTTCTCAACCATGGCCAAGCCTAGCAAGCCCGTTATACAATCTGTTGTTCCCAACCTCGTGGCCTACGACGGGTTTCCGACTCTTATCCCCATTTTACTTCCTGGGCGGCCCGTCAATGTTATTTGTTTGAGGATGAATCACAGGACCGATCCTCGCGCCAGTCTTGGCAATCCCTTTGGCGTCTACGACAACAATGTTGTTTGCAAAGCATTGAATGACTGTTCTGCGTCTACTCGCATGGTACACGATCTCATGCTCTCTCCCTTTCATCCTACTCCCGACAGCATGCAGGACATCGTGCGCATCCACCCAGATCTTCGCCATCTGCAGCTTGATATCCTCCGCACGCCAAACATCAATATGGGTGTTGACGAAGTGAGTTTACGCCCTCTGCGTGATATATTTTCCGACTGCTCATGACAAACAAGGAGGGACCCATGTCACTTATCATGGACATGCTTGCTAATGTCGTGGAAGCGCAAGATAGCGATAACTTCTCACACTATCCACTGTTCTTGATATCGGTGAGGGGTGTTGACTATCGACGAGATATGCACAATTCTGATGAAGGTTTTCGAATCAGGGTTTCTTGAATTGGATCGCTAACGGTCATCTCCCACTTCCGGCAAACCTCGAGACGCTGCATCTCCATTATTACCAAAAATCGGTGACAGTTTGCGGCGATGCCACAAAGCAACGACTCCTCATGCCAAAGATCTCCGCAGCTTATCCTGCGCTGCATGAAATTGAGATGGGCACCACGCGCTGGTGGAGAGAGGGTGATTGTTGGTCCCATGAGGTACTCGCACGCACTCAGCTATGAGGTGTAGGGTTATAGGCCGTCTTTAGTTGTGAACCACGTGGCTTTGTTACTTGTAATAGGCTTTTGCCTGTGTAGGTTGTGTGTATCAGAAGCATGATTATAGTTGGATATTAAGTCGCTCTTCTTTGGGTGAATGAAATTTACAAATCAAATGCGGTTCAACTGCGTTTTCCGAGTCATTCAGAAGTGATTCGAATCCAGATCACTGCGCAAGTGTATGGGCGCAAACGTTCTTTTATCAATCGTACATCGTGTCTTTCTAGGTATCCAAATCAGAAGGGAACAATGCAAGGCCTCATTGTTCGCTTTCACATGTCATACTAGCCTAGAATCTAAATTGTTGCACAGCCACAAATGATGACTTGTACTTGGCTCGCACAGCAACTTCACAAGCGCTACCCACGAGTCACGACCTACTACTGCCCACAACTATAAGTAACTGATTTTTGGTTTAATTCTCTTCCAATACTACCACGAACATATCTATATTACTAAACCATGAGCAACCCTTCACGAGGCAGAGGCGGTAATCGCGGTGGTCCCCCAGGTGGCGCTCGAGGGGGTGGTGGCGGGTTTGGTGGAGGAAGAGGTTCTGCCGGTACGAGGGGCGGGTATGGCGGTGGTCCCAGAGGGGGAGGCCCAGGAGAGCTCATCTTCCGGGGCCCTACGTCTGTAGACCAACGTCTGGCAACCTTGGATCAATTGGTCTCTTCCTTTAAAAAACTCGCCGTCAACCCTAAACGCCCTCACCGGCCTGGCTATGGTGTCCTCGGCCGCCCAATTACGTTGCGAGCCAATTTCTTTCCCATAAAGCTTCCTAAAGGACCTATCTACGACTACCATGTCGAGATTCAGCCGTCCACGGACATCAAGCGTATTCGTGCGCGCCTTTTCTGGCTACTGGAACGGAGCAATCAACAAGGATGGAAAGAGCTTGTACCGTTCATTGCACATGACAATAGCGAGAGGCTTGTAGCTTCCAAGAAGCTGCCTCAGCCCCTTGACGTGCAAGTCCAATATTACGAGGAAGGAGAAGCTGGTCCCAATGCCAAATCCAAGACGTATACTTTCACAATCACCCACACGGGTAACTTGGATATTGCGCAGCTCACGAAGTAAGTTTTGGAAAGTTACCTTCTTTGTTCTCACATCAATTCATGGTGGCCAGGTATCTCAGCGGCAATATTGAGTCGCGGGACTACGACGTCCAGCCACTGATAGGTGCTGTGAATCTCGTACTTCAAACGCATGCAGCGCGTACCGGCGTTCGTGTAGGCAAGAATCGCTATTTCTTCCCCTCACAAGAGCGCTTTGAGCTAGCGCTTGGCGTGGAGGCCTGGAAAGGCTTCTTCACGTCTGCCAGACCTGTGTATAAGGAACTCATGGTGAACGTCGGTGTCTGTATGACTGCCTTCTACAAGCCAGGCAACCTTGCCGACGCCATCATTGAGTTCAACCGGTCATCCAATGGCGCCATGCTTCAACGCTTTACGCAGAAGCTCAAGGTGACCACGAGTCATCTGGGGTACAAGAAAAAGAAACCGATTAAGAAGATCATGTCTACGACTGCGAGGCAGACGACTTTTCAATGCGAAGAGTACAATGGCAAGATATCTGTTGAAGAGTATTTCAAGAGAAGTCCGTTTCCTTAATCTCATACTTCATTTAGTCGCTAATTCTTCAGCAGAGTACCCGCACATCAAGCTGAAACACGCACACGACGTTCCAGTCATTGATATCTCCGGCCCGAATTCCAAATTCTCCATATTCGTACCAGCCGAACTATGTGAAATCGAACCTGGGCAACCGTTCAGAGGGCGTCTCAATGAGAAAGAAACTTCGAACATGATTCGGTTCGCTTGTAACCCGCCCCGAGTCAACGCAGATGCCATCGTTGACCGCGGCCTTCCTACTCTTGGATTTACGCCTCAGACGCTGGGTAGTCCTATGAGCAGCTTCGGCATGGCGGTGGACAACAACATGGCGGTCATCCCTGCACGTGAACTTACCCCGCCTCGCCTCAGCTACAAAGCAGGGAAGCCTCCCAGCGTCAACAACGGCAGTTGGAACATTCTTGACGTTAAATTCCACCTTGGCGGAACCATCAAGAGCTGGTGGGTGCTTGTCATTAAAGACGGACAAACCGTGTTCAACGGGCCCACCGACCCGGCTTTGGAAGGGATCTGGAAGGGCTTTGGTGAGAAATGCCGGAATAGTGGCATGTCACTGGGGTCACCGCCCTCTTTGATAAACCAAGAACTCATCCCTCCCGCCCGTGACCCATCAAGGCAGCAGGCGCTGGACCTGATTCGTCAGAATATCAAGCGACAAATTTCCCAGAAAGGAAAACCGACATTCATACTCGTTATCCTATCTCGCCGGGACAACTACATTTACCCAGGAATAAAGCGAATTTGTGACGTCGAGTTGGGCGTCCACACCCTCCATATGCTTACGGATAAGGTGCTGCGGGACCGCAATAAACAAGATCAATACTTCTCAAATGTCGCTCTCAAGTTGAATACAAAACTTGGAGGTATCAATCATATGCTGGATGCGGAGAGCATGAAATGGTGGACAAAGGCCAAGACGATGGTTGTGGGCATGGACGTCACGCACCCTGGCCCTGGTAGTGTTGAAGGCACACCGTCAATTGCTGCTGTTGTCGCGAGCGCAGATAGCTCTTTTGTTCAATTCCCAGCAAGTCTCAGGTGTCAGGAGACCAAGAAAGAGGTAAGTGACATTGTAATGTTGCCGCCCTAACACTCACTCCTTGTTTGTAGATGATTACAGACCTGACTGCGATGATGATAGAACGCCTCATGTTTTACAATCAGAAGAATCGAACCCTGCCAGACCGGGTCTTTGTTTATAGGGATGGTGTCTCTGAAGTGAGATGAGCTTTTCTCTCGATCCTGACGTCCCTGCTAATCTTGAATGGACAGGGCCAATTCGATACTGTGCTGGAGGAAGAGCTTCCTAAGATGTTGGAGGCATTTAAGAGAGTTCCCCAAACGAAGCCGTATCGCCCATCATTGACGATCATCATTTGTGGAAAGCGCCACCATGCCAAGTTCTGGCCGACAGAGTCCCAGTTCGCGGACCGGAACGGTAACACTCGTCCAGGAACCGTCGTTGACAGAGGCGTCACTGCAGTGTACGGCCCTTCTATTTGACCACAAGTTGATTCTTCTAACGCTTTAATCACTGTAGATTTGACTTCGACTTTTACCTTCAAGCTCATGCTGGCTTGCAAGGCCACGTGAAGGCAACGCACTACACAGTGGTGTATGACGAGAACCACCTTGGCGCAGATGAAGTGCAACAGGGTACACACACTGCAAGTTACCTATACGCTCGTGCTACCAAGGCCGTGAGTCTCGTCCCAGCCGCATACTATGCCGATCTGGCTTGTGAAAGAGGGAGATGCTATTTGAACGACTTCTTGAGTGCCGATGACAAGGTATCAAGCTCTGCCGCAACAGGGAAAGGGAAGGGGAAAGGAAAGGTGGACAAGGAGGAAGAGAAGAAGTCTGTGTTTGAGGCGGCGAAGAAAGCATGGGGAGAAGGCGTGCATCCTGACTTGCGCGGGAGCATGTTTTATATCTGATGGAGGCTACTGCGAGTCGTACCGGTACTGTACTTGTGTAAGTCATCGTGTATATGCGGATATTTAAGGTTTGTGTATCTATAGCTTGATCTGTGCGTGTGAACAACGAGATTGTTTGCTGAGTAAGCTACTTATACAAAGTTCGAGTTCCCATTGGCAATTCTCATAACTCCTGAGTCCTTTACCATGAACATTAACACCAATCCCAATCGTACAAACCGAGCTCAGAACCGAGGCACTCGTGGTCGTGGAGGAGCTCAGCGGGGCCCTGGGCAACGGGACCCTGCTGCGGGTCCTGCACGAAGCACCTCTGGACCGCCTGCTAGGCCACAGCAGGTCTCTCAAGGAGGTGAAGCTGACGAATTACTCCACTCTCACGAGCAGGCGCTAGCCAAAATGCGTCGTGAAGTTGGCATTCGGTATGAGCGGCCTATCCGTCCAGGGTTCGGCACCCACGGAGAACCGGTCGCACTGGTTGCCAACTTCTTTGCAGTGAAGATCACAAATTCACTTATTCATACGTATCATGTCAAAGTCGAACCAACCAAGAACGCCAAGGATGTTCAGCGTCGTCTCCTACTGCTGCTCGAGCAGACCAATAACGAGACTTGGCAAAGTGTCAAGTCCTCCGTGGCATTTGACGGGAGAGAGACGTTGGTATCTTCCAAGGAGCTGCCTCAACCCATGCAGCTTACCGTGAGGTTCTTCGAGGAAGAACAGACGCCTGGTCTAAACTCGCCAGAATATACCGTCTCCCTCGAATTGCTCCGCAAATGGGATATTAGCGAACTCGAGAAGTAAGCACTGAGCCAAGAGACGTGATCTGTTGTCTCAATCTTATTATTCAGATACCTCCACTGCGATGTCGACGATGATAATTACGACATTTCCCCGCTCATATCTGCATACAACATTGTTCTTCAGCAACATGCATCGTCGACTGCGGTTCGAGTCGGAAACAGTCGCTACTTCGGGTTCCCGGGTTACAAGGCAAATGAGCTCTCGCCCGGGCTCACGGGCTTGGAGGCATTCAGAGGCTTTTTCTTGTCTGCGAGGCCCGTTTTCGGAGAGCTGATGGTCAATGTTGGTGTATGCATGACACCATTCTACAAGCCTATTGAACGACTGGATTCCGCGTATAAAGAATTTGCGGATCGTTCCAAGGGCGCAACTCTGCAGCGGTTTGCTCAGAATGTCAAAGTGACCACCAAGTATCTCGGTTACACCAAACGTCGCACGTTGTTACGGATCACGTCGTCGTCTGCAGATAAAACGTCATTTATAAAGGATGGCCACAAGATTTCAGTCGCCCAGCATTTCGAGAATGGTATTGTCATTAGTTGCCAGCCTCTGTTCATAAAGCTAATCGTGAGGTACTAGTGCACGGGATAATTCTGGAACGTCCAGATCTCCCTGTCGCTGACCTCGGGACAGAGAGGAGGCCGATTTATGTTCCACTGGAGCTGTGTACGATTGAATCACAGCCATTCAGAGGTCTTCTTGAAGATCGAGAGACCACGGCCATGCTGAATCATGCATGCCAGTCGCCGGCCGCCAACTTCGAAGAGATAATCAACCGAGGATTACCCTCGCTTGCCTTGACTGAACCCAAGGCGAGCCTCCTAGATGAGTTCGGTATATCGATCAACAAGACGATGACCGATGTTCCTGGACGAGAACTTCCTCCGCCTAAAAGTCTACAATACCATTCCGGTCCTTCTCCCCATACAGCCGGCAAAAGGAAGTTGGAACCTCACGAATGTGAAGTTCCACACTGGGGCTTCTGTTGCCAAATGGGCGGTTCTGGTCATTTTTGATGGGCATACTGCTCCCAGTCACGAAGACGTGACCAAAGTGTGGACAGGATTTAGAGAAGGTTGTCAGAAGTCGGGAATGACGTTCGCAGACCAGCCCCCGGCTGTTGCCAAAACGTCCCAATTGCCCCGACAGTCTCAGGACAGGGGTCGGTCGGAGGGTATAAAGGAAATCAAGCGGACAATCCAGAACCTTATAAAGGGAAACCCGGCATTCATACTGGTCCTCCTACCTTTTCGCGACACGAAGCTGTACCCTGGCGTCAAACACATCTGCGATGTCGAGCTCGGGATACATTCTGTCACGATTGTCCTGAACAAGGTCCTGAAAAACAAGGGTCCGCAGCAGTACTATGCCAATGTCGCCCTGAAGCTGAACCAGAAACTCGGGGGCATCAATCATACTCTCGACGCTGAAAGCACACGCTGGCTCACTACGAAGAGCACGATGCTCGTGGGCATGGATGTTACCCACCCTGGACCTGCCAGCAAGGCAGGCACTCCATCCATCGCTGCAGTAATTGCCACTATTGATAAGTCTTTCGTGCAATGCCCTGCGAGTTTGAGGTGTCAGAAATCGAAGCAAGAGGTATACTGCTCTAACTAATTATTTTCTTACCTACGTATAGCTGATTGACGCCTACAGATGATAGACGACCTAACGGAGATGATGCTAGAGCGGCTGAGAGCGTACAAGAAGAAGAGTGGTTCCCTTCCCGAGAGAGTTATCGTCTACAGAGATGGCGTCTCAGAGGTAAGTCAATAATCCTTCCACCTGTTATACTTGAGTACAGTGCTCACTCACAACCTAGGGTCAATTCGACACAGTGCTCGAGCACGGCTCTGAGAAGGACAAGATTCTGGATGCCTTCAAGGCCATCCACAAAGAAACCAAGGATCTTGCTGAGTATCGGCCCCACCTGAGTATCGTCATCTGTGGGAAACGACACCACGCTCGCTTCATGCCGAAAGATGACAAGCACCGGACCCGAAACGGAAACACGCGCTCTGGAACAGTTGTCGATAGACGTATCACCGCCGTGTAAGTCTCAGACCCGTGAAATGGAAGCTAGCTCATATTCTTGTCTCTGCCAGTTTTGATTTCGACTTTTATTTGCAGGCTCATGATGGGATCAAGGGTCAAGCGCGACCTACGCACTACACAGTTATTTACGATGAGAGCGGTCTTAGCGCCAACGACATACAGCAGGGCACGCACACCGCGAGTTACTTATATGCCCGCGCCACCAAGGCGGTGAGCCTTGTACCCCTCGCATATTACGCCGATCTGGCATGCGAGCGGGCACGGTGTTACCTTGATGGATTCCTAAACTCAGAGCAGCCCCCTGCGCCTGGCTCCTCGAGTGGGAAAGGAGAGGGTAGGGGTAAGGGTAAAGGAAAGGCCGTGGCGGCAGACGAAAGGGAGGCGGCCAAGCAACGTGTTTATGACGCTGCTCTTCAAGCATGGGGTAATGGCGTTCATCCCAATTTGAAGGAGACGATGTTTTATATCTGAAGAGATAGCACGAACAATTTGTATATGTACGGGTTCTTGCGTTGTGAACTTGCTTTTTAACATGTTTGATCTTCAGCGAAATAAGCACCGGATGTGAGATTGCATTCCACATATTGTAAGGACGGAGCATTTACGTTGTAAAATCTAATATCTGCAAGGTACCTGCGTCGAGGGGTCTCTTTCTGGATGGGCCACTGAGTAATCCATGAGAGGCGTCTGTTGAACATCGACATGGGTCCTTCAGTCGCGTGCCAAAAATATTGTTGTTTGCAAGGGTCGGGACCTCAAGTCAAATAAGAGCTCCGAGACCTCATGCCTCGGTGCTCCTGTTTGACTCTCACTTGTTCTTTTAGATTAGTAGAACCCGCCGTGACTTACATATTTCGTACCCGACGGTCGTCTCGATGATCAAGCTTCATCTGGCTCGAGAGTCGCTGACATGATCTAATAGGTTGTGCTGAACCGAGTGTCAGCTCGAAGTGGGACACAAACAGGTGGAACTGCTCGGGAGGGATACCTACTTATGTATTTGATCATATCAAATGATTCTTCGAGTAGCTTTCAAAGTAGAAAATTCCTGTACCCTCTTCTAGGGTACAGGTCTGAGGAAAAAAAATTCTGTCGACTCGATCATGACGGCTCCACCCGGCCCGTCAGCTACAACCTCAACAAAAATAAAGGGAGTGGTGGGCGGGTATAAAGAAATACTGTGCTGTACAATATTGCCGGAGTTGAACGTTCAACATGTTCGAGTCCATTTTGTTATCTTCTAGCCTCAAAGTGCGTATTTTAAATTCTGCATCGATAGGTATCTGAGTACCCCACGACGACGCTAGACTTATGGATCTGAATCAACCTCTGGTTCTTTGACAACATGACAGAGTGACGTGAGGCGGGTCCAATGGTCTCGGAAGCCCATTTCCACCACACAGATCCACGCGATTAAGATATTATCCAAAAGGCCGGAAATATGGAGAGTCCAGACAGTCCAATGCAAGAAGGTACATATTTCGGAGTTTGTTCGACACTGACGCAGAACAATCCAAATGCTCACTTAGCAATCACAGCCAACTGTAGGTGCCACTATCGCTGCCGCATCAACCCTACAAAGACCCTATTGTGCAAGTAGTCCTTTCCTCATTCGATCCTTAGGTTTGTACAGTCAGTGATCAAGAACAAGTCCGACTTCTTGGCAATAATGAAAATTCTTTACAAAGGCAACTAAAGGATGCTACCTCAGACAATCTGCAAGAATATTTTGGGGATAATCCATCGCAGCTTAACGTGCGAGCAGAACTGTTTTCATCCCTGTTTTGCGCTCAGTACGTATTCTGATAAAGAGTTTCATTGCTGACATACCCGGACCCCTCATCTGCGTCATAAGACTCACAACCCTTTCTAAGCTGATGGAGCACAACAGTACTGATTCGTCATGGTACCGTCGCTCAAGACGCAACTTTTACTGTCCGCAATTTTTGCGCTCGGGCACGGGAGACCCCCGCATATCCCCCAAACGCATGCGTCGGCGTTGGAGCGGGGCATCCGACCAAACCTAGACTAACATAGCAGAGCAGAGCAGGTGCAAGCCGGTGTTGCGGATCAGCAGGAGACTCGGCAAAGCCCGAGATCACATCAGTACATACACATGTGTAGCGCACGGCAGCAGCAGCACTCAGACATCAGCATCGTCCTCGTTCCTCCTCTTCAGAGAGCAGTGCTGGCCGGTCCAGCGTTGGCGTCAGTGATCTCGGAGTCGAGCATGGCCCGTGCACTAAGAGGACCAACAGCCGTAAATGCCAGGAGAATGATCGCCAAGAGATTCATCTAAACCCAGTGTCATCAGTCGGATCTATAGGTTGGTGAGATGAGCCTTACAGTCGAAAAGTGCGAGATCTTTAAGCTGGGTGCGGGTTTGTTCTTTTGTTGGTTGTTCGTCAGTTCTGTGCTCACGCATTTTATAGCTGCTGCTACCAGTTAAAATATTTAATTTAATCCCCAAGTTCGAAAACAGCAACCATGCCTAGCAGTCTCCCTCGTGCAGATACAATAGAAGCAAGACTGCCGTTTCATATAATTTACTCCATCATGAGAATGCGGTATCTCGAAATATTTACACAAGGGTTGAAGCTGAATCAAGAGCCAGCCGAGTGCCAGTAAGTCTTGATGGAATGATAAATATATACACCGTGACGCGCCTAGATTTTCAGGGATAAATGTCACACTGAGCTGCGGTGCAACTACCTGCTGGTCACCATCTTTTTGGAGGTCAGAGAGCAGCGGCAGCAGAATTTTGATGTTGCACTCCCCGCCCCATCAGCACCGCCTGCTACTTCCTCCCGTCGCCTATGAGCCAAACTCTCTGCACTGAGGGTCAAACTACTGTAATGCATGTCCTGAAGCCAATAGTGGGCATTTTTATGACCGTCTCTATTACTCGCCATGGTGCATCAATCAATAGTCTACTTGATGAATCATTTTCCATCTTATTCGTGCTTTGAGTAGTCTCAGTGCGACTGTAATACCCAAATTTAAAGCAGCCAAATACATCATTGTGTGTTTTATATTAATGTTACCCAATTCGGCGAGGAACGTTGCAAAATGAGGTTCAGGACACATTGCCTCAATGAATGTATCGCTGGCATGGGTAACCAAGTTAGATGATGCATCCCGGCGTTAGGTCTATATCCTTTCCCCATAGATACAAACGCACATTCTTCCGACTTCAGGGAATGGCTGCACAAGATTCATGATTTGATAGCTTAGCGTTCTGACATACCACCTATGGCCTGATGTATATTCAACATACGGGGATATCGATGCATAAAACAACAGGTACAAATGGAAGTGACCTACAGCTCTAGCAGTTCCAGGTCTCCCTCCTCCATGCACCAATCCACGCCATGACAAAATACAAACATCCTGCAGGTAACATACAGACCTTTGCAACGATACGCCAATCCCACCGGCGTCCGACCAATTTGCGTGTCTCCTCGCCCTTACTTTTCACATGGGGCCGGAGACGATCAGGGACCGCCGATACACGAGTGTCTGTATCAGATGGGAGCAGGTTGCTTGTCACCCATATTTGGATGCTGCGAGAAATGCACGTCGTCGTCCCTATGACAGCCCAGCACACATCCGGACGTATTGTGGTCCAACGCAGCAGTGTGCTGTCCAAGATATTTGATGTAGAAAATGTCATATCGACATTAAAACCTAGTCCGCCAAGAATGTCAAGCGTAAAGTGGGTTGCAGGCCAACAAATGGCCTGCAAAGCGAGAAGGCGTATGAGGGTGGATAAAGGGGCGTAGTAGGCACGCCACCGGTGAAGGAGTCCGGTTGTTAACTGGAGGCATTGGTGTGCTGTCAGTAACGCCTGTAGATGAAAAGGATCAACCGGGAGATTAACCATCCCGAAAAAGCTAAAACCTTACCCAAAGCACAGCCAGGAGATAATCAGCTCTGTCCGGCAAGGCGACACGACCCCAACTATCATGCTCTCGAGAGCACGAACCAGGAGCGAAGTGTTCTGAGTCCAGACCTGGAGGTTTCCACGCACACCAGGCATTTATTAGCGCGCCTAATGAAGCGGGGACGACAGACAAGAGGCGCGATACATCGAAAAGTAGAGTTGTTAGAGTGCTTGGTGGAACTAATGGACCTGAGGCAGGTAGGATACGCGTCGTCGGAAGATGTCGAGGCTGCAAACACGTGTCCAGGTAAGAAAGGTAAGAGGTATATGCCGATAAATCCTCACAGGTTCGTCAGCCTCGGTCTCAGTTTCACCTGCACCTAATTGTCCTGGAGCAGTCGTTATCTGCTCTGACTTGGGCCTCCGCCAGCCAAGGCCCACGTTTAGGAACGCATGAAACCCACTCGCTCGTGAGTCCTTCGCTGATCGTGTATTAGCATGACGGTGTATTTCTTGATTGCTTCGAGTGCGTCTAGCAGTATATATAGCATTGGTCGTGTCTTCATCGTCGTCTGCACTCAGTTCCTGGTTACGATTCTCGGAGAGCAAGTCGCGTTCCCGTGGACGGTGGTGATTGCGCATGGAAGGTATCGACGCAGGAGAGACGATAAAACTTTGTGAAGATTTCCGTGGTAATGGCGGCGGTGTACACACTGCACAAGGACTTGTCTGGGATGGGTGTGCGCCAGTGTCTGCGGAGGTAAGTAAGTCACACAAATGTATGTATGGTGGTTTGCAGCACGATGTAGTTCGCGATGAAGATAAGGACGAGGAAGACGAATGGGAATACGAAGATGACGAAGATGAGCTTAGACCAGGTGTGCCAGAAGCCGGTGTGAGCTTCAAGGTATGCAACCGTTGTCTTGAGCGAGCCTTGCTTATTGTAACATCCGACGTGGTCGAGGCTGGCATCATCACGTTCGATGGTGAGCTCAAATGCTGCTGATAAGAAGTGAAACTCACAGCAAAATTCTTATATATATATAAATCACACTTGTCTGACGTCGACGTTAACTTCAAGACAGATTTTGTTCCTGAGATTGCTGTATTAGGTATGCTGTCGGCAAATGCCGCATTGCAGGTAAGTTCGAACACTTTCACTGCTTCAGCTTCAGCGCTTATGTACCTGGATAATATATCTGCTGTGGTCTGCTGGACCCGCTCTTCTGCAACTTTCAGTAACTGTCGTGCGTAAGATTCAGAAGAGCTGGAAGACTAATACGGAGAACCGAAACAGACTCAGGTGCTGAAGAACAAAGACAGGCTATGTGACATAAATATATAGATTCGAGGGGTCAACACTTCTACATGGCCAACCACCGCACTCCCGAAGTCAGGCTTCATGCCAAACCAAATTTATGACCTCGCTTCAAAGCTCACAGATAAGGTCGCGAGTGACGCACCCTGAGGCCGCATACATGATAATCCCTCTAGAATCATATGGAATGAGACTCAGATTGAATCCATCTGCCAAGTATGTCTAGCATGAGGGTTGATGCGCCGTTGATCACTTACTAGTCTCTGGACAGCTCAGGCTTATCTCCTCAATGTGGTTGATGTTTTTGCCGTTCCGAACAAGTTCTGGCATTTCATGCACTCGTCGACTTCCAATCAATCTCTTCGCAACGTGTAGTACTATGTGTGGCGGGAGAAGAAAAGCAAGCGCTTCGTCAGTCTCTGCCGTGCTGTTTAGTAGAAGCAGGCTCTGTCGACCTCCTGAAGTATTTTCCCCCAATTTCATGGACAAACATCTAATGAACTGTGGGTTTCCAGATCTCCGGCAGTGCGCACGGGTGAAGCTCTTATAGGGGTTGCGTGGATTTCATTACGTTCTCGCGGAACATCACGAACACATGTCAACAGTCCTCAGCGATCTGACCTTGAATCACTCATGATTCAGGTGTGTAGCTGAACTTTGTATGTTAGTGAATAATTTTTCCTCTTTCTCCGCTGCCAATATTGGTGATACACGTTCTGTTAATGATGTCCTCATCTCATCAACCCTTATTACACTTCATATGTTGCCAATTCATGCTCATATATTTAACCTCAGCAAATTCTATATGAAATTTCCGACCAAGAACAATTAACGCCCGATCTCGTTAATGAACACTGATGATTCCCCGACTCGCTTGTGCACCTTCGTGTACATTGTATATTCGGAGTGCATTTTCCCCGGTACTGTCTTTGGCCCCCGTCATCAAACACAGTAAAATTTCTGCGACACATCAGCTGGGAAATCTTCTGGCGAGATCCCTCACCTGTTAAGCTTCCAACGCAATAACCATACCGCCGAGGTCAGGATATGTAAAGCGAGATCAATTCTTGCGTTTTAACCATGTTTTGTACAGAACCTAGGCCTCACCACGGGCCAACATATTTTCCCCCCAGGGACTTGCTAGCTGTCACCGGCGAGGACAACACTCCGAGTGCCGAATTTGCAAGCCGCCATCTGGGTTATCATCCCATTGACTGTTTTACAAAAAATCCCGTATATTGTTCTTTCTCTTGAGCACAGTGCACAGTCTTCTGAACCAACCGGACCTCAGTCCGATCTACTACATCCGGAATGAAAGCCAATATACTGGACTTCCTCGTAAAAGTGGGAAAATGTAGGGTCTATGTGTAGGGCTGCGAAGAAGTGTGGAATTTGAATTTTACCACTCTTAAGTGATCGTCCTTAGTAACTATAAGTATCGTCCAGTGATTCATATGCATCTGGACCGTCATCAGTATCACAAGTGGGATCTTGAGTTCAGTGGCATCGCAGGTATAAAAATTCTGCCCCCCTGTTATCAGACCTCCGGGTAAAAGGACGATGCGTTCGTTATCTAGCATGCATACTAAGGTACGTCGGAGCTTTGCCTGCAGCTCCGGGTCAGTTTAAATGTTGTCCCCCGGCTCTTCATTTGATATCATGTGTATTCCAAGGTATTCTGTACAGTCCGGATGAGAGTTACAATGCTTGTTGATGTTACAGATATAATGCAAACTCGTCATCAATCCCAACACAAACACATCAATATTTGTACTATAGGAAGCGAGTTGTTTGGGTATTGCTGCCAATGATTATTCACTGGGAGTACGTTCTTGGAGTCCTCACTCTTCCTCAGAGTCACTGGAATCCGTATCTTCCTGTTCAAGGAGTTGTCAAATACTGAGATTGACTAGTAAGATGTGATACTCGCGTTGATGTACACCGGCACCTCTTGACCATCTTCATCGAGAGGCGCCCATGGAACGGGAGGGGCAACCCATCTAATACGCTGTTCAGTCAACCAACACGTCAGCCCAATTATTGCACTCACAATTGTTCGCCTGTGCGTTCGGGAGATGGTGTCGCCCGCCTATTGCGGCGATGCCTGACATGCAGCAGTTCATACAAAGGAGTGAAACAATGCTCCGTCTTGCATCCCGTTGCGTGCCAATCCAGCTTGTGTGTCACTCCACCATTTCATCTCAGCCATCGCACCGGCAGTGCCAACGGGCGCTACAACGGGGGCGGAAGCTAGAAGAGCGATGCTGATATTTTCTCCGCCTACATCTAGATGAGTATAATTGGTTTCAGATGGCATGACGCACTGACTTTTGTCTGATAGGTACATGGAGAAGGCAGGACAATAAAAGACCTTGGTAACGAGATGCATTGACTGAAGGAGTTCAATGCTCGCGAGTTTCCCAAGGACGTCTGCAGTGATGTTTTTTATGCGAGGTTTATTCATGAGCAACGACGGCGCCAGTAGCTCCTTTTTTGACCTGCCATGTTCCTTTGATACTAGCTTCGGCAATCCCAGGCACACCTCTGGCTGGATTCAAGCCGATCAGAATGAGATATGAGGACGGATGACTTGGAGACTCACGTGTGCTGATTCGACCTTCAATTCGATTCTTTTGACGTTTTTCGACCAAGTAGTGAATTCAGACTCTTCGGGACAGTCTTTGGGATGATGCTCGTCGGACTTGGGGTCGATACCTGCACTGAGGAGATACGGCTGGAAGTCGTTGGAGTAGATGGATCCTTTGGGGAAAAAATTGCCCGTGTCTTTGTCGATCAATCCGAATGACCCAACCTGCTCGACGTTAACACACAACTAAAGACGATGTGAGCCACTGATTAGACGCACTGGAATTTCCGAGGGTGGGTCCCAGTTGGGATACTTTCCAGTTCGATCAAAGATAAGCTCGATGAACTTGCGTTGCGCATTCGACTCGTGAGTAAGCCAGGTCCACATCTTTGCTGAGTATATGGTTTACTGGTGAGTGACGATCTCGAGGTTTTAAAAGGATGTAAGGGCCAGGGCAGTGTACTGCTGTGTGCTGCTGTGACAGGCGCCAAAAACTCGGGTGGTATACCGCGACGTGAGAGCATTCTGAAAAAAGGATACATTGTTCTAGTCGTCACAACGTGGATCCGTTCAAATAAACACAGTAATACGGTTTATGATCGTCGATCAGCTCTGAACGCCTGGGTCACTCGGATCTGTTATTACAATGGGCAGTGGTTACATGCCTTGGTTGGAAGCTTGGGTCTTTCATCCCGGCGCCTGCTGCGGACCGCAGTGTAGCGACCGGACTTCCTATCACTGACCAGCTGCCTCGGCCATGTGCATGAACGGTAGCAATATCTGCGCAGAGCAGTTTAGAACTCCGACCGAATAGCCTATCTCCGAGTCTTCAAGCTCTCTTACATAAGCTATAGTAGTAGTACTAGTAGTACTAGTCGTCTAGACCAAGTCTAGCCTTTCTTGACTCCCACATCTATAGTGGGCTTTGTCAGTTCCTCACGTCTCATCCATCATATCTCAACAACCTTCCCGTCAACCTTCGAGACGGATTCCAGCAGCAGGGCGTCCTGTCTGACATGCAGTGGATGAGTCCATTGAGCTCCATCGAGCTGCCATGTTTCACTGGCACTCTGATCGATCATCTATCCGTGCTTCTCGACAATATCAGCTTTCGTCGAATTTCGTATCCTGTCGCATGTTACGTTTACTTACTGGCTTTAGTGGTCTTTCGTTCTACCCAGTAGCTCATGCTTGTCGCTTTTCCCATGATTGTGAATTTCAAGGTGAACATGAATAACTATCATGAGCCTTGTCGCATTGACAATTATGTGATTGGACAAAACGTTGTTCCGTGCACACTCTGTTATTCGCGTGGACAATATCTTATGGACTTCCCCCTTGCATGCACGTTGTCATTCAGTCACGGTCTGCACCCGGAGAAGCTACATTATGAGAGCTCGAGGACGTTACACATTGAAACTTGATCCTGCCCTCGCTCGTTGACAACTAAAACAAGATCATCGGTGCTCATATTTTTGCCTAGACTGCCTGGTGCTTTCCCCTTCTTGGCTCGTTGTACAAATCAAATAAATACTGCTGACCATATGATTTTCTTGTTTCAAAAACTACGTAAGGTATAGACTGGGGCATCGAAAGCGTATTGTACAAGTAATACGAAAGTCATAATATTACAATATGATACAAGATCATCGTGTATCTTACCACAAACGCTGTCAATGTTCGATACTGTAGATGTCGCTTATTCCGACTCAGAGTCGTCGTCGCTGGAATCCGTATTATCCTGTAGAAGAACTCGTCAACTATGGGAGTCGGCCAGTTAGATGTGACACCCACGTTGATATATATCGGCACCTCCGTGCCATCCTCACGGAGAGGCGCCCACGGGACGGGAGGGGCTATCCATCTTGCACGCTCCTCGATTAGCCAATATCCATCATAGCAGTAATGAGTACACTCACAGCATTTCACCTGTGCGTACTGGGGATGGCGACGATCGCCTGTTACGAGGGTGCCTGACATGCAAAAGTTCATATAAAGGGGTGAAGCAATGCTCTGTCATGCATCCGTTGCGTGTTAATCCAGATTGTGCGTCACTCCACCATCTCATAGTAGCCATGGCATTAGCTGTACCCACGGGCGCCACGATAGGCGCGGAACCTAGAAGAGCTATGGAAAAACTTCCACCGCCTCACTCTGGATGAGTATATTTGTTTCTAATAGGATAGCACACTCACTTGTATCTGAGAGGTACATGGAAAAGGCAGGGCAATAGAAGGCTTTGGTGACGAGATGCATGGATTGAAGGAGCTGAATGCGAGCGAGCTTCCCCAGGACGTCTGCAGTAATGTGTTTCATGCGAGGGTTACTCATGAGCAAGACAGCGCCAGTGGTGCCTTTCTTGACTTGCCATGTCCCTTTGATTGCAGCTGTGGCAATTTCAGGAACACTCCTAGTAGAACCAATGGAATGCGATATCAGGAGATGATCGAAAAGGATCGAAAGCTAAGGACCCGCCGACTCACGCTTGAGATTCGACATTCGATTCGATTCGTTTCACGTTTTTGGACCAAGTTGTGAATTCAGACTCCTCTGGACAATCTTCGGGAAGGTGCTCGCCGGACTCAAAGTTGACACCTGCATCGACGAGATAATGTTTGAAATCATCTGAGTATATGGAGCCTTGAGGGATCAGATTGCCCGTGGCTTTGTCAATCCTTCCGTATGATCCAACCTGCTCAATATGAGCATGCAATGAAAGGCGATATGGTAACACGCACTGGAATCTCCGAGGGTGGGTCCCAGTTGGGATACTTTCCAGTCCGATCGAATATAAGTTCGATGAACTTGCGTTGCGCGTGCGAATTCGGTTGGGTGTCCCAGGACCACATAATGTGTGTGATGGATAATTGATGGGTAATAGGCGTATCCAGTAAACACCAGACTCTTGAGATTTATGCGGGGCAACTAGAAGGTGGCAGTGTGTTGCTGTGTTGGCAATGTTGGTGCTGTGTGACAGGCCGGCGCCAAAACTCGCATCTTCCCGCGAGATCTGTGGCTCACTGAGGTTCTACACCAATCCGTCAAAAGCAATGAGTTTCTTTGTTGCAATAAGCGATGACATGCCTTGGTAGAGTTTAAGGTTGAGTATCTCAATGGGCAGTGCTGTGGCACTGGCAGCCTGGCAGCGCCTTCGAGCTGCTGCGCTATCATAGGACACTGAACGATTGAAGGTATGCATGTTCTATTTGTTACACACTTCCACAGGACTGCGCATTTGGAAGTCCGGCCAAAATATTGAAACCGTGGTCATTGCCTCATCAGAGCTCCGAGCCTTCGATCAATCCTCGGTGGTCTTGTGGCGAGTCGCCTCGTCGATCATTTATATCTGTATGTGTTTGCTTGTGTAATCGAGTGGGAGTTCCCGCCCAATCAACGTGTATGGCGTTCAACACTCGAGGCTGGTGTGTTGATTACGAGTCCAGCTAACTACTTGGGTCCATTCTTTTAGCCATTTCATAATCGATGACTCTTTTGCCCTCCGATTGTTGTTTCCCAATTTCATCATTGTCATCTTTCGGTTGCAATATTTCTGTGGTCCTTTGGAATCTGATCAAGATATGAGATTTGGCTAATTAATTCGTGGGGGTTCATCATTTCGAAGTTATGTAAAGCAGCTTTCACGAGTCGGGATATCAGCTCTGCGTCCGATGCAAATTGATTATATTCATGTACAACTCACAATAACCGAACGTAGCCTACTGTCTGTGTCTCGAGAGGAATGATGAGCCAGGGAACATTACAAGATATATACAATCGACTGTATCGCGTGCTTTTAAATGACTGCGCACCAGACGATCGAAGAGAGGAGGCAGCCACGCCCAAGACAAGAGCTCTACAGTGGTCAAGCATTGAAACCACAACACTCCAGAAGCATAACATGCGTTCAGCATTGCTATGGAGTGTCACTAGTTATTTTCATCTCAGCACGAGGACATAACTGCTCACCTAATATTAAAAAAATGATAGAAACCGCGAGGGATATACTCGGCCAGCTGATGAATATAAGTGTACAACACAGCCGAAAGCGCGAAGCCGTCAAGACCTGCAATTGTGTGAATATCGATACGCACAAGGCCAGTTTCGCCACTAACATCTTTAACCCATGTTCGATCACAGGCATCATATATGTTAACCACCGCTAAACCACACATCAAACAACCGAGTGTGGCAAAAAAATAGGGGACACACAATGTGTACGGAAGAAATGATGTCATGGGTGGTTGTGTTGAGAGAAAAACCGCGGAAGTAGTGAGAATCTGTGGTTTCAGCATCAGATTTCTTCATATCTTGACCGCCGAGAGCACTACCAAGCCAGCCTGAAACGCCACGGCATCAGTACGCGGACGATGTCGCATTGATATCACCTACCACTATGTTAATGTTACACAGTCTATTGACGATCTTCCTCTGGTGTTTCTCCCATTTGTCATCGTCCGTGATAGACTGCCAGTACTGGTCAACAGAGGATCTTGCTAGCGAGATCACGCAGAGTGCGCGAAATAGAAAGGCCTTTTTAGGGGGGAACTTTTCGGGATCTGGGGCCTTCCACCAGTCCGGTAGCGGTGGCCTACAACCAAAAAGGCTACTCAATCGACAACCCGAGAATGATCGTCAAGGTACTTACTTATTGCGCGAAAAAGTAGATTCTTCCTCCATTTTAACAGGCGAGCAGATGCGACCGATATGGCGTGCTCTAAGTTATATAGGCAGGCAAAAGTATACAGTGCTGGCAGTGAGCGAAGCTAGGAGGAATTGTTTTGTAGCACGTACGGAAGTACTTGGTATATAAGTTATCCACAAGGAGCACGTTGCTGGAGGGCATCCTGCCAATTGGCTTCCACCTTTACGTTCATGCAGCACGCCATCCCTGTCACTGAAGCGAATGCTCCGAATCAGGGATGAATAAACGGCATGCTCCTGCATAACTTTCCTTTTGAAATCGAGCGCTCGCAGAGACTAGGTTCACATCAATAATGAATATGTTCGAATCAAGCGATAGAAAGTCCGAGTTGATAGTATCTGGTGGAAGGAAGATAACGACTCTTTCATTATGAAAGTCGTATGAATAATTTGTGAAGTTGAACTGCATAGAACACACCTGAGGACGACTCAAATACTGTCACACGGTGGTTGTCGTTCAGTGCCAATTTTTGTAACTTTACGTGAAAATTTGAACGATGGAGTCATGGACAGTAGACCACGGTTATCTAGTGTGAGGAAGAATGAATATCAGCAAGGGTTCTATGGTCATTCTTGGTGTTCCTCGGGGCCTAGTGGGGTCGTGCCGCATTCCCTTGGAGCATAATCTGGCTCAGAGGGCTCGGTGGTTACAGTGCAGTGAAATTTGAAACTGCACGACCTCGCGATAACCTTGAATTTGGTTTGACCCCGTGTTAAGTACTCGCGACTATGGGGCCTTGCTGGAGGAACAACTACTGTGCAGTGACTGATCAGAATTAAATTCATGCCGGCAACCGCCGGCTTATGTACATCAACTTCGCGGCAAGTAAGTTGTCCGCGATGATCATCATGATAGTTCAGCCAATTTTCACCGGACATGATATACTCACTGGCTGGGGGGTGACGTTGAATCGATCATCGTGTCACTGCTGAGCGCTGAGTACTCATATACAAACCACCCACTCCAACGTTCAAACGTTCATCCGAATTTCTTATATTGAAGAAGATTTCATTGACGTACTAGTAGATCCGGGGATCACCTAACCATTGTGCCAACCCAGGGCCGGGACTTTTGTATTCAATGGCGCTACTTAAGCTTAAGGTTAGTACATGTAATACGTTTCTATGATGGACCCGATAAGTAGTACCGCTGCGCATCCTCATTGCGGCAGGGTGGAGTTGTACTACAGTCCAGCGGCATCACTGCGATCTACGTCCAATTGCCCCAGAAGCATAGGATAGGCTGCACACATGGCAACTGCACCTTCTGCCCCCAATCTTGCCATCTTCCGCAGCTACGCATCCAAACCCAATCCAGCGACTCTACCACCATCGATCCTACTCTCTCACTCAGAAACATGTCTGACGGTCTTCGATGCGTTCCCTAAATCCATTTTTCACTTCCTGGTCATACCCCGAATCCAGCCGCCATTGAGCGCACGCCATCTCGCAAACTTGCGTTCTTTGCTTCGATGCGAGAAAAGCACCGCAAAGGAGGTGCTTATGAACTTGAACGAGGAAGCGAATAACGTGAAGAAGATGATTGAGGAAGAGATGATGAAGCTGTATAAGTTTAAGTGGGAAATATGGATGGGATTTCACCCGATTTCGAGCATGGAGTAAGCGTTTGTCTATTCTATCTTTTGGCTTCGTTGAGTTCATCCCGTCATTATGGCATCGTTTCAGACACCTACATTTACATGTGCTTTCTGCAGACTTGTACTCTCCGAAGATGAAGTTGAAGAAGCACTACAATTCGTTTCATCCTAGCCTGGGGTTCTTTCTGCATTTGAAAGATGTTCTTTCGTGGTTCGATGCCGTGCCTTCGTATTATCAAAGAGTATGTTGCGCAGCAAAGGATGCCTTGTTTCGCACTAATGACAGGATTTTGGGATTTGTTTGGTAGATGATTAAGCTCGATGCCAGCCATTATGAGTCGCTCTTAAAGGACGGCGACCTTTGTTGCTGGCGGTGCGACCGTGCCCTGGCGAGCATGCCCAAGTTGAAGGCGCATTTACACGACGAGTTCGATAAGCTGACGGCGAGGGAGAAGGCGAAGTTGGAGAGGAAAAGGAAACGTATAGATGTACCCGCTTCATCCGTGCAGGCATCGGCGACTGATGATGAGCGACCTGAGAAGATCGCTCGTTCAACGCCTAGCCAGGGTGATGGTTCCAGCGATCCAACTGTAGGTGGTGACCTACCGTCGTAAACAGGTCATCGGTACTGTCTTTCTTGCGGCTGCATCCTTATGGCATTCTTAGTTCCACGGTACATTCGTTGAAGCTAAGTGAAGATGGTCAACCGACTATACCATTGCAAAACATGCGTTGGACGCCAGTAATTCAAGTTCGTCGTCATCAGAAGGCCTAACCATATGAATCTCGGCGAGGGACTGGAACTCGGAGCACTACTTGGAGAAGAACATAACACTATTTCGCTCGATGTTGCGAACCCTCCCCTAGTATTCACCAGAGTGTGCCGCCTTTGGCGAGTCGTTGTACATTCAACGCCAAGAGTCTGGTCGCGCATCCAGATCGTGCTCCCTGGGAAAGTTAGGCCATGGAAACCATTTTTTCCATATTTCCTCCAGTGTTGGCTTGCTCGCTCTGGCAGGCTTGCTTCACATTATTGACGATTCCCAACGCCGCAAACATTGTTGGATTGAACCAGGGGCAAACTCTCGACTTCTGGATATCCTCCTTTCTGAGAGCCAGCGTTGGGAAACGGTGTTGATGTCACCCGTGCATCGCTGGAATTCTGACTTCAACACATCTCAGTTGAGAACCTTGGTGTGCAATGACTCAAATCTCAGGGGAATCAATGCACCAAAGCTTCCCCGCCTACACCTCAATGGGTACTTTTATCCCAACGTCCCAAATGGACAGCCCACCCTTACTTGCAAATATCTACGTCTGCATGCCGGTTCCGCGTGCACTATATGCTCTGCTATAGCCAGTTTCCCTCATTTGGTGACCATCGTGGTTGATGAAATCATAGGCTTTCGTTATGGGAAGGTTCCTATCCCTATAAGTAGTTTGGTGCTTGAACCAATGACCCTCGTTCTCCCCTACTACTTCTTGCTGGAGGACATCCAGCAAGAGTTTATCAAGATATTCACTCAACTTCATCTTCCCATGTTGCGGAAATTGACTCTGGTGGGAGCGCCGGAAAAACTACATGTTGATTGTCTTTTGGCAATGCTAGCAGTTGCATCTTTCCAGGTGCCGGTGGTAGACTTTCAGACAAGCACACCACTGAGCACAGTTCATATGAACAATATCGTGCCATTGCTCTCAATTGTGAGAGAGGTTACTTTTTGTGGGTAAGTGCTCTGCTATCTCGCCCCTCGCACTTCATCATGTAAACCTTGCCTGGTCTAGAAACTTGCCTCAAATCAATTGAGTATCGGAATTCGCGAGAAATCGAAGCTATCCTTCTCGATACAGATGTACATACATACAGGCATCCGATTTTCTTGTGCTGCAATCACCTGCAAATCATACCTGGTCTTGGTGCCTTCATGTCGGAGTCGGGAGTGATGCGGCCGATGATACTATGTAGATCATTGTGCTCATGATACAGCGACCGCCGACAAGGCCTTAACAGTGGTGATTATGAATTCGCTGGTCATAGAGTGAAATCGTGGTTCTAGATCATTGCATCGACTTGCACGCGGATGACAGGGACGTGTTGGTGAAGGGTAGTGGCGATGATATGATGATGGTGAAAGGGCCAGGAAGGAGTCGACAAGATGAGGGCAGCGCTGGAGGTATCAGAGGGAAAGGCTGGAGGCATGGGAGAGACGCTGGAGGCTCGAGAACGGTTGGTGGAGGCTCGTAAGGAGGTGCTAGAGGCCCGCAAGGGAATACGAGAGCACGAACTATAATTAGATGGCAGGAGGGTGCACGTGGGTTCCCAAGAGTTGACCCAGTTGATTCAGGTGAAGTCGGCTCTGTTTTTGCCACTGCGCTCGCCGGGAGGTCGGGTGTTGCATCCGTTGAGAAGACTGGAGAAGGGAAGCAAGAAGGAAGTCATTCAACTAATGTTTGGATGAGACTGACGAAACAAGGAACCTGCCAGATAAAGAAGAATTCTGAATATGATATGCGAGCAACAAACCACGCACATGCGAGAAGCCTGCTAGTGGCCGTAGAACGGGTCGACTGGTGGCTTAATTGAGACTTGGCTGGCGTGGATATGTAAGTTGCATGATGTAGACGAGGAATGCACGTGCACAGCAGCCATAACGGTGTCGACGCTTGCTAGTTTGAGGTCTTGGGCAGTCACGTTGAAGTTCAATATTCCAAAAAAAAACATGATGCTTCTCGCCAACAGTACAAACCTTAGCACATTTCAAGTGCATGGACAAGTTACTACTTCATGAATCATGCTCAAGATCCTATAACCCCTCCCTGTACCGAGCCATCATATCTCTCAATGCTGCCTCATCCCCAAACCGTGGTTGAAAACGCGCAGTGAACGGTTTGGGGTGCGCAATCACACCGTCCACAAAGCCCATCTCATCAATCGGGTTCTGCGGGTCCTGAGTGATCTTGAACGACCACAGAAGGAGCGCGACGTTGATGAAGATCGAACGATCCGCTATGTGCCGCCCTGGGCAGATTCTGCAGGTGGTTCTTCAGCAGGGTTCTACTCGGTTCAATATCGGGCAAGGCCGTACCTGCGTCCGAAGCCATACGAAGGGAACTTGAGGTCTTCCCGGATTTTGCCTTCGCTGTTGAGCCACCTCTCGGGATCGAACTGGTCAGGGTTGGGGTACACAATCGGGTCGCGTGAGATTGCCCTGTTAAAGAGTGATCAGCACATTCATTTGACTAGAATGCGTGTTTCTGTACCAATGGTTGCCAAATACGATGGCGCCCTCTGGGATACACATGCCTTTCTGCTCGAACAGCCATAAGAACCATGAAATTATGCCGGAGCACTGGAAACATACATAAATGATGTCGGCCGAAGCACAATGAGCAAATCCAAGAGTTGTCACAGGCCTCCAACGAAGACACTCCAGCATGAACGCCTCTATCTGCGGAAGGGAATTGTAGTCGTCGAATGTGGGAGCTGTAACGACCGGGTTGAGATTCATTCACTAAGATAAGCTTTGACATACCTCTGTCACGACCAACGACGATATCCAGCTGCTCTTGCACTTTCTCCTGCGCCTTGGGATAACATGCCGAAGCCATCACGACATACATGATCGCCACAGCAGTCGTGTCTGAACCGGCACCGAAGAGTGATCCAGTGAGATAGGCCATTTCTTCTTGCGAAAGCTTGTGCGAGGACTGGTTCTCAAGAAGGTACCGAGCAAACGAGGGACCGGCTTTGCCGGTCGCCTACGAAGAACTAGTCAGAGGGTGCTTAAGAAAGACGTTGAATGAACCAACCAATTCTCTCGAAACACGATTGAGTTGGTCATGGAAGACCTGACTCTCTTCTCTTCTCCATTCCTCCAACTCGGTTGTGTATCCCGGGACGTATTTTAGGATTGGGAAGCGCTCAATCAGGAACGCCCCAGGTCGCATGAGCATCTGGAAGCGCTTGAGCATTTTGTGGATGACGATGATCTCGGGAGCATTCGTGGCGGTAGGCGTGGACTTCCCATACATGACTCGCAAGATGACCGAGGCGGCGTAGCTTGCGTTGGATACGTTAAGTGGTTATAGAACAAGTCAAAAAATGTCACACACCGATTCGCAGCTGCTTGGTGTGCTTTAGGGTTATCAAGGATGTCAAGAATGACATCACGGGCAGCGTCCATCTGAATGGGCGCATAGGATTCTGCAGCCTTCGTTTGAAGATGAGTGTGTGCTGCCCTGGATGAGTCGGAAACAACTTCAGCCAAACAGTTCGGCAAGAGAAGATATCAACACAACTTGCGAAGTCTCCGGAACTGTTCTCCTGCGGGTGTAAGGATCATGCGTAGCCCGCCAGACAAGATCTCTCCTGCTGCAACCGCACGAGGGCGGTCCGCCAGCAGGCCACCTTCTTTCTCCATTATGTCATTCGCTTCCTGCACAAATGAGTATGGAAGCGCGCGATGACCAGTATTTGAACCATCTTACCTGATGTCTGCCAATGATGACCATGACCTTGCCTGGCCCGACCCGAAGCGAGATGATGGGCCCGTAGGTATTGATCCATTCAGCAAACTGCTGAGATTGGCTGTAATGTATTTGCTGTCAGCGTCCACGTAGACCCAGAGGGTGCTCTATTTATTAACCCACTTTATTTTTGGTAGAGGGTTTCGGAATAGCCAATATCCAGGAGGTCCTGGGGGAAGAGGCAGGCGTGACCTTGATCGTATTGTGGCGCGGAGGACATTGCATGCCAGAACGAGAGCGACCAATGCTCCTAGAGCCTTGAGCCCAGATGACAAGTAGAGCATCATCTGATAGTCTATAGCACAAGTACAATAACTTCAAGGGAAGCAGTGGAGGAATGGATTAATGAAGGATGGTCGCACCAGCTCCCGTTTTATCTTAGCTGATGTCGACGGAAGATGGTGTAAACTGGCCAATTGGATGGGAAAACCCTATTGGGAGATAACTAGTAGCTCGCTGGCGATTAAGTGGAGCTTTGGAAGGAGGATCTACATAAGTATCGAAAGACCTTGCCATCGCGCCAAGCCCCACGATTACTTGATCAGGCTTTTCTGTCTATTGGAGACGAGTTCATAGTGACCTTGATAGAAGAAGTCGTTCCAAGAGTGACGTTGTCTGTTCGAGCTTAGCATGAACGAAAAAATTTGAATCCTTATGTTGTAGGACTCCATAGATTTTTGGGATGTATGTGAGTCGTGGTTCGAACGCACTACTTGATCTCAGGCTAGTATTCGAGTAATGAGTGAGCGAAAATCTACCCAAGATCATCAAGAACGCACCTGCAACTTCCTTCTTGGACAACCAAACTAGCCCAACTCCTTCCTGACGAAGTCTGATCGTGTATCCTATGTAGCCATCACCGCCGGCCATAGCACAATTGTTATCTGCAAGATCACGATTAAAAGGAATCTAACACATCAATATATATGGTTCACGCACTTGTAGATCGCTGAACATCAACTTCACGAGTAAAATGCGTTTTCCAAGTTTGTCAAGGTACTGGGTCCGCCAACGAGAAAGCGAAGAAGACCACCGGAACAGGACTAGCTCGTCAACTTGTAATCGACAAGCGCTCAGCACATCATTTCCTCTCACAGGTTTCTACTACTTCATTGCTCGAATTTCTACATATGTGCGTGTGCATTGCAATTCAAACTTATTTTGTGCTGATGGAAGGCGGATAACATGATAGTGTCGTCTTCGCCCACTTGCGCTCTTCAGCTTCATCCTCCCTGTGTTCCTAACAGTCCTCGCCGTGTAACTTGATTGTGGTACCATAGTATGGCGGACGATGTAGAACATTGTCGAGCGGCTTTGGAGAGATGTCCCCCCGGTCATCCTGATCGACCGTTTTCCCTCCACCACCTTGCCGTCAGCCTTCGAGACAGATTCAAGCAGCGGGGCGTCCTGTCTGATCTTGATGAGTCCATCGAGCTCAATCGGGCTGCACTACTCCTTCGTCCCCTCGGACATCCTGATCGATCGTTGTCTCTCAACAATCTTGCCGTCGGCCTTCGAGAAAGATTCTTCACACAGCGGCGCGTCCCGTCTGACATGGATGAGTCCATCGAGCTCAATCGAGCTGCACTACTTCTTCGTCCCGTCGGTCATCCTGATCGACCGTTTTCTCTCCACCACCTTGCCGTCAGCCTTCGAGACAGATCCAAGCAGCGGGGCGTCCTGTCTGATCTTGATGAATCCATCGAGCTCAATCGGGCTGCACTACTCCTTTTGCCCTCAGGCCATCCTCTTCGACCACAGTCTCTCAATAATCTCGCCGTCAACCTTGGAGAAAGATTCACGCAGCGTGGCGTCCCGTCTGACCTTGATGAGTCCATCGAGCTCCATCAGGCTGCACTACTCCTTCATCCCCTCGGCCATCCTGATCGACCGTTTTCTCTCACCAGTCTTGCCGACAGCCTTCGAGACAGATTCAAACACCGGGGCGTCCCGTCTGACCTTGATGAGTCCATCGAGCTCAATCGGGCTGCACTCCTCCTTCGTCCCCTCGGTCATTCTGATCGATCCCAGTCTCTCAACAGTCTTGCCATCAGCGTTCGAGAAAGATTCGCGCAGCGGGGCGTCCCGTCTGACCTTGATGAGTCCATCGAGCTCTTTCGGGCTGCATTACTCCTTCTCCCCCCCGGTCATTTTCTTCGATGGTCGTCTTTCAACAATCTCGCCGTCAGCCTTCACTACAGGTTCACGCTGCATGGTGTCCCATCTGACTTAGATGAGTGCATCGAGCTCAATCGGACTGCACTACTCCTTTCCCCCCCGGGTCATTCTGATCGACCACTGTCTCTCAGCAATCTCGCTTTCAGCCTTGGACAGAGATTCACGCAGCGGGGTGTCCCGTCTGACCTTGATGAGTGCATCGAGCTCAATCGGGCTGCACTACTCCTTTTCCCCTCCGGTCATCCTGATCGATCACAGTCACTCGATAATCTCGCCGTCAGCCTCCGAGACAGATTCATGCAGCGGGGCATCCTGTCTGACCTTGATGAGTCCATAGAGCTCCATCGGGCTGCATTACTCCTTTCCCCCCCCGGTCATTCCAATCAATCATTGTCTCTCATCAATCTCGCCCTCAGCCTTCAAGACAGATTCAAAGAGCGGGGCATCCCATCTGACCTTGATGAGTCCATCGAGCTCCATCGGGCTGCACTACTCCTTTCCCCTCCCGGTAATTTCAATCGATCAACGTGTCTCAACAATCTCGCCGCCAGCCTTCAAGACAGATTCACGGACCGGGGCATCCCGTCTGACCTCGATGAGTGCATCGAGCTCCATCGGGCTGCACTACTCCTTTCCCCACACGGTCATTCCAATCGGTCAACGTGTCTGAACAATCTCGCCGTCAGTCTTCAAGGCAGATTCACAGAGCGGGGCATCCCGTCTGATCTTGATGAGTGCATCGAGCTCCATCGGGCTGCACTACTCCTTTCCCCACCCGGTCATTCCAATCGATCATTGTCTCTCGGCAATCTCGCCCTCACCCTTCGAGACAGATTCACGGAGCGGAGCGTCCCGTCTGACCTCGATGAAACATTTAGCCTGTTCTTGCAACTCCCCCACACATCCCATGCAGTCTCTTGTAGCGATCTTACTGTTGCTAAGTCATGGGTCACCATTGCCGAGGAGACAAACCATGGTTCTGCATTGGTTGCATATCAAACTGCATTGAAATTCCTAGATCAGCATGTCACGCTTTTGTCGTCTTCGTCACGTCATTTCGATGTCGTAAGGATGGCCTCGGCATCGCTTGCTGTGGATGCTTTCTCGTGCAGCATTCGTCATGGCGCGCTGACAACTGCTGTGGAACTGGTGGAGCAAGGCCGTGCAGTATTCTTGACCCAGTTGGCACGCTTAAGCTCACCATTTGATGAACTTTCCTTGCTTGGTGACACCGGCGCAGCCTTGGCGGAAGACTTCAAGCAGCTGAGCTTTCGCCTTCGTAGCGCATTCGATCAGTCTACTAAAGACCAGTCCCCACAAATCCGACAACTGACCATGCAATGGAACGATGTCCTCTCCCGCATCCGCATGCTCCCCAACTTGTCTCGGTTTCTCCTGCCTCCCCTGTTCTCTGACCTACAGAAGGCCGCTGAAGAAGGTCCTGTTATCATCGTCAATGCTAGTCAGTACAGCTGTGACGCCTTGATTGTCCTCTGTGACCAAAATTCTGTCCACATTCCAATTGATATTACGCGGGCCGAAGTCACCGAATTGTCCTCCGATTTTCAGTCCGTCGCAGAGCAATTTGGTTCTTCCGATCGTCAAAACAAGCTTGTTGGCATCCTCCGCAAGCTTTGGCGTCATATCGTTGACCCTGTGGTCCAAGCCCTTAATAAGTCGAATGTCCACCCTGGTTCGCGTATCTGGTGGTGTCCCACCGCTGAATTCACTCTGCTTCCTCTACATGCCGCAGGACCCTACGAGAGAGAGAGAGACAACTTGTCACAGATTTACGTCTCCTCTTATACCCCCGCTTTAGCGACACTCGTTCGTGCAAGACAGCGCCTTTCTCAATATGCATCTACTCAATGCTTTGTTGCAATTGGTCAAGGAAACCCGGATAGAGGGAAAGCATTGCGATGCGTCGCTCCTGAATTAGCCGCCATAGCTCAGCGTCTCGCACCAATCGTGTCGTCCTTCACGCCGCTCGAGGACAGTGACGCAACAGTGCAGGGTGTTCTCGATGCGCTAAACCATAACCAGTGGCTTCACCTGGCGTGCCACGGAATGCCGAATCGACAACGACCATTTGAATCCTCCTTCGCAATGCGTGATGGGCCGTTGATGATCAGGGACATCATCCGATCGAACTGGGAGAACCCGGAGTTCGCATTCTTATCGGCTTGCCACACTACCGTGGGCGATGAGAAGAGTCCCGACGAGTCGATCCATCTCGCTGCGGCGATGCAATTCTCCGGATTTCGCAGTGTCATAGGTTCTATGTGGTCCGTCGACGACGAGGTTGCGCGGCAGGTTGTGTCTGCTTTCTACGACAAGCTGGTGGATGATTCAGGGAGATTGGACTGCACGAGGGCTGCGGTGGCGTTGCACAAGGCAGTCAAGAAATTGCGGGGCAAAAATATTCCACTGGAACAACAGATCGTATTTGTTCATATAGGTGTCTAGTTTGAGGCTCGTTCGCTATTTTCTGTGATTCTGATCTCTTTCATTCCCCGCTGTCCCACCATTATCTCCGTTATTTAAATCATGTCTGCACGATACTTTTGTTGTTTCTTTCTCATGCATTATTGTACGTCGATCACACCTTGCTCTTATATATTGCTTTCTGCAAATGTGTCTTAATCATGAAACATGCCGAAATGTGCGATTACGCTAGAGTGATCTTGAAAACATCCGATTTACCCTCTTCCAGCCCAGCTATCGTCGTCCGGCACACAGCATCAAGGTACTCCCCAAGCCTCCAACCGTATCGGGATGCAAGAAATCATCATATAGCTTGTACCTCGAAACCGCGATGTTGGCAAACTCCAATGCGCGCTTCAGATTCCTGTCCGGGATATATTAGGACTGCAGGCACTGCATACGAAGACATGCTTACTTTAGGACATGCTTTCGAGAGGCGTAGAGCATGACATGCAGTCGCAGTATAAGCTCGGGACGTATATCTGCCGAACCCGAGTTAGCTCGCAGGAACGGCGATCTCCTGTCTCATTTCACATCATCTAATCTGAGGTGAGTAGTTTCACTACGGCATCGTAGGCCTGGTCCATAAGTCCCTTGTAGTCGCCTAACCAAGCGACCCTGGTGTCCCGGTTCATTAGCGATACCTCTAGACTCTGGCATTCGACGACCCGGTCAACACTGTCGCAGATCGTGAAGAACTGTTTGTAGTGAAGGTATTATGTGGCTCGTTCCTCAGGTTGGTCGATGGAGGCGAGTTCACGCGGAAGCATCTCCACTAGGTTTTTTTGCAAGCAAAACCCTCCCTGCCCCTGGAAGTCATAGATTAAATCGTGATAGTAGAACCTCGACAACAAGCTTACCTACTATAAAATAACGGTGGCTTGTTCCAGCGCAGTATCATACATCCCATCCTCGAACGTCGTCCACTCTATGGAACGAAGCAGCAGGAGCTCGATATCAGAAGGAGTGGCCTGCAACGCAATGACTGAAGGAAGCGGTCCCTTCATTTGGGGTGGAAGCTGCAAGTAGTGTTCAGCGCACGAGTTTCGTGAGATACGAGTCTCGCCCACCTCGAACGCTCTCTCGATTGTTCGCTCGGCAGTCTGTGAACATTTGGACCATGCTCTCGTGCACGAGTCAATGCTAATCGATGTTCGTTGATATTGATTGCATCAAACTGGTCCATATGCTCGTTGCTGCGACGACGTTGCAATTCAAGTTACAAACTTAGAACTAAGTTATAATTATGCCAGATCTAAATCGGGCCGTCCTCGCTTGACGCGGGCCTAAGGTGACTGGTTCGGAAACTGTAAAGGCCGGAAGAAGGCATCCTGGCATCGCGAGGTGGCACAAAGTGCAGATCTACATGCCCGGACACATCTCATGCACGTACTTGAGTAGTCCTAGTGTTTCTAGATCTTATCTAAATGAGAATCTTTTGGACAACATGTCTCATTTACAACGAGGATACTCTGCGACGAGGTTTAGAATTTCGAAGTTTTAGCCCATGCGGATGTAGACAAATTGAGTGTCGGGAGGTCTGTGTATATATGTAACTTGAGTCGACAACGACAATTAAAAATTGAGCAGCACCTCCAAGAGTTCAAGTTGACCCAATCAATTCAAGTGAAGTCGGTTCCGTTTTTGCAACTGCGCTCGGGATGGCGGACGTTGCATGCGTCGAAAAGTACTAAGCAAAGGAAGCAAAAAGTCAGTGAACCAATGCTTTGATGAGACTGGCGGAACAAGAAATCTGCAGGGGTATTTTGAACATGATATGCAAGTAACAAAAGCGACACATGCGTTAGTATAGCCATAGAACCCGTCCACTGGTAGACAGTACTTTGGGTTAATTGAGGCTTGGATAGCGCATATGAAGGTTGCGCAAAGTCGACATGTGGGTGGGTGTCGATGCGGCCACGCGCGCGCTAGTTTGAGGTCTTGGGTAGTCACATTGAAGTTCGATATTCCAAAAACAACCTGATGCTACTCGCCAATGGTACAAACCTCAGCATCCCAAGCTCACGCATAAGTCACCACTTCATGTTCAAGATCCTACAACCACTCCCCGTACTGAGCCATCTCGTCCCTCAGTAATCGCAGCTGAAAGCGCGCAGTGAACGGTTTGGGGTGCAAAATCACGCCATCCACGAAGCCTATCTTATCAGTCGGATTCTCTAGGACATGAGGATCCCGAACGACCACGGGAGGAGCACGATGTCGATGAAGACTGCCGCCCGGGGCAGATTCTGCAGGTTGTTTTTCAGCAAGGTTCTACTCGGTCCAATATCAGGGCGAGCTGTACCTGTGTCCAAAGCCATACGAAGGGAACTTGATGTCGTCCTAAATTTTGCCTTTGCTGTTGAGCAATCTCTCGGAATCGAATTTGTCGGGGTTGGGGTAAAGACTGGGTCGCGTGGGATTGCCCGGTCAAAGTGTGATCCGCATATTATTCTGTAGGTTTCTGCTCGAGCAGCCATAATAATAGGAAAAACAGGCCAGAGCACTGGAAACTTGCATAAACGATATCGGCCGAAGCACAGTGAGAAAATCCAAGGGTTGTTACAGGTCTCCAGCTCCAATATGACGCTGGAGGGAATTGTAGTAAAACGTGGGATCTGTAACGACCAGGTTGAGATTCATTCACTAAGGTGTGCATCAGCATACCTCCGTCAAGACCAACAACGATATCCAGCTGCTCTTGTACTTTCTCCTGCGCCTTGAGATAACATGCCAAGCCATGACAACATACATGATCGCCACAACAGTTGTGTCTGAACCGGCGCCAAAGAGTGATCCAGCGAGCTTATTTCTTCGTCCGAAAGCTTGTGTGAGGCCTGGATCTCAAGACGGTATCAAGGAAACGAGGGACCGGCTTTGCCGGTCGCCTACAAACAACTGAGAGTCAAGTGGCGTTTAAGAACGACGTTGAAAGAACGAACCAATTCTCTTGAAACGCGATTGAGTTGGTCATGGAATACCTGACTCTCTTATCTTCTTGGCATCAGCAACTAAGGAAGGTGGGTCTGTTACGCGTCCACTGCAAAGTCACGCTGCCGTACTCCAGTTCATGCGTCATCGACTTGCACGTGGATGTGCAATGCGACAGGAGATGTGTTGACGTCTTCAACTACTGTCTTGGGTGTAGATGCGGGTGGTGGAAAGAAAGGGGCAGGTAAGAGTCGACAAGATGAGAGCAGCGCGCTGGAGGTATCAGAGGGAAGGGTGGAGGGGTGGCCGCAGTGGGAGGGGTGCTAGATGCTCGTATAAGGAGTTGTCATAAAGGCTTGGGAGGGAATGCAAGAGAACGAACTTTAACTAGAGGCCGGCGTTCATCGACATCGTGCATCGATGGCGGGACTCTCAGATTATGTAGGCAGCTTGATTCAAACGACATTTAAAAATTGAGTGGCACCTTCCAAGAAACTCCTTCCTGACTAAGAACTGTTGTAAACTAGAGAAATTATTAATTAACTAGCGCTCATCCCTCTCGCAGGTCCCTACTAATTCATTGCTCGGATTTTTACTAGTGTGCGTGCGCATTGCGATTCAAACTTATCTACCTGTATTTTGTGCTGATGAAATGCGGATAACATGATAGCGTCGTCTTCGCCCACGACGGCTTCATCCTGCCTGTGTTCCTGACAGTCCTCGTGTAACTCGATTGTGGTACTATAGCATGTTGGACGATGTAGAACAATGTCGAGCAGCATTGGAGAGATGTCCCCCCGGGCATTCTCTTCGACCAGAGTCTCTTAGCAATCTCGCCAAGAGCCTTCGAGACAGATTCAGGCAGCGAGGCGTCCTGTCTGACCTCGATGAGTGCATCGAGCTTAATCGGGCTGCACTACTCCTTCGTCCCCCAGGTCATTCTGATCGACCACCGTCTCTCAACAATCTCGCCGTCAGCCTTAGTGACAGATTCACGCAGCGAGGCCTCCCATCTGACCTTAATGAGTCCATCGAATTCAATCGAGCTGCACTACTCCTTCACCCCCCCGGTCATGATGCTCGATGGTTTCCTCTCAGCAATCTTGCCTTGAGCCTTCGAGAAAGATTCAGGCAGCTGGGCGTCCCATCTGACCTTGACGAGTGCATCGAGCTCAATCGGGCTGCACTACTCCTTCGTCCCCCCGGGCATTTTCTTCGACCACAGTCTCTTAGCAATCTAGCCCTCAGCCTTCAAGACAGATTCACGCAGCGGAGCGTCCTGTCTGACCTTGATGAGTGCATCGAGTTCAATCGGGCTGCACTACTCCTTTACCCCCCCGGTCATTCTGATCGATGGCTGTCTCTCAACAATCTCGCCGTCAGCCTTCAATACAGATTCACGCAGCATGGCGTCCCGTCCGACCTTGATGAGTGCATCGAACTCAATCGGGCTGCACTACTCCTTCACCCCCCCGGTCATTCTGATCGATCACTATCTCTCAGCAATCTCGCTTTCAGCCTTGGAGACAGATTCAGGCAGCGGGGTGTCCCGTCTGACCTTGATGAGTCCATCGAGCTCCATCGGGCTGCAGTACTCCTTTTCCCCTCCGGTCATCCTCTTCGATCACATTCTCTTAACAATCTCGCCTTCAGCCTTCGAGACAGATTCACTGAGCGGGGCGTCCCGTCTGACCTTGATGAATCCATCGAGCTGAATCGGGATGCACTACTACTTCGTCCCCTCGGTCATTCTGATCGATCGTTGTCTCTCAACAATCTCGCCGTCAGCCTTCGAGACAGGTTCAGGCAGCGGGGCGTCTCATCTGACCTTGATGAGTCTATCGAGCTCAATCGGGCTGCGCTACTCCTTCGTCCCCTCGGTCATTTTAGCCGGTCACAGTCTCTCAACAATCTTGCCCTCTGCCTTCAAGACAGATTCAGGCAGCGGGGCGTCCCGTCTGACCTTGATGAGTGCATCGAGCTCCATCAGGCGGCACTCCTCCTTGTCCCCCCCGGTCATTCTGATCGATCAACGTGTTTCAACAATCTCGCCCTCAACCTTCAAGACAGATTCAGGCAGCGGGGCGTCCCGTCTGACCTTGATGAGTCTATCGAGCTCCATCGGGCTGCACTACTCCTTGTCCCCTCCGGTCATTCTGGTCGATCAATGTCTCTCAATAATCTCGCCGTCAGCCTTCAATACAGATTCACGCAGCGGGGCGTCCCGTCCGACCTTGATGAGTGCATCGAGCTCAATCGTGCTGCACTACTCCTTTCCCCCCCAGGCCATTCTTTTCGACCACAGTCTCTTAGCAATCTCGCCCTCAGCCTTCAAGACAGATTCACGCAGCGGAGCGTCCTGTCTGACCTTGATGAGTGCATCGAGCTCAATCGGGCTGCACTACTCCTTTCCCCCCCTGGTTATTCTGATCGACCACAGTCTCTTAGGAATCTCGCCCTCAGCCTTCAAGCCAGATTCACGCAGCGGGGCGTCCCGTCTGACCTTGATGAGTGCATCGAGCTCAATCGGGCTGCACTACTCCTTTGTCTCCCCGGGCATTCTGATCGATCATTGTCTCTCAACAATCTCGCTGCCAGCCTTCTAGACAGATTCAGGCAGGGGGGCGTTTCGTCTGACCTTGATGAGTGTATCGAACTCCATCGTGATGCACTACTCCTTCGTCCCCTCGGTCATTCTGATCGATCATTGTCTCTCACAAATCTCGCCCTCAGCCTTCAAGACAGATTCACAGAGCGGGGCGTCCCATCTGACCTTGATGAAGCATTTAGCCTGTTCTTGCAACTCCCCCACATATCTCATGCAGTCTCTCGTAGCGATATTACTGCTGCTAAGTCATGGGTCACCTCTGCCGAGGAGACAAACCATGATTCTGCATTACTTGCATATCAAACTGCATTGAAATTCCTAGATCAGCACGTCACCCTTTTGTCGTCTTCGTCACGTCATTTCGATGTTGTAAGGATGGCCTCGGCTTCGCTTGCTGTCGACGCTTTCTCGTGCAGTATTCGTCATGGCGCGCTGACAACTGCTGTTGAACTGGTGGAGCAAGGCCGTGCGGTGTTCTGGACCCATTTGGCACGCTTAAGCTCGCCGTTCGATGGACTTTCCCTGCCCGGTGACACCGGCGGAGCCTTGGTAGAAGAGTTCAAGCAGCTGAGCTTTCGCCTTCGTAGCGCATTCGATCAGTCTACTGAAGACCAGTCCCCACAAATCCGACAACTGACCATGCAATGGAACGATGTCCTCTCCCGCATCCGCATGCTCCCCGACTTATCTCGGTTTCTCCTGCCTCCCCTGTTCTCCGACCTACAGAAGGCCGCTGAAGAAGGTCCTGTCATCATCGTCAATGCTAGTCAGTACAGCTGTGATGCCTTGATTGTCCTCAGTGACCAAAGTCCTGTCCACATTCCAATTGATATCACGCGGGCCGAAGTCTCCGAGTTGTCCTCCGAGTTTCAGTCCGTCGCAGAGCAATTTGGTTCTTCCGATCATCAAAACAAGCTTGTGGGCATCCTCCGCAAGCTTTGGCACCACATCGTTGACCCCGTGGTCCAAGCCCTTAGGGTGTCGAATGTTCACCCTGGCTCGCGTATCTGGTGGTGTCCCACTGCTGAATTCACTTTGCTTCCTCTACATGCAGCTGGACCCTACGAGAGAGAGAGAGACAACTTGTCACAGATTTACGTCTCCTCTTATACCCCCGCTTTAGCGACACTCGTTCGTGCAAGACAGCGCCTTTCTCAATATGCATCTACTCAATGCTTTGTTGCAATTGGTCAAGGAAACCCGGATAGAGGGAAAGCATTGCGATGCGTCGCTCCTGAATTAGCCGCCATAGCTCAGCGTCTCGCACCAATCGTGTCGTCCTTCACGCCGCTCGAGGACAGTGACGCAACAGTGCAGGGTGTTCTCGATGCGCTAAACCATAACCAGTGGCTTCACCTGGCGTGCCACGGAATGCCGAATCGACAACGACCATTTGAATCCTCCTTCGCAATGCGTGATGGGCCGTTGATGATCAAGGACATCATCCGATCCAACTGGGAGAACCCGGAGTTTGCATTCTTATCGGCTTGCCACACTACCGTGGGCGATGAGAAGAGTCCCGACGAGTCGATCCATCTCGCTGCGGCGATGCAATTCTCCGGATTTCGCAGTGTCATAGGTTCTATGTGGTCCGTCGACGACGAGGTTGCGCGGCAGGTTGTGTCTGCCTTTTACGACAAGCTGGTGGATGATTCGGGGAGATTGGACTGCACGCGGGCTGCAGTGGCGTTGCACAAGGCTGTGAAGAAATTGCGGCGCAATAATATTCCACTGGAACAGCAGATTGTATTTGTTCATATAGGCATCTAGTTTGAGGTTCGCTCGCTATTTTCTGTGATCCTGATCCCTTTCATTCCCCGCTGTCTTACCAATATCTCAGTTATTTAGATCATGTCTGCACGATACTTTTGTTTCTTTCCCATGCATTATTGTACGTCAAACCTGCCTTGCTCTTATATATTGCTTTCTGCAAATGTATCTTGATGATGAACAATGAGGTATGCTTCGTCTTTGCCTTTGTCTGGTGTAGTTACACCCACGGACTTGTGTATGACTCCTCTTCGATGCGTCTCTCTGTTACTCAGTCTTCGTGTCACGTAGAATGCAGAGATTATCGATCATCCTTTCTACATGAGTACAAGGGGGCGCGCCAGAACCTCACTGCCCATATACAAGGTCATAGATACAACAAGGGCGTCATATAAAGATAGAGAAAAAATATGTCGAAAACATGTGATTACGATACAAGGGATCCAATCCACCCCCTTCCAACCCAGTTATCGTCGTCCGGCGCACAGCGTCAAGGTGCTCCCCAAGCCTCCGACCATCAAGATGCAAGAAATCATCATGTAGCTTGTACCTCAAATCCGCAAATTAATGTTGGCAAACTCCAATGCGCGCTTCAGATTCCTGTCCAAGATGTATTAGGACTGCAGGCACTGCATACGAAGACATGCTTACTTTGGACATGCTTTCGAGAGGCGTAAAGCATGTCATGCAATCGCAGTATAAGCTCGGGGACGTATATCTGCTGAACGCGGGTTAACTGGCGAGAACGGCGATCTCCTGTCTCGTACGGCATCATCAAATCCGAGGTGAGCAGTTTCACAACGGCGTCGTAAGCCTAGTCGACAAGTCCCTTGTAGTCGCTTAACCAAGCAGCTCTGGTATCCTGGTTCATTATCGACGCCTGTAGACTCTAACACTCAACAACGTGGTCAAGACTGTCACAGATCGTGAAGAACTGCCTGTAGTGAAGGTATTCTGTGACCCGTTCCTCAAATTGGTCGATGGAGGCGAGTTCACGGGGAAGCACCTCCACAAGGTTCTTGGCAAGTGAAATCCTCTCGTCACCTGAAGCCATGGATTAAGCCATGATAGTGGAACCTCAACAAAAAGCTTACATAGGGAGTACCGCAAAATGAAGGTGGCTTCTTCCAGCGCAGTCCTGGAACGTCATCCACTCTGTGGAACGAAGTAGCAGGAGCTCGATGTCGGAAGGAGTGGCCTGCAACGCAATGACAGAAGGGAGCGGTCCCTTCATTTGGGGTAGAAGCTGCAAATAGTGTTCAGCACATGAGTTTCGTGGAGTGCGAGTCCCATTAATTCAAATCACCTGTAAAGTCGACCGATTGATAACCCGAACTTCAAGAGAGGCAACAAACAAACACATGCAAACATTGACCAAGCGTCTCGTGAGTCGTCTAGTAAAGGTTTCTCCCCTAATTTAGACAACAGATCTGCTTTCAATGCTTAGCGCTAAGAGGAGCACGAAATTGCTCCATGAGATCTACACATTATGTAATATCCTTTTCTCGTTCAAGTTCTCCCGTCAACATCATGCAAACCTTATATACTCGCTTCGGTGAGATCTGGAATTTGTGGCAACTGGGGAAACTGAAGCTACCTTTCTCGACATATGTGTACACGCTGATGAATTCGGTCATGCGTTCGCGACGGATGCGAACATGTGGACCTCAGATTACACGACTACGAGTACAGAAATACTATGCACCACTACAGATTTCGGCCTTCCGTCTCTTGTCTTGCCAGGATAAAGTGATTACCTAGTGCAACTAAAGGTGGGGCCTTGTCTTTAGCTATAGCGTGCAATGTCATGATAACGATGAGTCGCATGTCCGATACCTTTTTGGGGAGACGAATGGGTCTGAATGACCAACCGCGTGCCCGAACATGTGCGGGCACGGCGTTGGTGGCGCTTTGACGTACATGGAAGACTTCTTGAATGTGCTTGTAACAAGTATTAGGGTACGAATTAAATTAGAGTGGAGACCGCAAGTAGTACTCATTAAGTGGAGTGTGAATGACATCATGTGAGCGACTAGCTTGGTTACGTTACGTCCACCTCTTCCTCAAGTACTAAGTCCAGTAGACCAAACTATGAGAGCTAAGATATTTCCTTTAGGTGTCAACGTCGGCGACGGTGGCCGTAACCGACGCGAACCTCGCAACTTAATAGTCATTTTGCAATTCCGTGGAGTCCCATTTGAATAATCACTAAATAATCATCAACGGCGGGTCCGTATTTTTCTTTCATGTCTTCACCGTCGCCTCACCGCTCTAATACGATGCCAGTTAGTATCATGTCGCCAACACCTGGCACACGTACTCCCCGTCGCGTACAATGGGCAAGCACAGAACATGTCCACGAACCAGAACCAGTCAGTCCACACGCACTGGACGAGATGGCTCAGGACGTGAGTACCCTCTTATTTATTTTCAACCGTTGCTTACATCAAACGCCTAGCCGAACGCGTTTGAAACACTCAAAGACGCACTCGAGCGCCACCGTTCAAGTTCCTCTCCTACGCATTCCCCATCTGCCCAAGTCATGGCCCCTACGGCAGACGTACATATCTATCCCCCAAGCACACCTTCGACCGTGCATACATCCCCTACATCTTCTACCCCGTTCCTCCCACGCCGTACACACGCCCTGCCAGGCGAAGTCTTTATTGACCCCTTAGAAAGTGCTGGCCTCCCTCTCTCTTCAAGACAAGCAAGCGGGGACTCTGAATTCCCAGCAGACGGCCGCGTCGAACACCTCGCCGTGCGCGAAGCGGCAGGCGTCGTCAGAGCGCACACTAAACGATGGGGTATCCTCGGTCGTCGTCACCGCTCTAAATCACGATCACGGGTCCCAGAACCAGAACCCGACTCTGAAAAAGAGAACCGTGATACAGACGGCGAAGTCGAAGAAGAAAAACGCCATCCAACTCCGCAACAACCACCCAAGAAATCATGGTGGCATTTCCGTACTCCCCCCTCAGTAGCTCCTACCCCTCATCATCCCCCACCTTACGCACAATCACGCGGTCCTTATGACCCCGAATCTCGCCCTCCGGCACATCCTTCCCAGCCGAAATTAGGTTCTGGCGTGCTGAGTGCGTTGTTGGCACTCTACGGCCAGGAGCACGATGAGCACGATCCCGCGCGTAGCGAAGACGAGTCAGACCTCTCCAATCCCGAACGTCCATGGCTCTCCCATTCTACCTCTCGCCCCAAGTCTGAATCCAAACCCAAAAAGCCGCCCTCCCAAACCCTAAGCCAAACCATCCACTCCGCCTCAAGCAGCACCGTCTCCCTCCTCTCCTCCCTCAAACCCAAAGACAAAGGCCCATCAAGTATGGCTGCGCTCATTACGGGTGCGGGGACATTGAGCGGTGCTGCTGCCCCGATGCAGTTGGGGTTGGCGCCTGATTTGAAGACGAAGAGGGGGTATGGACTTGTTAGGTATCGGTTTGAGGACGGCTTTGAGGGGGAGGGGGCTGGGGAAGGGAATGCGGAGGGAGTGGGAACACAACGAACACCAACACCTCCCCGTCTCAGCCTTCATCTCCCCCGTCGTTCGAAGAGCACCGATACTGATTTTACGAGGGGGGTCGGTGGGCGTGTCGAGGAGGACCACGAGGGTGAAGGGGAAGTTGATTCTAAAGCTGCTATCCAATCGCAAAGCGATGCAACAATAGACCCCGAGGAAGAAGTGATAGATGTCAAGGAGGATGATGATGAGGATTCACCAGATACACTCGCTCCTCCGACGACCGTGACTACTTCTACTTCTACTCCTACTTCTACCCCCTCTGAATCAACTCCACCAAACCTCTCCCCAACCTCGACTTCGACCTCCACCAAGAAATCAAAGTCGAAACACTGGAAAGGTGTTTTGAAAGATCTCCCGCTTCCACACCACTTGCCTAGCGGGCACCTCAAGGGGTTTTTGCTGAGTTTACCCGGGACGCCTTTAAGACATCCAGTCAGTGCGAGTGGGGCTTCTACACCTGGGACTAGTGGGACTGGAACAAGGGCGAGTAGTGTTGCTGGTTCGCCTGATGAAAAGGATAAGGAAAGGGACGGTAGAGGCGATGACGACTATTTCGTTGCGAAGTGGATGGAGGAGCAGAAGGAGAGAGAAAGAAAAGAGAGAAAAAAGAGGGAGAGAAAAGAAAGAAAAGAGAGGGAGAAGAGGGGAAAGGAGGAAAGGAGGAAGAGGAAAAGGGCGGAGGTTTACGTGCGTTTCTTTTCTTTTTCCCTTTCCTTCCTTCGTTCACGTCCAGCTACCTCACCTCACTCACACCCACCCCACAGATAACCCGACACGTAGCAGCCATCCTCCAACGCCAAGAATTTATCCTCAAACTAGCCCGTGCAATGATGATGTTCGGGGGTCCTTCACACAGACTCGTCGCACAGATCCAAAGCACAGCGCGTGTTCTCGAGCTCGATATGAGCTGTCTATACCTCCCTGACGTCATGTGGATCAGCTTCGAAGACAACGCGACGGGGACAAGTCACGTCAAGTTTATTAGACAGGCGAGTGCATTGGATTTGGGGAAGCTGGGGGATGCGCATGGGCTGTATTGGGATGTATGTGTCTCTTTTCCATTTGAATGCTAAGCAAACTAATCTCGTCAACAAAACCAACGTATCACCACAAACGCACAGGTCATCCACGACGTCATCTCCGTATCCGAAGCCAACACTGCCCTCGACACCCTAATGCGCAAAAAGCCCATCTACTCTTTCCCACAACTCATATTCTTTGGCGGGATGTGTAGCAGCAGCATCTGCAGCGTTAGCTTCAACGGGAGCTTCATTGACTCTCTTGTCTCCTTCCCCCTCGGTGCGCTCCTCGTCACCATCCAACTTCTCAGCGTGCGCAATGAGCTGTATGGAAACGTGTTTGAGATCACGGTTGCCACGCTTCTGAGCTTTGTGAGCGCTGTGCTTGCTAGTACGCAGAGGATTTGTTATGAGGCTGTTGCTAGTAGTAGTGTGGTTTTGATTTTACCTGTGAGTCTTGACTTTGATTCATATTCCTTACCCTGCTTCCTTCCTTCCCATCGCATCCCACTAACAAACCCCTCAGGGCTTCATAGTCCTAAATGGTTCCCTCGAAATATCTTCCCGCTCCCTAATAGCAGGCTCAGTCCGTCTCTGCTACGCCCTCATGTACAGCCTCTTCCTCGGTTTCGGGCTGGCCATCGGAGCTGAGCTCTACCAAGCAATGCTCGGGAAACCCCTAGTAGGAGGCATAGATTACATGTGTGTCTCGAGCCACGATCCCAAAGGCGGGTGGTGGCAGCGCACCCCGAGTATGTGGTGGGCGTTCCTGAGTGTGCCGTGTTATAGTCTGTTTTTGAGTTTGAGGTTTGGGGCTGTTATTGGGAGGAGGGAGTTGGTGAGTTTTTGGTTTGGTTTGGTTTTGGTCCCGTTTGACACGTCAAACCTCTTTTGAGCTGATACTGATTCAGACACCTTCTAGTTTCTCCTAGTCGCCATCTCATGCATAGGATGGGTGACGAACCATTTCGTTGGCATCAAGTTCCCGAACCAGAGCGATATATCAGCTGCTGTTGGGGCGTTTGCTGTGGGGTTGGTGTCGAATCTCTACGGGAGGTTTTTTGAGGGGAATGCGTTTGCCGTTATGGTGCGTTCTTTTTTTCTCGTGTTTCTCATATCGAAGAATTGACAAAACTCTCACCACGCGCACCACACTCGCATCACAACCCAAATGCACACACGCAGATCACAGGCATACTCTTCCAACTCCCTTCAGGCCTAGGCAACGGCGGACTGTTCAACTTCGTCGTTGATCAAACCTCAGGGTCGAGTTCCTCCTATTCAAGCGGGTTCAACACCGCGCTCCAGTTGATCAGCACGAGTGTTGGGTTGACTGTGGGTCTTGGAATCAGTTTGGTGCTCGTTCATCCTGTTCAGAGCAGGAGGAGGGCTGCGGGAGTGTTTAGTTTGTAGGAGGACGTTGGTGCTGGTATGCGTTCCGCCCCCTGCATTGCTTTGCTCTAAATTCGTACGTATGCCCGCATTATTCTCACTCGAAGTGCATATCGCATTCAATTTCAATATAGATCTGATAGATAGATATCGGTGCCCAGGTACATCTATCCTCCCCAATTCATCGCTTAATTCCTTTAGATTCCGATGCTCATCTAAATACTAGCATGGACTTGGTCATCGTTTATGTTTACGTTTTCCTCCACGGACATCGTCTTCATTTTCATACACTCGTTTGTCTGTCTGCGCACGTTCATTCTCATTTTGGTCGTTAATCCATGACACAATCGCATGCAATGAACATTGTCTTCATTTTTAATGTCCGCGCTGGTTTGTCTGGGCACATTTACTCATTAACAATGTGTGTACACCACAATTCGTTGGTGAGCTACGTTGGTGGGTGGTAGGTAGACTCGTGAGTACTGTCTATGCGGGCCGTCGTAGAATAGGGGATTGGGTGAGGACGATTTGAATCACTCGAATGACGACGTAAAACACTGACACGATTAGGATCCAGGCGATGTAGACATGAGAAAGTGTCAGGCGTACGTAGCCTACAAAACGTCGCAAAGCAACTCCGAGTCAGTTCGGTAAAACGGCTGCAAAGGGTTGACACGAGATATCATTGCCCTGAAAGTTGCATCATCCACAACATTAATGTCAGGGCTAGTATGTGATCCAAATGAACTATATATGGGTGCAAGTGGAATCTAGTGAGCTGCACCGCTGAGCTTACATCAGGGAAATCGGTGATTCCTAATTTGACACAATTCTCGCGGATTGTTGAGGATTCGATACGTTCGATTGATATGACTGATTTTTTTAGTCCCCCTCCCAATTGTAGACAATTCACCCTAATTACTACAATACCAAAGTATAAATCACACATTAGATCCAATTCGAACATCGCGAAAAAATCAAATTCAGGCGAATCCTAGTCAATTTTACTACTAGCGCTCGTCACCTACTACTCCTCCGACTCTGGCATTGCGTCAATGTCAATAAACATCAACGCCTCGTCCGTCTCGAGATCGCACACCACGTTGGCCTTGGAGCCACTGCAATACACGGTCAGTAAAATAGCGAGAAAACCAATACAACGAGAACATACTAGATGAGATGAACTGCGTGGGTCACTGAAGGGCACCGGAAGCAACGTGCGCATGAATCCGTTGACAATAGATGGCAGAAGCTCAGTGCTGAGTTACATTGATGGTAGAGCACGAAAGATGGGGGAACACTAAGCAGAGGGCCTGAAAGTAATGGCCGTGGCACCGTCAGCGTCTGCTAAGAAGCTCGAAGGACGAGATCACGCACCATGTGAGAGCAGGACATGGCCAGGGCACTGTCAGCGTCGGGTAAGCAAGTCAAAAGGCAAGATCACACACTTCCTGAGAGTGGGACGCAACCGCGGCACCATTAGCGTTAGTAAGCAGGTCAAATGACGAGATCACGCACATCCTGAGAGTGGGACACCGCTGTGGCACCATTAGTATTAGGTAAGTAGGTCAAAAGACGAGAAGACGGCGGATGCTTCGTCTGTGGGACTTGGAGACAGGTATTGTGTTGAGGAAGATGGAAGGCATAGCAGCAGGGTGTCGAGAATCGAGATTGGCTGTATCATGAGATCGGCAATTCATAGCAAGCAATGTCAATAGAGATGGAGAGGTCATTGTCTGGCATGGAGAAACTAGCGAATCACTCACGCAACCCATCAAAGCCCATGAAAAGTCCTCAACTGTAAGTTTGTACCCTAGCTGCCATCGCAAATATGATACTCGAGATGATGATAAGAGAACTGATCGATCGATTCGATTTGCAAAAAAAAAATTATACAAATCCGGAAAATGCTGTGAACTTTCGGAACTCACCAAGTCCAACCACCAATGGTTCCATCGTGGAGATTCAGTTCACCGTGCGTCATTGGAAAATCCAATACTTTCCAAGCAACCGCGGAAAACGTAACCATTCTGAGGCTCGGTGCGGTCCACCACAATACTAACTACAAATACCTGCACATCAACCACGACAAAGACTTGGACCGACCGAAAAATCCCCCGAGACTGACTCAGACGCGAGTGGTTCGAAAGCCTAAAAGAGGGACAGTGCCTTCCACTGCACTCATAATCTGTTACGAACTAGGATGGTTCTGACGTATGGCTACTCGATAAGAGTAATCGGCCAAGGTCGGTTCAAGGCTTCAGCGTATACCGAAGTTCAATGGTTTCTAAGACAAGTCTAGGAGAGTGTCCTCGACTTGAATCACGTTCAATGCGACTTAAGATTGGAGGTCTTAAGCGAAGGAAATTCCAGGTAAAACCTAGTAAGATTAAAGTAAAGAACTACATAGTACAGGACGAGTTTATATAGTGAACGGTAACGACTTTAGGGCCGGTACTATGAGATCATAAAGACGAGTCAGAGATACCAAGAATAGATCATCTAGCGACGGCAAGATGCGATCGTGATGTAATACAATGATGTGAGAGAAAGAAAATGAATAGGGGCGTACTTGACTGTAACATTACCCCGTTATTATCGTTAAAATCACCGATTTCAACAATCAAAGTTATCGTAAGCGTCATAGTTGTCACGATCACCTGCGCATTGAACGAACATTCTCTCATCTTCTTCGATAGAGATCTGTTCCAAGGCGGCGTCCTTGTCAGCCTCCCATTTAGCGAGAGCTTCGTAGAAGCCTTCATCCGTCCATACTAGTGGAATAGGTTTCTCGCCTTTAAGGTCTTTACAAAAGACCGAAAGATGCCCTGGCGCGAGGTTACGGCATACGCGGCAGAAATACGTTGGGCAATTCTTGTGACGATGACCGAATTCTTTACAGTAGCGACATTTGAAGTTATCAATGGGTTCGGTTTTCACGATGGTGACGGAGGACGATTGCGGAGGCGGGGGGATGGTGTTTTGGAGCGTAGGGTGTTGTTGCGTGAGGGAGGGGAGACGGAGATCTCGCGTTTGGAGGGTCGTAGACGAATGGAGCGTGAGCGAGAGGTGGTTGCCACCGGGGCAGTAGTAAGAGCAAACGGTACGATCGGTACATCAGAAGGAGTGACAGCATCAGGCGTATGCTCAACGGGAGATAATGTCTCAACCGGAGGAGGGATGGGAACTGCGACGTGAGGGGATGGCGGTCTGGCGATTGGGTTTGTTGCAATTCGTTCAGTGACGATATGGATGGCTTCTCTAACAACTTCTTTGGTAGAGGCAGGCATGAGACGTATCGCAGAGTTGCGAATGCGAATATGAAGATGACGGAAAATGGCTTTGAAGCGTTGATCATTCTCGCTTTCACTGAGAAGGCCTGCGGTACGCTTGATGAGATTGGCGGCGCGAATAATGTTAATGAGGAGCGTGCTAGAGAGGGCCCCTTGTTCAGCAAGGAGGCGATCTATCTCGATAGCGTATTGCTCAGAAAGGAGGGCGGATTCGAATAGCGTGTTGGTTTCGATGTCGTCAAGGATGGTGAAATAGTTTGGCGATTCAATGGTTTCAGTCAAAGTAACGGACGTAGTGGATGGGGATGTGGCAAGGGTTTCGGACATATTATCAATGTGTCGGACGAGAATTTGAAGTTGCAGGAGGCAAATCTGGAGAGTGCGGAGTTCTGAGAAAGACATCTTTTCGTGACCATTCTTATAACTGGTGAGCTTTCTTATAAGCGGCGAGGATTGCGGAGGCGTTGCCAAGATTTTCCGTGGGAATCCATTCGTTACTGGCAGATGAATATCCTTTCCAGGATACCAGATAGCGTCTTCGTTTACCCGTGCCCTTGTGCGATAGGATTGCTTCGACTTCGTATTCTTCTTCGTTATCAATGACGTCAGGTGGAGGATCAGGGAAGTTAGGACCGTGGATTTCGGTTTCGTGATAGGACGATAACTCGGAAGCATGGAATGTGGGGTGAACCTTCCATTGCTTTGGTAACTGGAGTGTGAATGTGATTGGTGACAGTACTGCGGTGATGGTAAAGGGGCCGTAGCGTTTCGGAGCGAGTTTTCGTGATGGTAACTGCGTGATAAGATTCTTCCCAGATAACCAAACCTTATCGCCCACTTTCCATGGTTGGTACTTCTTTCCATAAGATCGTGCAGCCATTCGCTGCATTGCAAGATTGTGACAAGAGATAGCTTCTTCTCGTATTTTCTGAAGGAGACGAAGTCGCTCTTCTGCGGCGGGGACAGTGGAGTCTGGGAGTACATGGGGGAGAGCTCGTGGCTCATATCCCATCATGAGGAAGAATGGGGATGCATTGCGAGAGTCGTGTTTGCGATGGTTGTGAATGAATTCGGACATGGGGATATGTTCAACCCATTCTTCTGGGTTGTTACGGCAATAGATTCGAAGATAGGTTTCTAGTTCTTGATTCAGACGTTCGGTTTGACCGTCTGTTTGCGGATGATAAGCGGTGGAAGCGGCGATGTCGTATTTCAAAAGTTTTGCAAGAGCTTTAGAGAACTTGGATACGAACTGTGGGCCTCGATCTGAGATTACTTTCTCGTGGAGCCCGAAGCGGCGGTAGACGTATTTAAAGAATTTCTTTGCTACGCCTTCTGAAGTGATAGTCTTCGTACAAGGGATGAGAATTACCCCCTTCGTAAGACCATGGTCTACCACGACCATGACAGAGTCGAACCCGTTACATGGGGGAAGATCGGTGATGAGGTCGACAGAGACTTGGGAAAACGGAGTCGAGACCGAAGAAGGGATAGGAACCAATGGGGGTGTCGTTGGATGGGTATCGGATTTCATTTGCTGACAAAGGGCGCAACCCTCAACGTATTTACGGATGTAGGTCCCCATAGACGGCCACCAGAAGTCGCGTTTAACCAGTTCTTCGGTTTTGAAACGGCCGGGATGTCCCGCTGTGGCGTGGTCATGGGTGTGTTCTAAAATAGAGTGGCGTCCGGCTGGACGGACATAGGCACGATCTTTGTAGAATAGCACATCATCTTTAATCGTCCAATCAGAGAGAGCCGACTTCATGGGAGGAAGGCAAAGGCCATTCAAGGCATCGGAGGCGGCTTGGAAGATGGGGTCGGTGTCATCAGGATCAGGGTTTGCAAGAGTAGTCATGAGCTCTTGATCAAGAAGGCGAATAAACATGGAATCGGGGAGGAGTGTCATATCTTCATTATCGATGGAGTCGGGTGCATGATCAGATCGACAGTGATAAGGCATCAGGTGCGACAAGCTTGGTTCCTGGGACGTGGTGAAGTTCGATATCGTAACAAGAAAGAAGGAGTTGCCATCTGGCTTGGCGACGGGTTAACTTCTGCGCGGTACGGAAATAAAGGAGGTTTTTATGATCGGTGAAAACAATGATTGGATGGGGGTTTCCTTCCAAATAATGACGCCATTCCTGAAGTGCATGGA